GCACAGTTTTTTCACACTTCTGGTCATTCCACTTGTAATGCCAATTTCAACACAAATTCTTCCAAAATAGATCCCAAACACATTGAAGATGTTGGAAATGTGCCAATATCTCTTCCCCCACATGACAAAATTGAAAATCAGGTATAGTTCAATATAACACTTTTTGCATCAAAGCCTTCCCTCATTCTCTAAATTCCACTCAAACACATGTTAACAATCATCTCTGCCCCCACTTTGCAGAAAAAATGGCCCAACACTCATTGAAGATGCAGGATATTTGCCATCATCTCTCCCCCGAGATGACAAAATTGAAAATCAGGTCTAGTTTAATATAACACTTTTGACCCCATCCCCCTCCTTCACTCTCAAAATCTTACTTAAACAATTTCAAAAAATATTCCCGCTCCCGCTCTTCAACAAAACAGGACCAGTTCTCATTGAAGATGTAGGATATTTGCCAATATCTTTTACCCCAGATGACAAAATTGAAAATCAGGTCTAGTTTAATATAACACTTTTGACCCCATCCCCCTCCTTCACTCTCAAAATCTTACTTAAACAATTTCAAAAAATATTCCCGCTCCCGCTCTTCAACAAAACAGGACCAGTTCTCATTGAAGATGCAGGATATTTGCCAATGTCTTTCTGCCCAGATGACAAAATTGAAAATCAGGTCTAGTTTAATATAACACTTTTGATGCCATCCACCTCCTTCACTCTCAAAATCATACTCAAACAATTTCAAAAAATATTCCCGCTCCCGCTCTTCAACAAAACAGGACCAGTTCTCATTGAAGATGTAGGAAATAAAACCGGACTTGAGTGGGGATCCAACCTTTTGTGATTGGCCAGCATTGTGTCTTCATTCAACTGACCTGTATTTCCTTATCTTACCTGTCTTTTTGCTACTTCAAACCTCATAAATTTGCTGGAACACCCCTCTGATTCACACATATACCTGGATATGGATGAGGACCAACAGTCACCAGGCCAATGAACTCTCTTTCCAATTCATTTTGGCCACGTCACCATTTAATTCAACTTTGGTCAACACATTCTTTACGTAGACGTTTAGCGTTGTTTCATTCAATCAAACATCTAGCCATGGTTTCAGCTTATTGCATTGTATTTAAATTATACAGCCAGCACTTCCAAAAACAGATGACTAATTGAAAATGGTTGTTCTTCGACACCTGCCAAGCACTTTGTCTGACAGGCAGGGTTGAGGTGGGAGATGATGACTGATTGGGTGCGTTGAATGCACCTTGTTTTTTCAATGTCAAGTAGGGTGCCTTGAACACACCTTGCATTTTTTCCCAATACCAATTTGGGTCCTTCGATTCTCGAACAGTCCTTGACTGGTTGTTCAATCTTGAAGATGAATAAACCAATGAACTGATTGAGTGTATTTGAAATTGATCTCATGGTCATCTTGTTATTTTTTGACCCTCGTGGTCAAACATGATATGTGCATACATGTCAAACATCATGTAGACCATTTGAAATGTGAACTGTTGTAAGTACTAACCTTCAAAATCTTTCATTCAAGATTCTCCTGAGATTACGGACCCTTGGGTGCCAGATTGATCTGGGAAACCAGATCAATCTGGCGACAAATCGCCTGCCCCACTCCCAGAGTGAGTCTGCGTCTTGGATTCAAACTCAATCTGAGATGTAGGGATCACATGATAGACAATATCACGTGGGATTCATCTGGCCAGATCCATCCCACGTGATATTGTCTCATCAAAGTAGGTCTGGTTGAGGTAGACTACGGACAAGATCACGTGGGATGCATCTGTATGGTCACATGAGAAGATGCATCTGGCTCCAGAATATCACCCAAGCTGAGATGTAGGGATCACGTGATATTCAGTGCATCAGATGTATCTGGCCAGGTCCATCCCACGTGATACACTACGCCAAATTGCAAATTTACCGTGGAGTTTAGAAAATTGAGTAGACATAGAAAATTATAGAGAAGCTGGCAAGGGTCAGAAAAATATGAAAAAATAATGGGAGGACCCTTTGATGCATTCCGATTGTCTGGCATATTTTTTCATATTTTTAAAACCACAATGCATATAACAATACACAAAATATAATATCTTCTGGGGAGAAAATATCAAAACCAACACACAAAGATATTGAGTAGTCCGAGAGAGACAAAAATATACAAAAATTTGCATATTGTTCCTATGATTGAGAGCTTTGATTTGAGTATCTTTTTTGTATTTTTAGTGTGAAAATTGTTGATTGTACTAACAAAAAACCTCCAAAATTCTCAGATCACAACCTGTAACAGAGATTGGAATTTGGCTAAGGGGTGACAAGGGGAAATCTGGAATTCTATATCCCTCATATCTTTTGCAATTCTGGGCCAAAACAATTGATAATTAGTTCATTAGGAAGCCATGAAATGCATTTGAATGTTATGTTAACACATCAAATCTGTAGCTCCGCTACAAAAAAAGCTATTTGTCATTGAAATAATTTCCTATATATCCACATAGATATTCTTTGGAATTAGATGCAAGTTTTCTGTCTTGATGAAAGATATAGTCACAGACTTTGGCTTTCCAATGAACAAAAAATTAAGTGGTTTGATCAAGAATTGACAAAGATATAAGGGATTGTTGAATTCAAATTATGCCCTCCAATCTCTGTTACAGGTTGTAATCTGACAATCCTGGAGGTTTTTTGTTAGTACAATCAACAATTTTCACACTAAAAATACAAAAAAATACTCAAATGAAAGGTCTCAGCCATAGGAACAATATGCATATTTTTGTGTGTTTTTATCTCTCTTCAAGACTGCTCAATATCTCTGTTTGTTGGTTTTTATATTTTCTGCCCAGAAGATATTATATTTTGTGTAGTGTTATATGCATTGTGGTTTTAAAAATAGAAAAAATATGCCAGACAATCAGAATGCATCAAAGGGTCCTCCCATTATTTTTTCATATTTTTCTGACCCTTGCCAGCTTCTCTATAATTTTCTATGTCTACTCAATTTTCTAAACTTCACGGTAAATTTGCAATTTGGTGTAGTGATATTGTCTCATCAAAGTAGGTCTGGATAAGGTGGACTGCGGACAATATCACGTGGGATGCATCTGTATGGTCACGTGAGAAGATGCATCTGGCTCCAGAATCCAGATCTCCGAAGTATCACGGACCAACGAAGTGACACCCCATCCCTATCATCTTCAACATCCAACGCTCAAAGCTCACACAAATTGAAGCACTGATCAACCACAATACTCGTACTCTACACCTTACCTTACCATGCGTCTAACTCGAGCAGCTTCTAGTAAGAACAAACATCAGAACAAACGGACCAATGACACCAATTGTGAAACGGACATTACCTCGACTGGAGCCCCTCAAAAGCGTAAACAACACAAAGCAAACCCTGCACAACCACCTGCTGCCAAGGAGAACAATACCACCCCCACTGACAGCAATCAAAACCCTACCGGGCCGCGAGACTCTGATTCCAAACCCCCGCCTGAAGAATCCATCGAAGATTTGGCTAGCATGGGCCAGAAAGATGTTGTATTGTTTGAATCGACTGTCAATATCAATAACTTTCTGAAGATGGGAAGACCATGGCCCGTCCAACGTATTCAAGGTGTCATTGATGCCAGAGGGAAGTATCAAGAAACCTCTCACATTCCACCCGAGATTCTTGCGGAGGCTAGACTAGCAAAACAGTGCTATGAAAAGACAAAGTGGATGTTGGCTGCAATTGGCAAGGTGAAACATGATGTATTAGAGAAGGAGCTGTAAGTGATCTACCTATCTTTCTACTTTTTAATCATCTGTGATCCTTACATTTCAATTTCCATATGTTTATTAGTGGTGAGGGCAGTCCTCCACGGCCTCGTGATATTTATCGAAGGTTCATGGCCTACGGCGTAGATTTGTTACGTCTTAAAAGTCAGTTTCATGATACTTACTTGATTTATAACATTTTTCACTGACCATGTCTTTTTTTGGTTAGTGCCAAATGGTCGGAAAGCCAAAAACAGCGGCAACGTCATGGCACTCCATAATGCAGAAGCCGCAAAATTTTGGGGTAATTACAACGCTAAAGAATGTCGGGTTTTTCACAAAGATTATTTCTTTGCCTTAGCCGGTGTTCCTGATCTTGATAACCCCAAAGACAACGATTCTCCTGCAACCATTCCTCTGCTTACAAACGAAGAAGAAGAGATATACCGACCTCTTTACGAGAAACTTGTCGATCACGAGAAAGTCATGCAAGAACAAGGCGTCCAACACTTGGAAAAGAATTTGAACAAAAAGTCGTTGAAGTGTGTTCGTAAGGTTGGAAAGATGGTAAGTGCTCTCCTTTGCTAGACTTTTATCTGTTCTTTTGTTGACTTTACCTCCCTCATTTCCGCTAGCTGGCCCGTGATGGTGCACATTTAAAATTCAAATACATATTGATGGCTTCAAGTGCTCATCCTCCAAACTCTAAGACTGGCGCTGGATGGACCAGAAGGTTCACAACTGTACCCAGTGTTACCAGGTGGGCTGATTGTGAAATTGGCTTAGGTCCTGTCTTCGCTACCATAGCACAAGGACAGTCAATGATCAAAGCCATATCCGAAGCAAATAAGAAAACCCAAAAGAAACAAACTAGCAGTCAGCCTCAGCCAAGTGATGTGTTGAAGACCAAGCTGGCGAGTCTCTTGAACAAACGACTTGGTACGTGATAATTTCTTGGGTGATCTGTTTTCTCATCTTGGGTGTATTACTGATGCGGGATTTCTTGTCTCCTTCCTTGTTTGTAGTTGATACACTTGGCTATAATCCCACTCGAGGTAAACAATTTCCCCTTACCGGTGACCCAGTGGCAGGCCTTCTTAAGCGTAAGATACCGGTGCAAATTATACAAGAACCCGGCTCCAAACTCAGCTCTGAAGATTTGAAAGTCGGTCACAAGGCAATGCACAAGGTGCATCGGCAGGAATGTATGGATGATTTAACTACAAATCATTTTAGATTGGAACTTCTGGAAGGACATGAAAAAGAAGACAACACGAGTAAACCAGAACAAAAGACTAAAAGTATTAAAATTTCAAATGGAAAAGGGAAGCGTGGCAAAAAAGTGAAGTCACAGGAGTTTGTAGACGAGGAGGAGGAGGTGGTGGATGATGAGGATGAGGATGAGGATGAGGATGAGGATGAGGATGAGGATGAAGATGAGGATGATGTTGAGGATGAGAATGTTGAGGATGATGATGGTCAATAGATGCAATGTAATAGATGCAATTGTTGTAGTCCTCTTCATTTCTTTTGTGTCTAACTTGAAATAAATAAGCTTGTCTGTCTTTGGCCTCAATTAATTCGATTTCTTCCATTTTTTGTGAGATGAAATGAAGTATGAACTTGTATGAACTTGAGGTATTGGTGCCATAAGTTTGCTTTGCATAACGTGCATGTAGCCTGTCAGATGCATCTGGCTCATGCTACCTCAGATGGCATCTGAGGATTCTAAGATGATCTGACCTGTTACTTGTGCTGTATCAGATGCATCTACATAGCCTGCCAGATGCATCTGAGTATTCCTTAAGCTGCAGATCTTACTGATCTGATCATCTGGATTTGGACGTCCTACCAGCCCCAGTCAGGGCCTTTGGTCGATTTGCGTGTCGCCTTGCCAGATGCATCTGGGGGGTCCAGATAAATCTGCCTCAGGTATATTTGATCTATTGGACACTTTGGACCTCCAGATGTGTCTGTAGGTATTTGACACTACAGATGAGTCTGTTGTGCATAATGACTTGTTCTGCTTGGAGTGCAGTCATTGCTATAGGCCTCTCAGATGGATCTGGTAGCTGTCTGTTGAAGTTCATCAAGGCAGTACATCCAGATGCATCTGCCCCTACACGGGTTGAGGGACTTCAAGTACACGGGATATATCATCAGATGCATCTGCCGCTCTGACTTTGATCTGTGTGCTGTTTTACGGGCTCAATCCGTAGGAAACGTACATACATTTTAACGGGTGTAGTCCGTGCGTTTCCTGTGACACAGGTGAAATCATTTCGAGTTAAAATTAAAGTATTGGTTGACAGAAAAAGCATTTAAGTTACAATTAAGGTATTGGGCAACGGAAGCAAAATTTTGAGTTACAATTGTGATATTGGTTTTGAGTTACAATTATGATATTGGTGGACATGCAAAACATTTCAGGTTACCATTATGGTATTGGTGGACAGAAAAAAATTGAGTTAAAATTAGGATATTGGTGGAAAGAAAAACATTTTGAGTTACCCTTGAGGTATTGGTGGGTGGAACAAACACTTTGAGTCACACTTGGGATATTGGTGGACAAAAAGAATTTGAGGTACAATTAGAATATTGTTGGAAAAAACATCTTGAGTTATGATCAAGGTATTGGTGGATGGAAAGAGTACCAGAAAACTAGGGCCTTCAATGTTATCCCCCCACAATTTGAGATGTGGACACCAGAAAACAGCACCTACTGAGTTTCTTGAAGTGGAAAATTTGAGTTTCTAAAGATGTAGGCATTATATTTGGGTTGATAGTGTGACCTTGTCAAAATCTAGTATCTAGTCTCCAGGCCAGATACCTCCTTAGCTTGACAGAGGACTGGTGCTTGTAGAACAACCAGTTGACTTCATGTAGCCAGTTGCCATACTGTATTGCTCTGGAAGTATTGACTGCTGGTGGATCTGATTTCTAGCTGAAGTTACTTTGAAGCATCATCAAAGATGCTTTGAAGTTTGCTTGGAATCCTTGTGAAGTTGGTGGTAGTCTCTGGCCTGCCAGTGACTAGTAGCTGGGGGATTTGGCTTTCACATCACAACATGCTTAACTGGATCTTTGATTTCAACACACCACCCTTCCTCCAATCAAGACCTTTGATGAAGGTGCTGACACAGACTTTCTGAACCTTTACATTGAGGCGGAGATTTCAAGAAAACTCAATGAGCTCAAGCAATACCTTTGAGGCATATATCCAATGGTTTCTCCCAATTTGAACAATCCACAATGCATGTTGGATTAATTGAAAGTAAGCTGTCATTTCTCTCAACATTTTTCAGATATGTTAATCCAAAATATGTGGCTTATCATTGAGTTTGTACAGCCTCGTGCAGGAAAAGATCCACTTTAATCCCTCCTGGCTCAGAATACCCAGCACAACCAGTGGCTTCTTGTACCTCAAGTGATTTTTCTTGATAGCCAGTCAAGGATGCACAGCTAACTGTGGTGCAATGGCCACTCAAATGATTTAGATCTGTTAGTGGTCAAATATGGGCAACTGAAGACATACCACTCTTTGGAGATTTTTGTGAAATGGTACTTCAGATTGGAAAGAAAATGATAAAAAAGAAACCAACACAATACAGTCGAACCCGCGCAATTGCATACCCACGCAGCTGGATAACCCGTGATAATGCATAGAAAAATTCCTCAATCTTGATGCTTTTTACTGCCAAATTTGACAACAGGATTTCATAACCCGTCAAAATGCATAGGAAAAGTCTTCCACCCAAATTATGTGATTGAGCAGGTTTGACTGTATATCACTTTTAATTTAATTTTATCTTGATTCAGTTCATTTCAATCCATTTTTATTTGTTTGCACTCATTGAAAACACTTTACAAACATCAGCTTTTGTTTCCTGTTTCTCTATGCTCTTTAACATGTTTGTTTTTTGATAAATTTGATTCATATTTGAAAGAAGAAAGAAATACTTTTCTTTGAGAGAACGCTGGAGGTACAACATGGTTCAAAAGCCCAGGGGTACTTAGTGTAGCTGAGGGTAAGCCCTGAGTGCTTTGAATCAGCGGTCCACGCTCAGACGAATTGTGAAAATTCTTGTGCAAATTTTTTTGATGTTACTGAATCACTCACACCCTCAAGCTCAATTGATCAATCATCAATTCACTAAGTCAAAAGAAGTCTCTTGCGATAAATTCTAAAAAACCACCCGCCCGCCCCTGAAGGAAAGAATTACATGTAGGCTTTGTAGAAAGCCAAACTTGGAAAGGATAAGTTACATGTACGCTTTGTAGAAAGCCACACTTAAAAGAGGATAATTAAGATGAACTGGGAATGTATACTCCCTCCCCCAGCCCATTTGTAGCAGTCAGCTGTGACACAGGTTGGTTCTTGTGAACCAATCTTGTCTGGAGGTTTGGTTCTCACAAACCAACCTTGTCAGGGGTCTGGTTCACATGAACCAAACCTGGAGGCCAGGCTGTGCCAATGCCCCAAACATACCACTCTGACCTCAAAGGTAAGAATGGTTCAAACTGGGAGGGACTCACCTCACAGTTCACATAGACTTGTAGAGGCTAGTTTGTCTCAATACCTCAGGGCACAAATTAGTGCAACTCACTGAGGACTGGGTTGTGTGCATCACTGCAAAGCTCTGTGTGAGAAAAGGCTTGCTTTCAGCTGACTTTTTTGCCAAGACCATTTTGAAAGCTACCCTTAGAATTGACAAAATCAAGTGGGCTCAATTGTTGCTGTGCTTACCAAATTACCATTGCTGCAAGCCAGATTTCTCTCGATGGAATTTTAAGTAATCAAATATGGTGGAAGCATCAAGCTTCCCAGGTGAGGGAGGCCACTGGACCAGGTCAAATCCTGAGCCAGAATTGGATAATTCTGGGGCTAGACATGAGCCCACGCATAAAATCATGTGCCCAATGATCTGGGCCTGACTTAAATCTCAGTGGGACAGGGCCAGGTTGGAGCAATAGTTACACAAATGGTCTTGTGCACTTTGTAAATTTTTCTTTGCACAAGAACAAGTCCTTGGAGCCCTTTGAGTGCCCACAAACTGTTTTTGGATTGAGAATATTTTGTGTATCTTATGTTTATCAAAAGAGGCCTCCTGCCTGGATACTCCACACCTACCATAGCACAACTGAGATTTCCACCCCAATCAAGGTATTGTCAGGCAGCAGAGCCCTAGTATTACTTCCATTGGCAGCCTGGGTAAGTAAGGTGGCCTATGTACCACTTCATTCTGGCTATCTGACAATACCAGTATAGTACTGTACCTCTGCACAGAGAATGACACAGTACCCAATGTGGGGCCATTTCTTTGTGTTTCCAGCAGAGCCCATTGTGTGCAACACAGTGCATGCATTTCTTATTAGCTTGCAGATGCAACACAGCTAGCAAAGGCAGTGTTTGTGTTGCTCACTGTTGCATTTTGTGTTTCCCACCATTCTTCACAACACAACATATCTTGCAATACCATCTCAAGAAAACTTTGATATACACAATTGAATTATATTTGAGAAAAAGAAAATATTACAAGAATAAGAAAATAGTCATTGAAGTGTTTAAGTCAAAAAAATTACTTGAAGTATCAAAAGTATTAAAATAGTTGTTGAAGTATCAAGGTATAAGGAAAAAAAGTGTCAAGAAAGTGTCAGAAGTTTCTGACTATAAGTTGCCAAGTTGTGTTGCTGACAGTGGTAGTGCACGGCATTACGACAGGAGAAAAGGGGGACCAAACAGGGGCAACACATCAGGCAATGGTCTGACCCAATGTGTTGCCCAACATTTCTTGTGTAGGCTTTTTGCTTTGTGTTGCTCAAAATTGCAGTCCCCCACCAAGTTCTATATAGGCAATGCCAGGTTTGGTACAATTTTTAGTATCATACCTGAACCCAGGTACAATATACAATACTAAATTTATTAATATTGTGAAGCACACTGAGGTAATGGCAATACTAGTATAGCTGTACAAGTAGACGCAGAAAGTATATGTCACCCTGTAGTGATCTTTTGGCCCTGAGGGTGTCGTATCTTTTCTGTGTCTACTTGTACTGTATTTGTGGCTGCCTTTTTTCCTATATGTACAATGCAAAATTATGTTCAACACGCAATCATTTGCGGCACTCAAGATGATCAAGTCCGAGCCACCTTTTGCGGAAACCTAGTTTTGGGATGAAACTAGGTCTGCCAAGAATTAGGTTTTTTTAAGATACAGGCCGGCACCTGGTTTGTATGTATGTAAGACTACCCCTCTTCCACGCTCATCTATCGCTCCAAGATTCAATTTGGCCTCTGCGAGCCTCGTGCATCCATTTAGGTAGGTTTCCAAAGCGCCAACTAAGGTAATCATTGAGATAGTGACGGCTTCTTGAGAGTTTTCAAGGAGTAATAAGGTTCCGGTTTTCATCAATTCGAAGTGAAGAAAGACTTGCCGAGGTAAGTAAGAAGGTGATTGATAGGTAAGATTGATAACCAATAAGAGATGGAGAGACAATTTCACAAGGTCAGATATCAATTGAGCTCGTGTGCCAACACAAGGCATGTTGGTGAAATCACAATGATTGAGAGAGGGAAACAAGCAGTAGGAAGGAGTGGTCCTCAAAACTAAAAACCAGGTGGGAAATTCCAAGTTTTTCTTGTCCCTGCAAAAATGAAAACCATGTAAGTAGGTTTCCGAGAAAGGTGGCTTGGACCTGATTGCTTTGAGTGCCGTAATCACACATCTACTAATCCAAACATTGCAGCCAAAAAGCTTGGCCAAAGATGGCCCACTCTCCACCAGTAGCTCTTCATGAAACATACACCGTGGGCAAAAGTCCGTCGCATCCGGGTTTGCGACGACAGGACGCTTCCCACGGGTTGCAGCGACACATGTATGCTACATACACAAAAGTGACGTGCGACCCCGTGGTATCTACTGCGACCAGGCCTTTTACATTGCGACACGCTCCTCGAAGCTGCGACATGACCTGACAGGACCCTTTGGAATGCAACCACCCTACGATTATCCCGCCTTTGTGATGCAACGTGAGCCTAACCTCCCATTCCATACGCCACTCAGCTCTCGTGCCCACTCCTCAATCGGGTAAGCATTCCTTTCAAACTTCTAAACTGCTGAACCCCTGAGCATCGCCTATACGTCAACATTCTCACCCAGGCTTTTTTTTTACGGAACTGCAGTGAAATTTCTCATGATGTTGGCTATAAAGACGGTCTTCTTCCACACTTTTACAACTCAACTTCAACTCATTGTCTCATTGTTTCATCCAACCAACCATCCAACTATCTATCCAAACATCCATTCTCATTTTTATTGCTCATCATGGAATGTGAAGACGAAGCCATCAACACGCAAGAACCAGCCTCCGCTGCTGCTGCTGCCGCTGCTGCTGCCGACCCCAACTCTGCGATATCAGCTCTTATTGCTGATAGCCTGAAACAGCAGGCAGCACAGTTTGAAACGATCATCTCCGGCCTCCGAGATCAATTCAAAGAGCTCGGTGGTTCATCTTCACGCAGAAAGTCGACCCCTAACGACTCTACCAAAAACACTCCTGATACCTCGTCCAAACAAGACCGATTGAAACAACCTTTACCATCAAGCGCTTATTCAACACCGACCTCGTCTGCTAAAAAAGGACCTCGCAAATCTAAGACCCCGGTTCCAAAGCCAGCAAAACCAGTTACTCCGCCTGTACGCCGACGCCATCCACTTCAGTTGTTATCGACTGATTTCCCAAACGACTTCAAAACCACCAAGGTATGTCATTCAGGTTTCAGATTGCTGATGAAACAAACATTAAAACCTGACTTCCACCTCACAGGACGCCCTGTTCCTCCATATCAAGATTATGTGGGGGTTGTTCAAGGCGAACGATGTTCCTGCTCCCATTGACCCGAGCCTGCTAAAGGCCTTTTACGCTCGGTTCTCAAAAACAGAACAGATTGAAGCAGCGCTGCTTGATCCTGCAAGTGCCGACGTTGTCGCTCAAAACAATATACTTACCCTGAAATCGTTACGCGGCGGTGATGGTAAGATTGGTCGTGGAATGGCCAATTTGGATGAGATGTACATCCTCTACATCCACGGTATCTTAGCCAAAGTCGGCATCCGTGTTTGGGGTCCTGATCTGAACGAGGCTGCCGACTCGCTGTACAACTCGGCCTGTCGACTCACCGCCCTCAACACGTTCCGTCAGCTGATGGCCACCGGGGCTTACAACTATATGAACGTCAATCCAGATCATGTAAATTCAATGTCTCGCTTCATCTCAGCTTACAATCACTACGTGCATTACTGGATGGCCAGTAAGTTCATCATTTTACCTATGTCTCGCGTGATCTCAGCTTACACACTAACTAGAAGCAATACTGGATGGCAGGCAAGTTTAAATCTGAGCTCAAACCACCCGGTCGCGCCGAAAGCGAAAGTGCCAGGAAGCTTGTACAAAAGCATCGTGAACGAGTGAGTCGTGAAGAACCATTGTTTGAGTACATCTCACTGACGAAAAAGTCCTTTACTTCATTGAACACAGCTTAAACAGGCCCGCGTCCGTTTCCTCGATGTTAACCGTGCCAAATACCCTCCTCGTTATAAAGCGCTTTGTGAAAATGTACTTGCTCATAGCGATGATGAACAAGAGCCGGGCAAAAACTACCTTACCATCAAGACGTTGGCCTACCGATCAAAAAACGCCTCCAAGTTCTTTAGACGATTAGACATCGAAATGCAAAAAGCGGTGCAAGTTTCTGGAAAGGCGGTTCCACACCTCGAGCGTCGATTGCCAAAAGTGCCAGTCCCATCCGCTTTTTCCCGCGCTCCTAGAGACTTACCAATTGACTTTTACAAAGCAAGCTGGTTTAACAATCTTTCCTCGGGCCAAAAACGACTCATTCCCAATGCCAATCAGGTTGCCTTCTTACCCGACGCGGCCCAATCATTGTTTCCTTCTCCTCAAACACATCCCGATGAAAGGTTATCTGACAAAGCCTTCAATGGCAAATACCTTGACGTATACTTACCAGCCTATGAATTATGTGAAGAAGACAAAGATGCCGAAGATAGCGATGAAGGATCAGTTGCTCATTCAGTGGATGATCATGAAAATGTAAAGATGAACGAACCCGATGAATCTGACTCGGATTGCTATGATGAAGGCGATTTCGGTGATCTTTACGACGATACTGATGATGAGGCCGAACAAGGTAAAGGGAAAGGCAAAGGCAAAGCCAATGCACCTATTGATCTTGAGGATGATTGAAAGACCATCATGTTGTACTGTTCTTTTCATTGTTTCAAGTTTTTCAAGACTCTCGTTAACTACGCTGTTCCTTTTCAAGTCTCTCGTTGATATGTTTGTTTACATCTAGGTTCTTCATTTTGTAACTTGTTCACGTTGTTTATTTTAAATTCTTTTGTTAATTTGTTCCTTTTCAAATCTCTCGATGTTTGTTTACGATCTAAGTTTCTCAATTTTGTTATTTCTTTTCAAGTCTTTCGTTAATTTGTTTCTTTGCAATTACCGCGTGTCGTTGACTTTCGTGTACAACTGATAAAAAGCGAGAAAATACAACTGAGAAAAAGTGAGATAACAAACAAGTGAGAAAGTGAATTGAAAAAACTACTCTAACTGAGATTGATGATCAAAAGGACGCAAAATGATTCCTCCCTCTGATACAGAAAGTGTATCATTGGGTAAGAGTCTATAAGCAGCCACCGCAATTACATTGCTTGGAGATACAAAGATACAACGGTCTTCGACTTGACCAACGATGCATTTTAGCAAGTGAAGAATATACCTGAAATGTTTTGATGGTGATGATAGGTCCTTAGGAAACACGTTTAGAATGGGATTTACCAAGAGCTCGGTTTGTTCATCACCTGAGGGGTTAGTAAACACGTAAATTTGCTTGATCATGGCATAGGCTGTTTTCCCATTATCCTTGTACTTAATGCAGTTGTTGGGTTTTAGGACGGACACCGAGAGATATTGGGAGATCTTCCACGAAGGTTTTGGGATTGCGTGTGGATGTAGGACCTTTGCGTTGCGCGGATGAGGAAGTTTGCGATGACTGCGAACCTCAGGCGTCTTCGATTTCACATAGGAAAGCAATGCATCGTATTTGTAATCTTTGAGTTCAATCTTTCTCCTGGCCGCTTTGGATTTTGTAAGCTCTTCTGAAACTGTATTCTCGTCAATGGGATGATCACCCATTAGTCGTTGCAATTGAGCAAATCGACGGAGCATTGTCTTATCCATTTCAGCTGGAAATACCAATTCCAAATACATCCATGAGTCCTAGTACCCAAAACAGCTAATAAGACCAGACTTACCTAAGTGCGTGTTGGTCTGAATCCCCTGTAACATCCCAATCAAGCGCTCACCCGCGAATTCGGATACTTGGTTGAGAGGGCCCCAGCGCCTGAGCTGATCCGGAATGTGGAGTGCATAGTGATGGTTTGGCACGACCCCCATATTACCAAAGATACACAGAGAGTTTTTGTGATATCGCTTGTAAAAAAAAGCAAACATATCTGCATCATGCCTAGTGACAGCCTTTGTAGTGACAATGTTGGTACACTGTACCAAATCAGCAATATTTAAGAGAATTCGACCCCTATTTGAGTCCACCAGGATATCCTCCACGTCTAACACATAGATTTGAAGAACTATCAGAGGTATGATGAACGCGAATAAGCTATGCCATTGTGATGCTTTGAGCTTTCCGTGTTTTGATTCACCGAGGTTTGATGGAAGCCTGGTGATGCCGGTAGGTAATACAATATCCTTCATGCAATGGCGAAACAACTTGATATTCTCTTCAGTAAACAGTCCCCCATTCCAACCTGAATCGAGCTCCTCATCTTCATCTTCATCTTCAAAATCTTTGTCAGAATCCACCGCGTTCCCACCTCCTTCCTCATAGGTTGGCCTTTTCGCTGATCGCTTGGATGATGATGGCTCGGCTCTTTTGCGTTTTGTTCGAGCTTGGTCGTCCTTTGAGGGTATGACAAATCCCCATCGGTATCAAAAGTGTTGGTGTAAGACACCCTCGAACCAATTATGCATGACTCCTAGGGGGAGGTCAAGGCAAGGGTCTCAATAAACCAATCGATTCATTTCGGACCAACGGACCCCAGTGACCTTCAGAATGTCGTCTTTTGCCTTCAGTGTTTTTACGCTTCTAGACTCTTGAGATGCTTTCAATGTTTCTCTCTTGTTCCTCAATTTTGCGATAATCATTTGTCCGATGTCGTTAGAATTAGCCCAGCACCATGAACAGAAATAGGTTGCTGAATGTGATGCAAATCCAGCAACCTTATGCATTCCAACCTTGTCACCTAAGAGCGAAAGTAATTTGATGCGAACCAACCGACCTTGAGGATACTGAGACGTAGGAATCTTGATACCTGTTTCGAGCGCAAGAAGTTCATCCACTGTACTTTCCAAAATGTTGGAGATAGTCGTCATGTCGGGTGAATTTGGACCGGTTGTAATGCCATGGACACACGTATTGCTCATTAAATTTTGAATTGATGGCCTAAGATTTAAACAGTTGTATGAAAGTACACCAAATGACTGTTGCTTTCCTGCCTGACGATTCCCACGAGGGTTGAACCAGTCGATGAAGAGTGAGAAAACCAAGTTGAGAGGGGGCGGATTTGTAGCTTCATCAGAGGGTTGAGGATCATTCCAGATGATTTTGGCAAACGCGGGAGATTGCTGTATGTCGATGATGTCAGAGCTTTTGGCGTGAGCAAGTTCCTGCTTCCATGCTTCAATGTCTTCCTCAATAAAGTCTTTGCTGAGTAGCCATTCGAGCCACGATGACAAGGGCTGTGTAACATACACGCTTCGCGGGACACCGATATGTGATGGTGTCAGGTGCATCGAATCCGTAGGTTGACGAATTTTCCCCTTGTCGCTAATACCTTGGAAATTGGTTTTCGAGGTGAACAGTTCTTCGCCACATAGTCGAGCCTGAGCCGTCTTTTGATAGGTGCAAGTCCACGGAGCCTCAGCGATCTGATACAGGCTGAAGCAAACAGGACAGCAAACCCGTTCGACTAGGTCCGGAGAGACTGATAAATTCCTGATGATTGTTCGAACGTCCTTAGGTACAGCATAGCAGGCGGCATCCATTGAATAACCATGGATCTCACGATCCCTTCTTTCATCCTCACGAGAAAGTTTGAGTATGCGCATGATGAAGTTTTGGGCCTTCGCACAATCGATGCGACTCAGACCACAGGCGATATGTAGCCACCCTAAGAACATGCAAACAAGAGTGACGGCTAATGTAATCGTAAAGGTACCATATGATCAGATCAATTCTGGTCTAAACAGAACGTAACAGTGGGTGGTCTTACCGGTGATAGACAATGTAGGGGTCCAATCCTCAGCTGGTTTGACATATTCCTCTGCTGTTGCAACACCAGGCAAATCGTCTTCGGAATCGTCCGCCTTTGGTTCTGCAAGTGATGCTTCAAGATCGAGTTTATGGTGTTTCAGCCCGGTTGAAGATGTCTTCCATTGGCCACGACAAGTTTGGCCGTTTTCGTCGATGCACGTTTGAGTTATGCATGTTGAGCAAGTGCAAATGATCATAACAAAAGATGAAAGTTGCTGTGAATAGGTAACGATTGATGGGTGCGAAATAACGAGGAAATCAAGAAAGCTCAAAATCGGCATGAAAGGCCAATGTCGCATCATGCAAGGCAAGATAGGGCACTGTCGCAACCTGTCACAGCCTGTCGCAGTGTGACGGGCCTGGTCGCAGTAGATACCACGGGGTCGCACGTCACTTTTGTGTATGTAGCGTACATGTGTTGCTGCGACCCGTGGGAAGCGTCCTGTCGTCGCAAACCCGGATGCGACGGACTTTTGCCCACGGTGATATAACTGACTGCAAAAGACGGTGAAAGCATGGAGTACCTGGGAATCGAACCCAGCGCCTCTCGCAACCATGTCCTCACGGATGCTAAGCGAGCACTCTACCGATGAGCTAGAACCCCTATGACGTCATCGGCGTTTTCCGGGTACTCGACCGTGAAATTACCCGGAACTTGCCGGGCTGAGTTGTGACGACCGTCGAGGCCGGAGCCTGAGGGATTAACGAAAGACCAGAAGGAAAATTTCAAAGTTGCTTATGAAGACAAAAGTTTGTTTGAGAACGGTCAAGGTGTTCAATCGAACAGATCTCAGCCAAATTTGCAGACGAGGATGATGTATGTACAACTTGGCAAGATTAAGCCGGTCTTAAGAAAGAATAACAGATTAATATATTGAATATAGTGTACTTTATGACTGGAGCATCAGACAAAAAGTGAAGATACATGATGAAGTGGGGAGCTAGAGTACGATTGTGCAACTCGTATTGGAAACATCAAATGTAGCTTAAGGCTCAAGCCGGCAATTTTGACTTTTGCACTATGATCAACAGACGTCAAAGTTTTAAAGGAGTCGGGACGAGTTTGTAACTGAGTTCCATTAATAAAATAAGCAAAGGATTTTGGAGAAAATTATTTCTATACATTCAATATTCATATTTGAACTTATTCATTCTATCATACAGTTATAATCACATCATTTCTATCAAAATTAAAAACGTTGTATTTATATTAATCACAAAAGAATTCATGCAAAACGAGCTAACAAAACAAAGATTGAAGAAAAGAAAAAAAGAAAGATGAAAAATTGCAAATCATTGATTCAATCCAGCATAAGTTATTCATTAGCTTTGACCATAATCCGTTCTAGGCGCTCTGGTCATTGTTCCAGCTCTTTTCAAAGCTCCAGTCTCCCACTTTGATTTCATATCGTTAACTCCATTGAATCTTTCTTCGGGTTCTTCTTCTTCTTGATGCTTTTCAAGTTGTCCCGCAATTGATGTTGCTTGAATATTACTCACAGCTGACCGTGTGTAATTATGACTCTTTGTAGGAGGAGTTGGTTTATTCGAACTTGATGATTTGGGCGGTGTAGGTTTGAAGGTTTGTCTTTGACCGTTACCTGTAGTTGACGTCTTGAGACCTGTGGCAATCTTATTTGAGAAACCGTTCTTGCCAGCTGGAGGAGAAGTGGCGGGAGACTGAGAATCTCCTGTTGTTGATAGGCTTTCATATCGAGACACTAAACTCGTGATTGCAGCTGCAGACTTTAATGACTGTGGCTTTGGTGCTCGCAGTGGAGGACCTGGATTCCGGGCCAATCGCGAGCCAGTCAACATCGATGATAGTCTGTTTTCGGGTGAAGTAGATCGGGTTTGAGCACGCGAAGAGAATGGGTCCCGTTCATTGTCATCCAATGGTAGCGGAGAGGCCGCAGGAGGTGCGAATTTAGCAATTGCAGCCCTCCTCCGAGCCTTGATGTCGTCATCTTCCTCCGTGGTAGTGGTCAAGTCCGATGTGGAGGCGACTGAAATCGATGTTGTCGATGGAGCTATTGGAGCTATTGGAGGTTGGGCAGGGGGGTTTATTGGTGAAGTAGATTGGTTGGATGTGCTAGCTGCTGAAAGCTGATTGAAAGATTTTCGTACTGGGACAAAATGATCCTTCGTAGATTTGAGGATCGAGTTGACCGGGTTGAAATCTGACTTCGCTGGCAGAGGTGGGCTCGTAGATTTTGCATGTGCCGAGAATTTCGCCAATCCTTCTGGGTCTTCTGGTTCTTCTAGTTCATCATCCGAGTCGCTAGATGAATTGCTACTTGGACTTGGTTTCCAGGCATTCGACACGGCATTCGTCTTGATATCTGTTTTGCCAAGTGGCCGAGAAGGTAATGGAGGTTCACCGGCAAATTCAGTGGATCCGGAAGGTTTAGCCTTGGGAGTCGGTCGAAACTGATGATTGTTGCGTAGCGTGTTGGCTGACTGATATTTGTTTGCTAACTGTTCTTTGATAGGGGGATGTGTTCCTAAACCTAGCTGGGCAGAAGCTGCAAGGTCATCCTCGTCGTCGGCGAGGAAATTGACCGGTGGTTTTGGATTTGTAGATTTCTTTTCTGAAAAAGATGGTTGTCCAATCGGATTCTTTGATGGCAAAGTAGGCATAAGCTCTTTGATCAGGCCAGAGATAAGACTGGGTGACGTCTGGACAGATCGACTGACCAGCTGTGCTTGGTCTTTCTTCAGTAACTCTGATAAGGATGGTGCCGAGGGGGCTTGAGAAGGTTGCTTGAAGCTGTAGGATGACATAGATACCTTCGTGGAGGTGAAGCTAGTATGCGACGATCGAGTTTCATGTGTGGTGTGCATATTCAGCGATTGAGGCCCAGTTTTTTGTGACAGGCCACCGGAGCCTATGGCGATGGCACCGGAGGCTTGCTTCGTATGCCCGATTTTTGGAGATGACGTCGATGATGGACCAGTGAAGGAGTCCCTTTTAGCAGGCCGATTTGATTGAGGAAATTTCCCATCTGCTCGAGCATTGCGTATCGTATTCATGCTAAGTGGTTCAGCCTTCTTGATATACGCAGGAGGTAGAAGATCTTCGAAAGGAAGAGTTGGCTTTGTGGCTGGTAACACTATATCTGCCACTTTCCTCTGCTCGAGCGCGGATTTGGGTTTGCCTTGGTGGTCAGGAGACGTTGTGTGGAGATGATTGAGTGACACCGGCGCAGAGGTCAACCGACTTGTGCCGGGACCGCTTTGCGGCGATGTCAGCATGAATGCATCTCCAAACCCAGCGGCAGCTTCCCTGGCGAAAAGATCAGACTCTTCAGGTGCACCAACCTTGGAAGGCAACTTCCACGTGGAATTATTGTCGTTGCTGTTCTCAAGCTTGGTAGCAGAACCGCCAGATGTGTCTATGGCATTACTGGGTGCCACATCTTTGGGTTTCGTCATCGGCCTACCGCGCCGCATAGGCACGACGACGTCAGCTTGACGGGTGAGGAGGGGTACAGATGGTGCGCTAGTGAAAATAGCATCCAAGCCTTCAGATTTGCCGGACTGAGGGGCTACATTCGCGATAGATGAAGCTTGCCCTGATCGCTGTGTGGGTCCTGATCCCAAGGATGTTGCGGCTCTGCTCGCACGCTAAAATTCGGAACAAACGTCACATCATCACAGTGATCATACAGCGAAGCCATCATTGGACTTACCCGTTTCAAATGGGGCTGGATACCTCGCAGTTTGCACGTATGTTCATGTACCTGCCAGATGTCCGGCCTACTGAGTGCGGACTTCTGAAGCATGGTACCTGTGAAGACGCACAAGCTGAGTTGAAGTTCAAGTGTCTTGACAAGATTCACTAACCGATCAAATACTTGATAGAGTTGCTGTAAGCAGGGTAAGAAGGAATGGTGTATTGAACATTGAGGATTGCCATCGGGCCATGCTCCTCGAAGGGTGTTGTGTAATAACAAAGTTTGTAGAGAAAGACGCCTAAAGCCCAAATATCTAAAAACTCGAGGTTAGAAAAAAAGCCACTCTTTACATCACGGTGAAGAACGTACCTGCTTTCTCGGTGACACCTTTACGGCTCCACACATCCACCATCTCAGGAGCTCGATATTGAAGAGTTGTATGCTTGTTCAGATCCGCCTCTAATGCCTGGATCTCAGCGGTGCTTTGGGGTGGGGTTGTTGGCGGAGTGGTAGTAGAGCCAAAATCGCACAATTTGTAGAGATTAGGAGCGGCCACCAGGATGTTCTCGACCTGTATGTAGAGAGCAGTGAGACGTTGAAGACTATCAATTGATTGATCCGAATCGACGTACTTTCAAGTCACGGTGCATCAAGATAGGGGTCTGACTGTGCATATGAGCTACCGCTTCGACTGTATCGCTGAATATCTTCAGAATCTCAGACTCAGTCAGGCGGTTTTGTAGACGTGAATTCAATAAGTCAATTATGCCACCGCCTATTGGAAACAATTTCAGAGTTGATGAGTGACTAGCATTCCAACATGAATCAAGTAAATCAATTTGAACTTACCTGGACAAAGCTCCATCAAGATGAATATTTCATACCCAGACCCACCCACAATAGAGGATGCAGAGGCTTCGATGAAATATACAACATGCTTGTGAGGCCTCAGTTGCTTCATTACATCCACCTCCTTCCTCACCTCCACAAGGCCGGCTTTATCGGGTACAGCCATCCGCTTCAAGACAAATGTGTTTTGAGTGGGCGCAAAGCCTTCAACACTGGAAGGTGAAACCAAACTAGCAACGTACACATGGGCGAAACCCCCTATGGAATAGAAGTCATTTCAGCACAAGATCCTATACAATTTATTAAATTTACACTGCTTGCTGTTTGCTCTCTTTTTCGATCAGATTGAAGCAGTCACAGGGATCTCGAGGCTGCAGGAGCTCCAGAGAGCGAGGCTCGAGAGTGATTGGATGCCAGCATAGAATGATTTTGCTTCCATTCTAGAACAACTCCTTTTAGTTTGAAAGATTCAATTGTTGCTTACCTTCACTGAGAAACTTGTCCACTTTGACTACATACTTTCCAACTTGAACCTTTGTACCAGGCTGAAGACTTCCGGAAGGACCTGGAGATGGACTCGCGACGTGAGAAGGTGCTGAGGGTACTAAGTTGGGCCGGGATTGATAGGTTGCCATGATTTCCTGACGATTGCCTGACTATATGAGCTTCCAAGAATGGTTGAAATTCAATCGTAAGGGGATCGTTGACAGTGTGGTGGTGCTTTCTGAAATCGTCGTGAAGTTTTAGGTCGAAGATGCTGAGGTGATCGTCCATTGGGCTGGACCCTGGCACATTAAAACACAAAGCGCACCGCCCGACATACATACCCTGCCCGCCCCCGAACATACTTGCAAGAAATGGGAGCCGTCAGGCGGGGCTGAGACGGGCCGACCCGACCTTCGTTCAACTTCAGCTTCAAGTTCAAGTCAACTGAATTCCTTGAACACTATTAATCCTGCAAGCTTCAGATGTTTTCAAAGCAATGAGTGGTATGGAAGGGAGCTGTAAAAAACATACTTTCAAGTAATCCCTTGTGAGAATGATAGTGGCTCATGAGACAAAACCTGTGATTGCAAAACCCGGCCAAATGATTCATATGAGGAAGAAGCCAGACAGCCTTGACCGGCTAAATTCCTGCATTTTGATTTTACGTGTCCCTTGAGGATGTTGGTTTGCAAGCACAGCACGTCCTCAAGCGCTTTTAAGCGCTTCGTGTGAACAGAAAATATCTCCAGCCAATGAGAATCCTCGCAAGACATGGTGGTACAAGGAACTCCTTCATAATTACAGGCAAACTTCGCGAGGAAAAGTATCTAACTTAACACAAGTCCCAAACTCGCAGGGGCTTTCATACCTTCACAAGCTCGGTGCCCTGGAGAGGGACTTGCGAATTATCAGAGCTTTTTGGTGTACCAGCAGGGACCCGATGAGAGTCGCTCGGGTAAAAATCCCATACAGACAATTATCTTCTGTAGTTGAGACACTACACTACGGTCCAAACTTTAAGGGCCCTTTTGTACTCAAAACGACCATAGTCACGACATCTCCATTACATTTCAGGACATCTCCCAGTTCCAAATATGGTATGTACTCAAAACATAAACTTGATAAGTTTGCACGAAACACATCTTCATAATGAAGAATGCATGTAAAGCTGATGTACTCGAAATATAAACAGAAGATACATTTATTCTAGCAGTCCAATATATCATCAGAACATAGATGTGCCCATCTATATACCCAAGACATAGCTCGTATATAACTTTTGTTTTCATAGAAGAGGACCTCAGCTTAAAGTGACCAGCTGGGGCCAAAGCCCTGTTACAAACCAGGCTTTGGTCGGTCCTCAAGTCCTGATATGTGGTAAGCTCATGAGTTGCATAAATCAAAGTCACGAAAAACAACTGACCTTCAGATCTTGGCCTGCTTTTCACTCGACTCGATGTTTTCCTCTCTTTTTTCTTTGTTGTCATCAATCATTTAATCAGTTTCATATCAGTGTTTTTTCGTTTTTTGTGACCCATCGACCTTGTCATTCATTGGTCTTCATCTCCTCTACATCCGTTCTTCCAATGACTCGTTTTATTAGTTTCATAACGCTTCGATCAAACAGTTTCTTATCGAAATATTTTGGGGTTGGTTTTCCTTTTGATATCTTCGATCTCTACCACTCTCTACCCTTCAATGGCTACCAAATCCATTCATATCCGAGGCTCTATCTCCTATTTAAATCTTTCTTTACATTTCCTTGATTTGAATCGGCTCAAATTGATGGAAATCATAACCTCATTGTAATCGCCAGATTCATCCATCTCATCGTTGTCTGTTTTTTGGTCCACTCCCTAATATCACTCGTATACGATGTAGTTTTTATCCCATCATTGTCTCCCAAAAGGATTACAGTATCTCCCAATGTCTCTGTTATTTGTACTCACAACTGAACTGAAAAGTGTAAACTTGAAAGTACTGTTTTATTTATTTCAACTTCCTTGCCAAGTTCCCAATCCCTGAAATGTGGATAATAAGAAAGTGCCAACGTGAGGCAATGAGTTTTTTGTAAAAATGCACCCCCATCGGGTTAAAATTCTCTCGATCTGCCTTTCCTCCCGATGATCCACACAGTTTCGCAACCTAGGGAGTCGTCTGATACACCAATTTTGTGATGTAAAAAATATATACCTGAAAGATACCGTTCATGTCAATGTTTTGTAGCTGGGATCCTATTTACTATGTACGTTTTCAAGATCTCAAAACGGAATCCTTGAGACAGACTGTGAAATTATGTATCCATTACATCGCTTTTGGACCGTAGTGTACACGAAATCTGAGGAGAGCAAATTGTTCAGAATTCCCGAATGAACAACTTTGCTCTTTGGACAAAGCTCAACCATTCCTCTTGCCCTTGCAAGAGGATCGAGAAGAGTTTTTCGGGGTCAAATGAAATTTGATGAGCGAATAAACCAGTTTAATCTGATTTAAACTGATTTGATTGACTTGAAAGTGGTTGGTCGAGACAACGTTGAAGCAAGAGAGCCAAATCGTGAATATCATCATCGATCAACTCATCCAAATGGCTCAGCATACCATCAGCACCAATGTCAATACGCAGCAACCAGTATGCGAGTCTGATGACGACTGGGAAGATGATGACGGGCCATCCACCAATGCAACGGCTACCGGACGAGTAGCTTTGAGCCAACGTATCCTTCGTCAATCTTCGAAATCACTGCGTGCGCAAATCCGGGAACTTTTTCGAAAGCGCTACGGCCAAGAGCCAAAAAAGTTGCAGATCAGAGTAATTGAACGCTTGGTCAAAGGACACGACGTCTTCTTTCACGCCGGAACAGGCTTTGGCAAAACTCGGATTGCCGAGACATTTTTCTGGTTGTTTGGAAAACGTAAAAAGGCGCTGTATATAGTGTTGAACCCCCTCGATGCATTAGGAGATAATCAAGTGGGTAGCCGCTGCCAGTACACTCAATGGTTTTAAATCTCACACTTGTCTTCATTCTCAGGTAACCGAGAAGATTGCGGTGGGTATCAGTGCTTTTAATTGTACAGCAGAAACATTCAACGAGAATACTGTGGAAGAGATTAAGAACGGTGCTTACTCCGTCTTGTATGTTGTATGTTTGGTTCAAACTTAATAGCTGAACTTACGACTTATGTATACCACATGCTGATGTTCCGGTGTACTTCTTTTGTACAGAGCCCCGAAATTTTTCTACATAATGATTTTATAGGGCCGGCCCCGTCATCCTAACCGGGAATGAATGCAGTACCGGCCCCGTTCACGCACAATCAGGCATATTTGAGCATGAAGATGTGATTTCATTGCGTAAGAACAATCTTTGTGTACATAGACAAGTATATGATGTGATAAGGTAACTCCTTTCATGTATATATAATTCTTTTCATGTATGTAGACAAGTATATGTTGGAATAATAACTAGAAAAAGAGGAAAACATCAAAACACTGAACCCACTATTCGTCTTCTTCAATCTGCATCTGTAGCTGTCACGATGATTGGACTTTCTTCAATGAGGCGCAAGGCCTCGTTCATGATGTCATTGAGCAGCGGCATGATTTCTAAGCTTTTCTAAGATTTCTAAGTATGTTTATGTGTGAATATTTGTGTGAAGCCTAAAACTTTGAAAATGAAGTTGAGTGGGATGTGGGGTTTGGTGGTAAAACGTGGTAAAACGTGGTAGAACGTAACTCAAGTGGTGATACACGGTGATAGACACTTAATACTTAATGACTGGTTGTAAAGCTTTCGAAATCTCAGGACTCTCAGGACTATCCAGAGCACTTCAAAAGATGCGCATGGTCTAGAGCTATCGAATGAGCCTAGCCCGAGGTCCGAGGCTTTGCTACTTTTGGCGTAAAATGGAAAGGCGCAAAAAAAATTTGGGCCTCCGAGGCCTGATTCCGACATTCAATTTTGAGCCATTTTTGGCCGTTACATCCAATTATCTCTGGAACCATAGGTGCTATGAGGTTGAAAGCTAGCTTAAATGAAAGCCCTCCTTCTCACGCACATTTTGCGCTACTGTAGGTGCTGTGATAAGGTGATTTAGTACCCTAAAACCCCGCCAACAAAATGTCGGAATTTACATTACATACCTCTATAGGCGCATTCCTGGGTCCTGTACAGAGCCCCGAAATTTTTCTACATAATGAGTTATTCAAAAAGATGTATTTTTCTCAATGGTTTCGTGATCGTTTGATTGCGAAGGTCATTGATGAAGCACATATGATCTATCGATGGGGTATGGTTGAAAGTGGGAAAAGGGGTAACCCGTGGATGAAAAGTATACATGACACAGGCATCTTCCGTCCCTCATACGGAAAGATGGGGTTGCGATTGTCAGCGACTGACAGAGTTCCGATCCTTATGATGTCGGCTACCTGTCCACCAAGGCACCGCGATTTGATCTATGCGAACCTGAAGATCATGAAAGATGACATTGATTTTATTGAAGGTGAACTAGCTCGACCTGAGGTCACTATTCTACGATTACCCATGGAAAAGTCAAAATCATCACTCCTTGATCTCTCAAGTCACTTTGCACCGAAGACAGAAGTGCCTGATAGTCAAGTACCACCAACTCTGATTTATACTAATACAAGAAAAAAAACCATGACTGCTTTGAAAGTACTCAATCGTGCACGCGGAGTTCCAAAAGGCGAATACAACGCAAAAAGCACCTTTGGTCGCAGATTTCATTCGAACACCGGACCTACCGACAAGACTGCTAATATTGCCGACTACGCCAATTCAATCTATCCTATCATCACATGTACTTTGGCTCTGGGCCTTGGTCAAAACTGGACCAGGGTGCGTCAAGTGTTTCAAATGGGGAGAGCAGACGCTTCTGCGGTTTCCCAAATTCTTGGGTGTTGCGGACGTAATGGTAATCCTGGTCTTGCTGTGTTCTACGTTGAAAAGCATCAACAAAAAGGAAAGAATTGTGTATCTGATTTTGAGGGTTTGACAGAATTTTCCGATGATGATCTTATGGATGGTTTAGCTGTGACTCCTGTCTGTTTGCGAATTGCCTTCAAGTTATCAAGCTTGTACGTTCTTTCATAATTCTAGTGCATATGACAAATAACACTGTTCTGATCTATGTAAATGCTATCAAGATTAGGACGGATTCCGATGAGAGAAGACGAGGACATCTATGTAGCAGAGAAAAAGCATCAAGAAGAAGCTGGGATGCCTGCATGCCGGTGCTCTAACTGTGAACCGGAAGCATCCAAACTTTTGGCTGCCAATATGAAGTGGCTTACTCTCAGTAATTTCGAAGCTGGCCTGAAAAATCCAGATATTCTTGCAAAATTGGGACGTCAGCACTCAAACAACGATGAACTAAACAAAAATGAAGAGGCACATGATGATTTAGATCCCGACGCACCTATCATCAATCCTAAACCCAATGGACCTCCTCTTTGCCGGGTGGAATTAATGCAGTTGGTCGAGAATCTAACTTTAACAATCAAAGAGCATCATCGAGTTTTGATGGATGATGAAGACCGACTGAAGGCATCTGATTATATTGACGATAACGACATTTGGCGGGTATTAAATAAGATTTACACAATTGAAACTTATGAAGATGTATACGAGATCCTTGGATGCGATATTTTACCAGGTGGAGTTGCTAAAATAGTTGATTGTATTAATGAGTGGAAGTCGGGTGATGCAGGTAGTCAAGCTTTGAGCAATTTGCGTGCAAGAGAGGCTGCGACTAGGTTGATACAGGCGGAGACACTGGCTAGACTGCAGAAACAACACGAAGAGCGAGAAGCGAAGGCTCGAGAAAGCCGAATTCTGATTGAAAATAAAAGGAAACAAAACACCATCGATCGCCTTGCAGAAACAGAAGCAAAAAGACAACGTAAAGAAGAAAGTCTGAAACGGAGGACAGCCGCAACAAAGGCGAAGTCCGATCAAGTAGCAAAACGTGCTGCTAATTCACGAATGATTGCTGCCCTCGCTTCAGGCAAATCAATGTGGGCTTTGAATATTTCCTGAATGCTGAGATTCATGCTGACTTGCTTGGTTGATTACATAGGGAGGAAGTCGAAGTAGCAGAAGAAAGAATTAGGCGTGAAAATTCTGATCAAGAGAACAAAGTTGTAAGTGATCAATCAAACATCCCATGATTTATTAAGTTTCAACAAGTTTGCAGGCTTGTCCGAATGCAAATACAGTCGTGTCTCAATCAGACTAGTCAATTTATACTTTATAATTTATATTTCATTCAAATAATATTTATCATTTTACTGCCCAACATATATATCATCACATGTATCGCATTTATCAACAAGTAAAAAAAACTTTGGTTACACGCATTGTATTTAGAATTATTCTTTATATGTATCATAAATATAAATAATCAACTTATTTAACCTCATACTGATCCGTCAGAGCTACTGTCACAATCTTGATCATCACTGCTATCACAATCTTCACTACCACTAAGATCTTCTCCAGCACGTTCTTGAACATGCAAACCACCAGCTTTGGGCCAATGGAACCTACCCAGTTTCTTCTCACGAGCCAAAAGGCGCAGTTTGGCGAGTCCTAATGCATACATATCTTTCGGGCTACCACCTCTTATCGTTGAACCTGGTGTACAAGCTGCGATGTTGTGCTGATGAGCCATTCGAAGGAAGTTCCTCATTGTACAGTGATCAATGTTGTTTTGATGTGACTGATACACATCATTGAGACCTGAGCGACCCTTGAGGCGATGTAGAAATTCACGTAGCTATACAAGATTTATCAATTTTGGTTTCAACCAAATACCAAGAAAGCCACTCACCAGCGGAACATTGATTGAATAAAGGTCTCTGAGTCGCTTGATGGAAGTGCCGGCCCCCTTTGTAAGAAAAAAGGATGTAAGAAAAGGAATCGGGCTCAAATGAAACGATCAAGAGGTAATTTGATACTGACCACATTATTATAGAAGAACTTTAGCCAAAAATTCTGCACCTCGAGGAAGAAGTCTTTGGCAAAAAAATGCCCAGCTCGCCCACTTGGACAGACCAATAAGTTGCATTTGATAATTTCTGCCACTTTGTCCGGTAAAGTTTTGTTGAGTAAAACAATGAGGCGAGGGAGGTAATTTGAATAGTGCTTCAAACGGTTCATTCCATTAGCCATGACACCCCATTGTTTCCACATTCGGATCATGCGGCCAACATCACCAGCCGACATTGCTCGAGAGGCTTCAATAACAGTTGCAAAATCATGCAATCGGAGAAGGAATCGGACAAGCTCTTCATCACATTGTTCTTCGGCGTGAGGAATAGCTTTGGGACCAAAATACTGATCATATCTCGCATCAATGACATCCTTCATCCTTTCAGGCGTCATTTTCACTCGGTCCTTTACTACAGTCTCAACGTTCAGTTTCATTACTCGCCTGTGAAAATGTCAGCAAACACAAGTTGAATAGTATGAAGCGGTAGATCCGAAAACTTACTGGATACACAAGGTGATTGAACCTTCATGGAGTCGCTCCATTGATCGGATCATGGCAGTAAAGTCCTTTTTACTCGTGGGTTTTTCAAATCGGCCGGCTAGAGCTTCGATCCCTCGCCAAGCACCCATATCTTTGACATCGAGATGGCTACCCCAGTGCTCTAGTAGAATAGCCTGAGAAATATTCCACATAACGTGAGCTGCACCGAGTATCATGATCAAGTGTTGAAAGCTCTCAGCAGGAGCCGAGCATGGATCTCTTTCATCAACAACGCTTGAGACAATTCAGGCAGTACCCAAGTCACCTTCCCAGACTTGGGCTCGGCTGGCGTACTTCTCCTTTGATAAACCGGTTTGATGTAAGACCTCATTGTATAACTCGCCTACGCCTGCAGTTGAGTTATCAGACGCTGACATCATTTTCAGCATCATGATGTCAGGTTTTTCCGTGGGAAGTGGAGTGACTGAAGGTGTATCTCGGTACGGGATATTTTTACTTTCTATCGGTTCAGCTACATATTTAACTAAGACATGTGAGATTTGAGATTTCAAGGTCAAATTCCAATCCTTGATTTCGGTTGGTGTTGGCGTAACATCGGTGATATCGATAGGTTTCCCCTTGGCTAGTCTCAGTATGGTGTTTAACTGCTCGGCTGTGAAAGTGTCGTGGTCGGAAGAGATTCCATTGGGTATCTTTGGGCGATGTATGTAACCCCAGGAGCCGTTACACATGGTACTTTCCTTCTGTACGGTAGGTGTGTGAACATGTTCTTGAAAGTCGATATTGTCCAGAGTAATGAAAGGAGCTAACCAATGCTCCTCCCCCATCACATCGACCAGTTTCTTTTTCAACTCCTGTCCTAAGTGTTCCAAGGCATGGATGGCTGTCTTTCGATTGACTTAGAGGCCCACGTATTGAAGGTACGCATTAACTCGTTCGGATACACCACACGCGAGCATTGTGAGACCATTCTCCACCTGGAGGGCGTTCACTCGACGATTACATACATTGGCTACCATGGAACAGATTGTTCGAGTCACCTGAAACAGATTTAATCTCAAAAATCAGTTTGTATTCTGCTGAATTTCGCTGTCAAGATTAAAATGTAGTACTAACTGAAGTACTTCGATTCTTGATATTTTGTGCTTGATCTTTTGACTTCCGAAAGACATAGCCATCCCAGCTCTGTACATATTCGTTGTCCTCACCCAAAGTTGATCCTCCAAGACCAGAAACTTCTGGATCTTCAACTGGTCTGACTTCGAAGTCGCCTGATAACTCATCATCTGAGTCTAAAGTATTGAAATCTCGATCAATAGCAGGTTGAGTGTTGGTTGATTGACTGGATAAATTGATATTTGAAGATGTATTGGAATTTTGGGATGCATTTGGTTTACGTTGTGAGTTTTGTAGATCCGCTGCCTGTACTTGTGCCTTTAGATTATGGTCAAATATTGATTGAATTAGACTATAAAGGAAAGGCATTGATTGCTCAAGGATGTTGTCTCGTGTGTGTACCTCGGCGTAATCGAACATCAAAGGTGTCACCTTTGAGGCGTTGATATAGAAACCTTTTGGAACACTACCAGATGGTGGTTGTTGTTTTCTAGCCACCATGATCGCCTAAAAATTCACGTTGATAAACAGAAATGTTAGAAATATGTGGGAATTATCTAGCTTTATGAGATTACTAACCTGTGATAAAACCCAATCTTCCCAGAACTCTCGACCGGCCTTGCTCTCCAGAACGGTATCTCGGATTACGGTAAGCAAACGGCCGGTCGACTCCAGACCAACACCCGTACCCCACCTCCTTCTAGATTTCACAATTGCCAGATTGGTTGAGGATAACCAAGCTTCGATAAAGCTTTTGGGATGAAGATGGTTTTTGCCGATGCACGTTAAAATCCGATGTAAAGCTTTGAAAGAAACCGGTGTTGAACCTGGACCAGAAGAGTTGGCTCCATGGTTGAGACTTTGAGCCATTATTGATAAATTTGTGGTGACATCAAGTTCAAGGAGATTTAAAATAAAAAAACAAAGGTTTGACTTGACGTTGATCAGACGTACACACTTATGTCCGGATTTTTTGACAACAGAATAAAAATCATTAAGTGCTATTGTCAAAATACAGTCCTTTCTGCCTGCACATCAAATTTCGAATTTAAAAACTTCTTGTATTTCTTGAGGAAGGTAGGAGTGAGATATGGAAAAACTGAATAGACAGTTTTGAAGGGAATGGTCACAAGTAGCTCCAGTTGAAATGGGCACGGGGGTTTGTTGAGACGAAGCGGGTTCAATTGCGGTTTGAAAAAACCTCTCCGCCAAACTCAATTTGAAAACCCCCTGTCGAGCCACCAAGACCGGCTTATAATTCATAAGTCCCTCTCCCAGACACCCGAGCTTGTGAGGAAAAAGTGTCTGGGTCTCAGAGGGACTTAGTTAAGTTAGGAAAAGTATTCTGTCTGAGCAGTGAGCAGGGGGCACACGGGGCCACGGCCCCACTTAGAGAAGCTTGCTTCAGTCAGGAAAGTGACAAATACAATCATCAAAAGTAATCATTTTTGATATGAAAATGCAAAAGACGTATCATTGGGTCTCATGAATGATAAAAAAGAAATTTAATTTGAAAATCAGATGACTTGATGAAAATACACTGCACATACTTGAAGAAGAGCGAATTGAAAAGTATCCAAGTAAGGAAAGATATACAACAAAATAACTCACATGAAACTTTTTGAACGAAATCAAAGATCTTAATCAATATACAAGAAGACGTACCCAAGTGAGCCTTCAAAAGATAGGCAAATCAGTTCAAGGATAATAAAGGATTTATAACAAGAAACGCAAAAGAAAGTTGATTAAAAGAGAAAGATAAAAAGCCCTAGATATCTTCATGTAACAACAAGTCATCAAAAAAGGTAGGTAAGTTCTTTAACCATTCTAAGACAAAAGTTCTATGACAGAATATCAAAGGATGAAAATTTTCATCAAATTTTTTGAGCGTCGCTTGAGTGATAGGGTTGAATTGCTCTTCTTGTTCAACTTCCTCATCGTCAAATTGGAAATCCTCATCAACAATAGTGTCAAACGTCGAAGCATGACTAGATAATGAAATTACTGAACGACCGGTTTCTGCCATCCAGCTTTTATCTTTCAATTGTTTCGACGGGGTTGAAGTAGGTGTCGTTGTGTTTTGAACGGATCGAGTGATGGAATTGTTTGGTTTGAAATTTTGTCCATCCTGCGACTTGCCGATTTGTTTTGATGGGCTTAAAGAACTGAGAGAGTATTTCGCCCGCCAAGCTTGACCTATAGCAGCTAACTGTTGCGCTTGTATGGCCAGGAGTTTTTCTAGAGCGTCTGATGTAGCTCGACTTCTTGTGATGGTGTTTATAGAGGCGTAGCTTGGGTTTTGGTTTGGGGATCGGACATTCAAGGGTTGATGATCCGAAGGATCCGATGATTCGGAGGGATCAGCTAAGGATCTTGCATCATAGGGAGTGAATTCTCCGTCTTGGGGGTCGATGAGCTACATTGAGGCAAGGACAAATTCGAGTAAAGAGATTGATAAACGGCAGTCAAGAAGAGGAAAGTATCACTTACGAAATTTGGGAGAGGTAGTTCAAAGATGGTGGCCATGTTTGATTAGATTGTGATTGGGTGGTTACGTTGAATGAAGTATGGAAGATCTATTAAAACGTTGTGATATTAGTGAGCTTGAAATGGAAGCATGAAGGGAGATAGAACTCACTTTATGAAGTGTTTAGAATAAGTTCAGATGGTCGAAATGATTTGCGAAGAATTTAAGTTTTGGGGGATACTGGAGATAGTGGATATAGTTTGAGAGGGAGTTAACGAAATGGATGAGGAATTGTGATGATGATGAGGCTTAAATATCAAATAAAGCAATATTCTTCCAAAATTGTGCAGATTGAGTTGATAAGCAATCCCGTTCCTTGTACCTTAAAAAAGTCAAAGCTTAATCATGCACGAATTACTCGGGACTGATTAATTAATTTGTTGGTTTATTGAATTTGGGTGACAAAATGGTCTGGTTCAGATTTGACCATAGTTTGGTTTTTTGGTTGAGCAATTATCAATTATTGACTGGATTGGCTCTATGATATTCATTGTCCTTTTAGGCTTATCCTTTTTCTTCACATTCCGGAAGTTCTTATTGATAGAAGTGTTGAAATCAAGTTTAATAATGTGCAAATTGTCCAGAATCTCGAAACAGCATTAAACATCCTGATTCACATTCACATTTCGTCCAATACATGTTATTATATCACTTCTTGGCTGTGCTCAAAGAGCAATGTTGTGGATTAAGTGATTATCAGTCAGAGTAAAATGCTAGATTGATTTTTAAGATTCGCAAAATTTGACTTTTTGTAAATCTCGTGGTTTCCTCCAAATGTAATTAATCAGGTAATCTTCGTCTCATCAAGCATATCTTAAGTTCCGGCCTAATCACGCTGGAAGGAATTCGGATTATACTGTGTGGGTAAAAACTTGGAGGATTTGAGGGATGTTTTCGTATTTTTTGGGCGGGAATGGGGCACAGGAACCAAAGTTAAGTTACCAAAACACTTTACATGTGATGCTGAGAGTAAACATGCGTATGTAGGCCTATCTGTTGAACGATCGCCACAAGCGCGCAGTTAAGGATGCTCAAGGATTGTGTTAGTGTATGTGATGCGGCCGCGCAAGAGGGACTTTGTTAAGTTGAAACAATTGATCAAGGCATCATCATCTGATTAACAATGAACTTTGATCATCAAGGGTGACATGAAAGGTCCAGCGACAAGGACGGTCAAAAATATCCATTTGCTCATTCATCTTCATCTGATGTTGATGACGATAATATGATTGTTCTTGGTTTGGTTCATCAGGACGGCCTGACATATGTATGCAATTTAAACTGATATCATCATGACGTTGCATTTGCCGTACTTAAGGAGCTGTTAAGCTTAAATTAGCCTAGTCAGATCAAATCAAAAGATTACCCCCATTGTCACATATGTGCATTTATGGATCTTTCTTGAAATTAATGCCGGACCCGAAGATACTTAGTACTTGAAGATTGCACCACTTCAGTCAGTTGAGGAAAGCAAACTAGGCTGGCTATTGGCTGGGACACGTGAAATGCCAAGCAAAACAAGGCGCTGAAGAAAAAGGTCTTGCTACTAAATTTCACTTCTTCGATCTTTTGCCGCATCCATCCCGAGGTTTGGATGCCATGATTATTGAGATTATGGTACTCGAAGTTGAGGCTTAAAATTATACGTTGTCTGCATTCCCAATTCGCCAAAAGTTTTAATCTTGACATGTATGTCTGAAGCCGGGTGGATTTGCCTCGGTCTATGTCTGATCCAGCAAAGTCTTCCGTATTCACTTTTTGTGCAAAAGAAAAACAAGTATGTTGTATGTATTTAATCAAATTGACAGCTTAGATGACAAGTTGCGGCCTTTTGAATATTTACACCTATATTCTACAAAAATACAATAAATTATTATAGGCTTTTGATGATGCGTGAATAAGGGTGAATAAGATGACGTTTATACAAGCAAGATTTAAACATTTTTTTCAAAAATATATATCTTTAGACTGGTATCATAGCTAAAGAAGTAGAATGATCATTAAGGTATTGAATAGCTTCCTGTCGATAAGTATCAGTAGTAGTACCTTCAGAACCAAAGACCCCGACTTGTAACATCAATCGGTCTTTACCATAGTTAGGCCATTCTGGTAGGCCTGGGACATTAGGGTTCATGGTGTTTGCAAATGCGATCCATCTAGATTGATAATCGGTTGTTCTTGGTCCTGGTAGCCATCCAAAGACATTGGGAACGTCTGTACCGTGAAAAGCACCTGTAGTGTGGTAAATTCTACATTTAGTGTTTTCTCCTAAGGTGGGGAGGGTTTCGAAAGAGTACATGGACGTTTCACTTACCTAAGTACGGTACAGCCTTGTAACCTTTGTCTATGTAGCTCCAGACAGGCATGTTTGCTTGAGTACCCACCAAGAACTTTCGCCTTGGAGCCTGAAAGGAAGATTTTTTTAAAGAAAAGTTTGTTAGGAGAACATCTCATCTCGAGAGGATATGTGGTCACAATGTCGCACCTGAAATTGAGCATCACCCAAGATAGATGCCATTTGTTTGAACACTGGTGTCAGAATGTTTGCAATACCTGTCCCATAAGGCGACCCGGCTGCAGGGTCTCCTGGATACAATCTCAAGATATTGTCGATATCCTGTCGGGAGGCGCGCGAAAAGAAGGTAGAAGAGAGGTCTGACCGACATTAAGATGGTCATAGGTGGGTCAATATATTGGTTCATGCGCCTTTCTCGATACAGATTTTGCACGTACATTGGCGTAGTCGGCCACTCGTGATCAGAGGAATCAATCCAACACTGAGGACTGTGCCTTCATCATCTTGGTCACCTGATATGATGGGGATCCTAGGGTCTTTTTGAACGAATCGTATGGTAGGATTTGTCAGATGATACTTCAATGGTTCAAGTGACGTGAATCAAGTTAATTGCTTACAGGCGCCCTTGGCTAGCGAGCCGTCTAAGGTGTCTGTAACGAACTCTCCATCAATTCTCGGAGACCAACGGAAGGGTATTCCATCGATTTCCGCGAATCCATTAATGCGCGACATGGCTCGGCTGTAGACATCAATAGGTAAGATTTGCGCTCAAGTTGATGATAAAGTAAAACTTGGTACGCACTAAAAAGTGTTAAAGTCGATATCTCTCAGACATTGTAAGGTGTCGGATTGACCGTCGCAACCGGCATAGCGAGCCAACTCATTGTAATCACCTTGGCCACCCCCTTCAGCAAAAGCTGGAGGCAATTGGAAAGTTAGGCTAGCAAACGAAAAACTTGTAAGGATCTAGTACTGACTTTCTACCGGTGCTGCAGTACCACTTTCACAAATAGCCGCACGAAACAAGCCCTCGTGATTGCCATTGAAAGCCATGAGCTGATGCGAAACAGAGATGGCACCCGCTAAGTTGATGAATATAAGATTGCCGGGGATTAGCAATGCATGATTTGTGGTCCGTGAGAACCTCGATGCTTACCAGATTCTCCGAAAAGTGTCACTTGGGATGGGTCACCTCCAAATTGACCAATGTATTTCTTTTACATTCGGGATGATGGCAAGGTATTGATCAGCTACCAAATCAAAAAGCCTTGAAAGAGTGAAGGACATACCTGTACCCATTTCAAAGCAAGCCGTTGGTCTTTCAAACCAAGATTTCCAATCCCTGCCTGGCCAACCTCTCTTCCTCCTAGAAATCCAAAAGCGTTGACACGGTAGTTCATTGCTACATATATGATAGGGGTTTGTTTCTCCATGCTTGCCAAGACCAATGCCGATCCATCATACTCGTTAGTTGCGCCAAACTCCGCCGCGCCACCATCTAAAGACATTGTATGTGAGTACTCTGCGCAAAGTGCGGTAATGAGATGCTTTTGGAATGCAAACTCACAGATGTAGACCATGACTGGAAGGTTGGCCCCTGCAGTGATATCTTTCGGTCGACGCACCTATGGAGAAAAAAATTATTTACTAAGTTTCGAAGAGGTGTTTTGAAGAAACTACATGTTTTTCCAATGGACACGCATTTGAGAATGGACTTACATCCAATGTCAGGCAGTCCTCTTGACCCACGGCGATTGGTCCGATCAAAGGTGTAAACTGATTGATCAGCTCAGCTTCTGTCAAAAGTCTCTCGAGCAATCGATTCCCGGTTGGTGGAAATTTTTGCGGACAAGCAGGAGGTAAAATCTGACATCACGAAGAACGAAAACCTTAGCTAAAAATTAAACTTGAAGAGAAAATTGTTAATCTTACCGTTGCGTCGTAGTTGGCGTAATGGCTGAGTGGTGGTATAGGGTTTGTTAACCTTCTCTGACCGATAGGAGGTTCCGCCTGTCCACATGGATGCAACGTGAGTATCCCAACATATGACGGAGATGATGAAGACAGAGTGCTCACATATGGTATCCCAGTGAAGCTTTCTACGTCTCCATTGGTTCCCCCGATGAAATTTCCGTAATCAAGTTGTACATCAGGACCAGCTGTTTGGGTAATAAACTGAGATCAGTGAAAAAATACAAGTTTCAAGAGATTGAAATGCACCAACATGTCGAAGCTCTCTGTGTAGTGTCCGCTTGACCATCAGTGCCGGTGTCTGAATTAGGGAAAAGTGTGCCATCTAACAGATCTCCCAAATTCAAGTCGCGCCTTTGCACAGTGGGTGAGGTGCGGTTCAGAGGTGTTATATTGATGGCCGATGTGTTAGTATTTGCATGGCTTTCTACGTGCAAGTTTCTAGAAATAGAGACGGCATTGACTGTGGTTGTCACGAATAAAATGAGGGTCGAAAGGTGGGTGTGCATGATATTATTGTATGATTGAGTTAGGGAAAAGAAAGTGTGCGGCGCCGATTTATTGACAAAGATATTGCAAATGAATGAAGCAATCGGTATAAGTGTGGATTGAGGCGCCTGCGAAGGGAGGGAATCACCCTGACAGTCTCTTATATGGTGCTCGTGGTATGCTAGTCTAGATCTAGAGAGCGGGAGGCATCAACTCGGAGGGATAGCATACACTACCCCTCGATACCGGACCAGCCAACTATCAAGCTGAGCATAACGAGGTAAATGATTGAATGTGGAGGACAAGTTGAAGTTCGCTGTCACGAGAATCTCAGTGCTCCTGCAATCAGGACGACCAGATCAGCCGCCTAAAATTCATAGAGGCAGTCACGGGTCGAGACATGACGCTCACCCAAACTCAACTATGGCCCTTCTCGCTTTAGCCGCGAGTTTTCTTTGGCCGCGAGTGGCGGCGAAAGCGAGGTTTGACTTCGTTAAGTTCGACGCTGGCCATGCATCAACAAGGACGTTCACCATTGACATTCAAATCAACGAACATGCTTGGATGAGTTGTCAAATCGCACTACATATCTGCATCAGTCATCGCATGACCGAAATAGATGGGATCTTCCTCGCAACCTTGAAACCCAGGCTAACCCAGAAGTAGTTGCTCTGACAGATATCGTCAACTCGGTCACCTCAAGTAGCTCAAGTCCTCTCATCTGTGAGGACATCCGGTTTGAAATATACTGCTCTATCCTCCAAATTTTCCAAATTTCTCGCGGCTACTACAGGCGGTAGACACGCCAGAAGGGAATAAATTTTTATGACCATATGTTGATACTAGGCAGCTAAAGCACTATAACATACAATCTTCCAACTTTTCTTTATAATCCGTACAATCCTCCATCATCTTTCCCTATCTTCATTTAATGACCATTTTTTTGTATATCACTTTATAAACTTACCTCTTTGAAGTAGCTTTTACCTAATCTACCAGAAAAGTTCTTATCACAAAGACCTAGTTCTTGTAACAGAATTTGAGTAGCAACATGCTTAGAGAAGCATCTTGCCAATGTCCTAACAGAAAAAAACGATATGTAGAAAGGTAAGTTTGTGCCCCAAAAGTGACCGGATGTAAAATAAGCATCCCTCAAAATAAGACTTTAAAGGTTAAAGAGCAAAAAAATGGATCTCACAGATTTCCACACATCACCCAGAAAGCTGGATGTCCTGATAGTCGCCATACTCCTGGAAGTTCACCTTGAGAATCAGCACCCCAAATCGGTCCAAGCTTCTCTGAAACTTGAGGCCCGAGAATAGACCTTATCGTGTCATGGAAAGAACTGTAACCAGTGGCACAGACGACCACTAAAATGATATTAAAGTGACATGTTAAAGAGTATCATATATTCTTCTGAGCCACTCGAACATGAAAAAAAAGCTTACAGTCTGCCTCAATCTCCTCACCATCCGCAAATTTCACACCGTGTGGTGTAAGTTCTTCTACTTCTACGCCTTGTTTCAGTTGAATCTTACGTTCTGCAAGAAGTGCAGAACATCCGACATCTGATGTGCGATTTCAAAGCAAGAATCAGTGCATTAGACACACAAGCACGTAGACTTTAGTTCTCACCAATGTAGTATCCACCCCCTTTCCTAAATCGAAGATGAAGCATGTCATCTAACAATTACATTAGAGAGATCATATGTATAAAGCTGACCTAAAAAACTTCATCAATAGTCCTGCCGGACATGGATCTAACTTAAAGCCCACGTTCTTGAGAGATTCTAGAAGCGAATGATCAAGTCTTGTGGTTTCTTCTGTAGCTTTCGTATGTATCTTTTCAAGTAAATTGAGTGGAAGAGAAGTAAAACCAAGATCTGCGTCCTGAATAGCCGGACCATCTTCTTCGTATGATCCCTTTAAAAGTCCCTTGAGTCCATGCTCACTACACAAAAGTGTCCATCAATATTCATCCGAATTATTGAAATAGAATCATACGTCAGGATTTGGGTTTGAGATTACCTTGACATCACATAAGTATTGGAACGTTGAACCATTGTGACTGAAGCAGCCCCATTGACCCAAAGCTCAGCAGCAATGTCATGAGCAGAATTACAGGCTCCAATAACCACCGCATGTTTCCCTTTCCACTCTTCCCCGGTATTAAAAGCACTAGAATGAACCAGAGTTCCAGTAAAAGAGTCCATTGGAAAGTTATCTGGCCAACGTGGTGCACCATTCAATCCTGTAGCCATCACAAGGAAGCGTGGATGAAGTGTTCTTGAACCTGTTGGTCGGATCACTTCTACTGACCACGTTCCAGTGGTGGGATCATAGCTAGAGGAGCCTTGTTGAACAGTAGACTCGTTCCAAATCGAAAGTTCCATCGCTTCGGCATAATATTCAAACCAACCAGCCAATTTATCTTTGGGCATATAAATTGGCCAATTATCAGGGTAAGACATATACGGGAAATGGTCTGCCCATATCTATAAAACGAAAGTGTCAAGGAACGAGAGAATTGATCTAGATCTATCTTGATGACTTACAGGATCATGTAAACAGAGTGAATGATACCTTTTTCGCCATGAATCTCCTGTTCGTTGATTCTTATCCACAATCAGCGTACTCAAGCCGAGCAACTTCAAACGCGCTGCTAACATCAAACCACTCTGACCCGCGCCAATGATCATAACCGTTGGTTGAGCTGCATTTGATAATAAGAACAATATTAGCGCGGATTTCAAAGTGAGATCTTAGTAAGAAATTCAAAAAGACCTGATATTCCAAAACACTCGATTTCCTCCTGACGCATCTCTAGCCAATTTTGAGTAGCTTTTTCATAAGAATGTGTTGAGCCTGTTGGACGACGGTTTTTGATCTTTTCTTCATGTCCTTTGACTTCCCATAACTGAGTCTGATAGACATCATGGATCCAAATCAGTCTCATCTACCTTGAAAGAAAAGTAAGTAAACATGAAAGACTCAACGAAGAACGTGAAAGCTTTTAGATGATCAGTTTCCTGATATATATCTGAAGTAGAAGGTAATCTTAAACGAATCATTCCTGATCCTCTATAAAGATCAGTTTCGAATTTAATAAAACCCTCCAAAACGTTCACATCAGGTAAAAGTTGAACTCGTTTGATCATGTCAGGTCGATCGAGACTCAAGTTTTGAAGGGAAGGAAGTTTGAGTTGTAAAAGATTAATGTAAGGTTTTATTTTATCTTTCTTCAAAGAGTTAAAGTCGAAATCAAGTATGAGGATCTAAGAATACGAATCACTTCTTCTTTAATCAGTCTTGGTTCTTTTTTTGAAAATGTAGAGCAGAGTCAAGAACACTCAACATCTCGCCAGTAACCGTCGTCATCGAACAAATCGACCAAGAGATCCACATCTCCAGTATCGAATGCAGTTTGCGCACGCGCTAACCAATCGTTCAACAAGTTTTGGAATCCATGGTTTTCTGGTTGAGTATGAGGGCCCGAAGGATAGTCATCTTTCAAATTATCAAAAACAGTCATCTTTTATATGATCTGTGACGAATGATAAAGGATCAAAATGATAAAATAGGAAATTAATTGTATCAGGTAATCAACGATAAAGGTAAAGGTCAACTTGTTCTAAGTAATCAATTTGACTTTAAGCTAACCAAATTCTCAGACTCTATCATCGATGACCTTCTCTCAATGAAACAACCCTCAATTATATACATTTCTTGTGCAGTGCCAAAGACTAAGAAAGAAAGTAAATTCAAACAAAAAAAAGCAAATCAAATCGATTCTTTCCAAGCAAACTCAATCTTAACTCTACAAAATATGATTCACATCCCGTTCATTAAGTCTTGAGCCGAAGTACCGAAGAGCCGAAGGATTCGATTCAATCGGCTTGAAACCATCGATACTTCGAACCGCTCATTCCATCGCTTTACGGTTACCCCACCTTGATTCAAGAAAGACTACTTGGCAAAGAATCGGTCATTACGATTCGAGCTTATTTTCGATATCACAGTGAAATTCTAATACAAGACGTTCTCTAGAAAGTTATCATTCAGAAGACCATATGAAAATCTCAATCTTAAAGAATCTTGTGTAAGGTATATAAAATTGATTCCATGCTGAAAAGGTCAATCCATTTGTTTGTTTGCTTGGCGAGAGATAGATAACACTTTGTAGATACATACTTGATGTAGATTTGTTCAAAGATTTTGTTAGATTTTGTTATTGAAGACACACAATCTCAAGATATTTAATCATGTATATTTACTTCGATTGAGAGATTTTGGTTTTTATACGAAAAATGGGGATATCACGGTGATCAACCATGAATCCGATCCAAACAATCAAAAGAAAGTATGTGTAAGAAACCGGAAAACTTACTCAACTGACAAAATTTGATCGTCTTTGAATGTGATGGTGAGTTGAATTGAATCAAGAATAAGATTATGTAGCAAGGGAACAACAGGAAAAAGCGGCATGGATCTTATCTTGACTGATCCCGTGAGAAAGAGAGAGACCTTTGGGCCACGATTTCGAAAGCTCATGTTAAGAGCTTTTGGGAAGGTTGTCTAATTAATGCAATTAAGAAACATGAGGTTATAACTTTGAATGGACAGCTTCAACCAAGAGGAGAATTCAAAATTTCTTCATAGACATCAATTTCTCTCAAAATGATGGATCCACCACACCAAACATAAGTTTCTAATAAACCAATCAGATAAGACTTTAAAAGTTTTTTATAAAGTTGATTCTGTGAGGCTACTAGTACATACCACCTTTTGATTAAATCGCAAAATGTTGACTTGAATTTCTCAATAAGACCTTCAACACCAAATCAAAGATTTCGGTGTAAAGTTGAATGTTGATCGAGCCGGGGCCGGATGTTGGTCGACTTTGGTCAGGCTTCGCTCTCACCAGGGTTCGTTCACGTTGGACTCAATTCAAATTTAATTTTTCGACGCATACAGTTCGATCCAGTTGAGGGGTACAATTCAATCAACTTCTCTCTTCACTCTGACTCAAATCATCAAAACCATCAATCCCCTCTTTCATCATCCAAAAACCGATGTCAAGGATGAAAACCAAATCACCTCAAGTTTGTTTACTAACTCTTCTCAGTTTTCTATCACCACAAGTATATGGATTTCAAGTACCATTTCTTTGGACAAATCCATCAAGATCCACCACAAATTCTCAAGGATCATTAAATTTTCAAATCCAACATGCTATACATATAGGTACACATCGGTATCCTGGATTACATTTACAAAGAAAATTTAATAAAGAAGACCGGGAGGAGATCGATCTACGTAGTCTTTCAACATCATCATCATCAAACCCTTCTTCACCTAATCTTTATTCATCAACCCATCAACTCATATCAAAAAAAGGTATTATTTGGTCACATAATTCTACATGGGATCAATGGAATTCAGTAAGACGTCAAAACATTTTAATGGATAGATCTAGAAGAGGTTCAAAGAATGCAACTCAATCACTTCAGACATTGGATGCGGAAAACAAGTTGATGGAAATCGATTGGAAAGGTTTAGAAATCGATTTACCTGATCTTACTAACCTTCAAACGTTAATTTCACTAGCTAAAATGACAAATAATGCTTATACGATTCCGAATGATGATAGATGGACTGATCCTGGAAAGAAATGGAATGTGGTCTGTATCATAATCATCTCTTTTTTCCTTTCTAATTCTTCTTTTCACTTATATTCGTCATCTTTTAACTTGAAACACTTTTTTGGTGTTACTTTTATAGTCTGATTCGTTTGGATGGGAAGAAGATGGATTACGTGGTCATGTGTTTGCTACACCTGATCATAAATCGGTGGTGATCTCTATCAAAGGTACATCAGCTGGTGTACTAGGAAACGGAGGTTCAACCGGAGCCAACGATAAATTAAACGTAAGTCTTTTCACAAATCGTGATATACTAAACCAATTCATCATCTGATCTCCTTCTTATCTGATTCATATAGGATAACTTACTTTTCTCATGTTGTTGTGCTCGAGTTAGTTGGAGTTGGTCAACCGTTTGCGATTGTTATTCAGGTCCATATCAATGTCGACAACAATGTGTCGAAAAAGCTTTAATAGACAAATCAGTATACTTTTCAGCTGCAGTAGATATCTATAATGATGTGGTGACCATGTATCCACATGCAAGGATATGGTTAGCAGGTCATAGTTTAGGTGCAGCTTTGGCTAGTTTATTAGGTCTTACCTTTGGTGTACCTGTGGTGGGATTCGAAAGTCCGGGTGATCTTTTACCGGCTCGTCGACTTCATCTTCCTTTACCTCCTGGTGCTAGTTTCGGTCAAGGAAAAGAAATGAGTGCAGTCACTCATGTCTTTCATACAGCTGATCCGATTGCCATGGGAACTTGTAATGGAGTGATTAGTACTTGTTCAGTGGCTGGATATGCAATGGAATCAAGATGTCATGTTGGAAAATCTATTATCTATGGTGAGTGATATCTTTCTTGGTCTGCGATCTTTAAAATACATTCTATTCACACCTTTTCTTTTCTTGAAAGATACGGTTGGAAAACTTAATTGGGCAGTCGATATCCGAACTCATTCGATCAAAACTGTCATTGAAAACATCTTAATACCAGATTGGGATCCCACTCCACCTACTTGTCAAAACAAATCGATCTTTGCTTTACGTTGGCCATGGGGTAAACATGAGAATGGTACAGAACCATGTGAAGGAAATAAACCTAAGAATTCAATACCTGAAGCAAGTGTACAAGAATGTGAAGAAGGTGATTGTTTTAAGTGGGAATTCAAAGATGATTGGGATGATGAAGCTTCTCTTGATTGTTAAACCAATCGTGTTTTTATCAGAACCTGTTGTATTCATCAAAGGAATTTTACAATTTATTAGTTTTCTTTTCTCGATTTCAATTTGCAATCTTGTTGTATAACATCCTGTTCTTTTTTCTTATCGCTTTATCTATCTCGTCATCCTGTTTTTTTTGTCCCGAGTCAATTTATCCGGTCTCGCTTTTTAATGAGTAATGTATATCTGTTTACTTGTGTATGGATATCAACCTCATGTACTACGTTTTGGAATTAATATGATGTACGAGAGCAACGTTCACCTCATTGAGGTTCCGTCCACAGATCGATCCCCTGGATCAATACAAATACTACGCGCCTCTAGAAAATCTATACTCGGTGAATAATAGTATCCGGGTCTAGAAAGATATAGATGATATTAATTATAACAATACCAAAGGAAGTGAATATAGTGCTATCAGAAAGCAAGTGATACAATAAGATATTACATTTTTTTAGTATAGATCCGAGTAGATAAGATATATTGTAGATGGCAATAAGTAAGTACCCAGGAGTTTTAGAATTCAAAAATTAATAAATGAAGTTTTTCTTGAGGATTTGTCATATGATCAATTATAATCTTCAAGTTATTCTACTCGAGTAGAAGTAATAATTCTACGATTCATGCTTTCTTCTTTACTTAATGCAGGTCCTTCATCAATACACAAAATCTAAAAGTATCGAACCAGATAAGAAACCACAAGATCATTAAATAAAGAAAGGAAAATTAAACCCATCATACTCAATCAAATATAAAGTGTTTTTTTCTTTTTTTTCAAATAGAAACACTTACTTGATATTGTTCATGTTTACTAAGCGTATTAATACAAACTCTAAAAGGAGCAAGAAGTTGATCATGACGTTGGAAATCATATGGAGTTGTAATCTGAAGTGCAAAGCCTTCTTTTTTGAATTTCTTAGTAGGTGGATAAGCAGCAGCTGCAGTAGGACCTTCAGATTCGCATTTTCGAATTAATTCTAATTCTAATCCGATTTGGTTCGTGCTTGATGGAGACGAACGGTTTTTGTTTTGTAGTTTGATTGACACTTCTCTTTGTGGTTGTGGTTGGATCATTTGACATGAAGCTGATTTAAGAGAAGCAGGTACTGTTCTGTAACAAACAAGAAGGAATCGTCATCAATGTTTTTCTTAAAGTTGATAGGTGACATAGCTTTCAAAATTACTTCAACAAGATTGAAAGAAGACAAATTGAGTGATACAACAACTTACTTAGCAGGATCATAAATCAACAAATTCTCACGTCCTTTAGAATCCATCTCAAATCCTACCACTGTTTGACTATGACCCGAATGTTGAAGATATAATGGTAATTTATTGGTGAGCTTGATCGCGTTTCCCTTACTAGACATGATCTCTTGAAAAACATTATGATTTTCATTCCCGGCAAATTCCCTACCATGAAAGTATTCTAAAAAGTATTTTAAATCAGCGATTAAGAGTCCCGAATCAATTGAGGTTTGGATTTCTTACCTCGAATCCAAGAAGTTAAACCAATATGAGTCCCTTTGGGTCCAGTAGGCCTCGGAAAGTCAATAATTCGTGCTCTGAAAATACAAGACCGCGTATCATCCAATTCAGTGAGTTGAAGGCAAAACTCTTCAGAAGAAAAGAAAAACTTTGACGACGAAGATCAAAAGGACGAACCTGATGCCTAAACTAGTAAACACAACATAAGCTTCAGTGGTACCTATCCACTTTTTCTTTCCAACCAATTTCTGAGAAAATTGACGAGCTCCTTCTGGATCGAAACCTAAATTCCAAGCTTTCTCAATAATAACTTGACAAGTTTGAATACTAGGAATATCAACTACTTCATCATTAATATAATTTTTAGGAGGCGTATGTGGATAATAAGATTGACTTGGAGAAGCTGGTGGATTTAAATCAGATTGAGATGATAATAAGGATTGATAATCTTTAACATGTCGTACGGCTGAAAGTAACATTTGAATGTTTCGATAACCACAACCCCAAGTTGAATCACCTACACCAAGTTTAGTAAGAGATGAAGTCGAACGAATATGTAAAACGTTTGCAGTACAAAGAGTTGCAAATCGAATCGCTCCATCATTACAAGAAGTGGTTAGTAATCTAAAGAGATGAGTTCTTAAATATGGAATCCCAATCGGTTTAGAATTTCCATTTTCTTTAGTACAATTACTATTCCACATATGATGAGTACTGGTCGTTGTCCAAGAAGAAGGTTGAAGTTCAAGTGCATCATCACCATAACCTAATTCATCATGAAGTGGCATGGGTTCTTGAAGTAAACCTTCTGAATCAGTTATAGGTTCATCTAATAGATCAGATAAGATTTCATCATGTAGACATTCTGAAATATGAGCTTCTTTATCGATGGTTTCATCCCATAGAGCTGCACAAACTGGACAACAATCTAAATTAGAAAGTTGAGATGGTTTGGTCATAGGTGCTAGAACAGGTGGTTGAGATGATTTGAATGGTCGGTAAATGTAAAGCTCATCCATTGTTTTTTTGTAAAGATTATAATAAGGAAAACTATTTGAGAATTGATGATGAAGACAGGAAAGAACATCAGAAAGAGGTTTTTGTGGAAATCAAATCAGATCATCAAATAGTTATCTAGTGTAAATGGTCAACAGAACATTTCTTGTACATCAATGACGACATTCATCAAAAGAATCCGATACCAAACTTAAACTTTCTTAGAAAGCCCATTTCTTTTCATCAGCCAATCACATCGTTGTACAACAACATGGGTCATGATACAACCAATAGATTACAGTCGAGATGTTTGTGACCTTATCAATAATCTTATCACAAGTTTAAGGTGGCTCTTCAAGTTTGTCTTGAGTGAAAGTCCAACCTGATCAATATTCAAAATGGCCAAAGCTGACCTCTCTATCAAGTTTCGTAAGTGATGTCCTCTTCTTCGATCACTTCCCCAATCAAGCCACATACTTGGATCTTTCCTTGTGTCAATGTAGCTCATCGACCCACAAGGTGGAGAGCTTGTTTTCTAGAACGCAAGATATAAGAATTGAGATTTCTCACTGAAGTAGTAATACTAGCGCTGGGACAAAATTGATGAAGAATTTGGTGCTTTGGTCATTTGTGATAAATCATTTGTTTTATAGTGATTTTTCCAGTTTTTTGTCAAGTTGTCTTATTTGTTTGAGCCGATTCTTATCGCGCATGTTCTTCGTGTTCTTTCATTTTCTATTTCCAGAAATCATCTAAATCTCGTTTTTTTAAACACTCCAGCAGTTTATGATGATGGTTCTTCTTTTGCGTGTATATACAATAGCCAAAGTGACCGCTTTTGATCACGTAGTTTGATTTTATTAAACTTTTAGATGTTTGGTTTGAGAATCAATCCGGTTCTCCATGTGATGTTAAACTATTTTCATATTTGAGGTGTGACCACAGGTTCAAACTGAAGTTCAAAGTGAGGTTTTGTTCCGATGACCTCATTGCGATTTGTGAAATGTACCACCTTAAGAGCATAGTTATGTACTTAAGGCTGAAAAGATTCGAGAGTGTTCTTAAACTTTCGGTGGTAATAATTCGTTATAAGGATCTCGATTGTGCTTCTGTACGGTAGAAGCTACTAGAGAATTCGAGAAAACTTGTTGACCAAATCAGGAATCCAAAAAAAACATAAAAGAACTCTTTCAGATCCGATCGTACATATTCAATTCGATATATATCCTTCATAAAGAAAAATAAGAAATTTATATTAAAGCGTTTGGTTTGATTTACTCACTATTTCATCAAAAACGGATAAATCATCTCGTAAACGATTTAAATCAAATCATCAACATCGATCTAAGAAATTTAAAAACTCATCTCACAATTCATCATCATCAACATCATCTATGGGAAAAGATTATTATGAAGTGTTGGGCGTTTCAAGAGATGTAGATGAAAACGCATTGAAATCTGCATACAAAAAAGTCAGTGCTTTTTTCCTTTCCTTCCTGATCCAGCTGAGAGTCTTGGAATTGATGACGGTTTTTGGTTTTGGTTGTAGGCTGCACTCAAACATCATCCTGATCGAAATCCTAATAATCCAGAAGCTGCTAGTAAAAAGTCAGTTAGATCTTCATCTGGGTTTTGAACATTCATCTTGACTTTTTTTTGTTGAATTCTTTGATTTTCGCTCGATCTTCAGGTTCAAGGAAGCTGCTGAGGCATTTGAAGTCTTGAGCGATAAAAATAAAAGGGCAGTTTATGATCAATGTAAGTTTTGATTGATGATCTGATTCTTTCCACACATTCGAGTTGTGATGGATTGATTGATTTATGTTTTGTTTATCCAGTCGGTGAAGAAGGTTTGAAAGGTGGTGGTGGTGGTCCACCACCTGGATTCAATGGTGGTATGGGAGGTGGTGGTATGGGAGGTTTCCCTGGTGGTGGATTCTCGTTTTCATCAAGCTCAGGAGCTGGCGGATTTCAACCTATGGACCCCAATGATCTCTTCTCTAAGGTTTTCGCGGGTAGTGGTGGTGGTGGATTCGGAGGTCTTGAATCGTTACTTGGTGGTGGTGGTATGGGGGGTATGGGTGGCATGGGTGGCATGGGTGGTAATGGTGCTCAATCTCGTCGAGGTGGTAATCCATTTGGTGGTGGTATGGGTGATGATATGTTTGGTTCGATGCCTGGCTCTTTCGGTTCTGGTCACGCCCATGGATCCAATGGTCATGCAAATGCACCACCTAACGATGATGGCCCGGAAGATGTCATCAAACCCATCTCAGTCTCACTTGAAGATCTGTATAAAGGTACAACGAAAAAACTTAAAGTCACACGAAAACTAAGAGATGGTCGAACAGTTGAAAAGACATGTGAAATCAACGTCAAGCCAGGATGGAAAGCAGGGTAAGTCTTGGATTGGCATAGCTTGCCTTACGAGTCAAACAAATGTACTCATCAGCATTGGTTTTGTCTTTGAATCTCTTTCTAACAGAACGAAGATTAAATTTCCGTCAATGGGAAATGAAGATCAATATGGACGTTCAGCAGCCATGGTGTTTGAAATCACTGAAAAGCCACACCCTCGATTCACACGAGAAGGAGATGATTTAATTTACACTTATACGATCCCACTTGTAGAAGCTTTAACCGGTTCTTCTACATCAGAAGCCACTTCATCAACACAAAGAACACTTAAACATTTAGATGATAGACAAATCGAATTTAAATTACCATTACCTAGTCAATCAGGTGGAATCCCAATCAAACCAGATCAAGAGATTCTTATCTCCAATGAAGGAATGCCGATCACTAGAAAAGGTTCAGTTAAACCAAAAGGAGATTTAAAGATTGAAATCAAAATCGAATTTCCAAATCGGATCACTGGTACTCAAGTTGATGCACTTAAACGTATACTAGGTGCTGCTAATTAAACACCATATATATATATATCTTCTCTACAAAACGTTTTGTTTTCTATTATGATTTTATATAAAATGTTGTATCTATGTTTTGTCATTTGATTGTGTTCAGTTTGGGAGTCATTCTGTTTTTTTCCTCTTTTTTTTTTCAAAGATTATACCAAATTTATTAGTGTGACTCTTTTTCTGAAATGAAATTGAAAGAAAAAAGAATATATATATTTAAATTTGATATATTGAATTGAGTGAGAAATTGACTAAAAGTAAGATACAGTTAAAGCCCTCTCAAGCCTTACCCCTTTGAAGCCTTAACCTGCCTTTAGCCATGTTTTTTAAGTCCTCTAAATTTGTTTAGAGTCCCATACATAGTTCCGCCTATTGTGGTAACCCATACCTAAAAACTGAAAAAAAACAATCTTTTCAATGTGAAGCCATAGAAAAATGGTCAGCAGGGAGGTATGAACCTGTATGAACCCTGCAAAACCTTGCTCCCTTGCCCCATTTATGAAGGTTCTCTGAAGCTTAAAGCATCAGAGTTTGTATTGGAGTTGTAAGAATTTTACTCTGAGATGTTGAACACTTAGGGGATACAAAGTAGAATCTGGGCAACTGCCTGGCCTTGTTCCCAGATTTTTTTTGGCTGTATGTTTGAGTCATGTGCCCATGGAATTTGCCCAGAAAATCCAAATTCACAGCCAAAATAATTCTGGTCACCAGGCCAGGCATGTGCCCAGATTTCACTTTGTAATACCTAAATCTATCAGAAGTGTTGACAAGACAAAGCTGAGATCAACAAAGAAGGTAATTACTAAACTCAACAGAACTGAATTGGACATGGGAAGCTTTTAAAGAAAGCTAACTATGGAGAAAGCAAAAAATTGTAGATAGTAAGGATAAGAGAGATGAAATTGTCTTAATGGATTTAGTGAAGTTCTCAGTAGCACAGTAAGAACAAGAAATGAAAAACCGGTAATGACTTGCTTTAGGGCACATTCACTTGAGCAATTTCTGGTGAGAAATCACATTCTGAAAAATTCAAAGTGTCTATTTGGTGGTACATGTTCCATTTTTGCATTGATTTTTTTTCATATTCTGATTTCTGATCATATATTCCTTAAGTGAACGTGCCCCTAAGAATTGAAGAAGTAAAAATATTACAATTGAAAACAGAGAGAGGTTTGTAAGAGAAAGACAATCACAAAGAAAAATTGGTTGATTAGATTACCAAACAGTTTATCAAGTCGACTGATTCTTCTCTTGGATCTCTTTTGATGAGACTTAGCAATATGTTGTAGCTTCGAGAGGGAGATGCAAGAGAAGCTTTAAGGGTGGTCTCGTGAATATAGTAGATTGCTAAGTGAGGAAAAGCAATATGCACAACGGGAGACAAGACTAGTATGAACTCTACATGTAACACGCGTGACAGGTCATAACACCACTCCCCCTTTTATGTCTCTTTAATCTCATCATTCATTTGAATCCCAACCTGTCCAACATTTATCCCAATCCAGTTTCCTACAACACAGCTACTTGAATTGATAATATTTTGTCTTCTTTTGTCTTGTTGGTTTTGACCATCACATAATGACTGTTTACACTGACAGGAAAAGCTCTACATGATGAGGAATTTGAGGAAGTGTTGGCAATTGAGATCATAGGAAAAGTGATCTTATGATCCATTGTATGGTTGCTTTTCCTATGGTCCTGTTCTCAATGCTCATATAATCAAACACTTTATTGATTTTCTTTTCACAAATTCTCACAAAACATGAAATTTCAGATTTTCAAGATCAAAATGCTTTTCCACATGTAGAAAAGCACTTGCACAGAGCACAATTTTTATAAATTAAGGCTAAGTAAACATGCTCTGGGTCCCTTAAATGAATCAATAGGTATGGATTTCTTAATCTAAAGAGATTGATGATCTAATGTCAGTCTACGCAGGAGACTGATATGATCACAAAGAAATCACAATACCTAAAGAGATTGATGATCTAATGTCAGTCTACGCAGGAGACTGATATGATCAAAAAGAAATCACAATCTGAAGTAAACAAAGATTGAGAAAACTAGTAATGAGTTCGATGAGAAAAGAACAACAAAGTGAGAACACACTGTTCTATCTATATGGATCACTCAAACACATTATGATGTCATGATGTTAGAAAGAGAAAAAGAGAAAACCTCAAGTATTATGCACAAGTCGTAATACGCGTCCTGCAACATAAAGAGACATTATTCCATAAGTCTCAATTCCCTACCTGCCTTCTTTCCTTTTTTGGTAGGCCTTGAAGGGGACTTAGTCAAGTTAGCTATCAATGTACACTCTTGTCTAGAGCTGTGAACTGGGATAAAGTTTTTCTTGGTTGGCTCGAATGAATCTCAATTTCATAACAAGAAAACCATTGGAGACATCCGAGCTCTCGCCTTGACGATCCAATGTCTATTGAGAAGTCTGCCGTAAAAAAAGTATAAGTCTCTCTGTCGGGGACTCGAACCCCGGTTGCCCGCGTGACAAGCGGGAGTACTGACCACTATACTAACAAAGACCATGAGAGATTAACCCAAAATGCGAGTATAGCCAGCATACCTTGTATACCATCATCGATCTAGCACTTTCATATATTCATTCCAACCACAACCTGAAGTGACAAATTGACGACCATCCTTCGAGGGAAATAAAACTGATCGTCACTTACAATCAGCTTATCATGATGACTTACATGACTGCAATGGTCTTGTTATCTACTGCTACCGCCTCGTCCAGTCTTCTTGCTTCAACTCGATCAATAAAGTACACTCAGGTAAAAGGATTAAATAACAAAGCTTCAATAAACAGCCAGATTCATGTAGTCAAAAGTATACGTTCTTCTTGAGCGGTCTGATTCCCTCCGTGACAAGTGTTTCTTCTTCGAACTTTATTTGAGGGAATTGTAGACTTGAGGATGCTGAAGGTTCTTTGAAGATATTGGTATCGTTTGTTTTGATATGATGTTCGACTTCTTGATTGACGAGATTGGTCAGAAATCATTCAGAAATTTCTGAATCCTCAAGGAGAACAAGATCGTTCATCAAAATCATGGTATAAGTCAGCGAGGCCAAGGGACCGCATTGTCGGTCTCAAGGCCCTGTCATGCAGCTACGCTAGAGTAGTAGCATATGGGATAGGATATGTTTATAGGAAGTGTTTAGGTTTCAGCTATCAAACTTTTTCAAAACTTTCTTCAACCAACTCTCATTCAACCATCTTCAACCATATCAATCGAGCAAGGACCCTTAGCCGCGAGCTCAAATTTCTTTGCAAACACAAAATATCAAAACTTCAACATCATCAAATCATATCCAAACTATGGCTACCAATAGTAAAGCATTTCCTTTAGCTGATGCTAACCTTACGAATCAAATCCTTGATCTTGTTCAACAAGTTAGTGTCTTTTCTATCCAATTCTTTCTTGAAAATCTAAAAGTTTCTAAATCAACAATCTCTCAAAAAAATGTTGGATTTCATTTTGACTGATTTGTTTTTTTTCGTCTTCTTTTTTAGGCTTCTCATTATAAACAATTAAGAAAAGGAGCCAACGAAGCTACTAAAACTTTAAATCGAGGGATTTGTGAATTCATTGTGCTTACTGCTGATACCGATCCAATTGAAATTCTCTTACATCTTCCATTATTATGTGAAGATAAAGTAAGCATATTTTTTTTCAAAACAAAACAAAATAAAAAAAGTTTTTTCTTTCCTTTTTCAATCATGAATGTTTTAATTAATCTTTTTGAACATTTCTTTTGTTTCTTTCTTTAGAATGTTCCATATGTATTTGTTCCATCCAAGACTGCTCTTGGTAGAGCTTGTGGTGTGACTCGAGCTGTGATTGCTTGCTCAGTAACGACCAACGAAGCTAAAGAATTACAACAACAGATCGAAAGTGTCAAGAGTCAAATCGAACGTTTGTTAATCTGATCAACTGACTTTTTGGGAGTTTGATGTAATCAATCCATCAAACTCAATGCCGAACCGGGAATGTTTTGTTGGGAGATTTCTTTGGGGCTTATCCATGGGATCAATTTGTTTACCTTGTGAAATTTCAATCATAGATCCATAGCCTAATGACTACAAAAAAGAAAGTTGGGAAATGATTTACAATCGTGAAGATGCGATGAGACTTTCCATCAAAAATTGAAATGTGCCCATCTATTCAAGTTAATCTAATGCTGAATATTGATCTCTCTATTTGGAGATCATTATTCATCCTCATAAAAACTCCGCTCAGACCCTTCATCCTCTTCTGGTGCTTCCTCTAATCCTTCAATACCATCCAATCCCCTCTCTTCTAATTGCTTGGCCTCCTTCTCAGCCTTAAGTCGCTCTTGTTTGGCTTTCATCCTTTCAATAATCTTTGCGGCTCTAGACACCAATAACAAATGATATAAATATGTGTCAAAATGCTGTTATAAGAATCGGATCACGAAATTGTCCAACTGACTTGTTAAAGATTCCACTCGTAGGAGCGCCACAAGCAAAACATTTAGGTGTCTTGGCAAATCGTTTGATAGCGCAGCCTGAACAGAAGTAATGTTGACATTTAGTCACGATCGGATCCGTAAAGGGTTGCCGACAGATCAAGCTAAGAAAATTTTACATCAGGATCCAACTTGACTTTTTGTTTGAGTCGCGTGTCTAATCTCACGAAGATCAAGTGAAGATTATACATACCAAGCAAATGGAACCTCTTCCTCCTCTTCTTCTTCTTGTTGATTACCTTTTCCTCGAGATCCAGCAAAAGCGTCATCGAGTTGCCAACCATGCATATAATCACTACGATCGTGTAAAAACTAAAAAGAAAAACCGACAGATCTATTAGGATCTTTGAAGGAATTTAACCATGAGAAAGAAGACGACATATCTTACTTTACATGTATCACCAAAACCACAAAACCCGGTATCTTTATAATCTTTACAAACATCAGGTTGATAATCTACAACAGTAATCGTTCTAACATTATCAGGTCCACCTTTGATTGGACCATACTTTGCAGAACCTTTTGGTAATTGATGTTTAAGTGATGAAGCACCATGATATAATCCATCATCTTCATCTGGTGGTAAATCATTTGATATGATAGGTTTTAATTGATTTGATAGTTTAAGTTCAGATGATAAGATTTCTTGTCTGGCTTGTTGTCGTGCTGATCCTTGGGCTTGATAAGCTACTCCACCTCTTTTTGAGATTTGTGTATCTTCATCTTCTTCGTCTTCGTCTTCTTCTTCTGAACTTTCATCGTCTTCTGTCTTGCGTCGTTTGTAAGATGATCCAGTGGTTTGTAATAATGGATTCAAGTTTCTTCTTTTACTTCTTTTACTTGATTTAACGATTTCTGGTTGTGGTATTGGTATTGATTTTGATGATTTTCCAAAACTACTGGATTTCTTGATGGTTTCTTCTTCCATGTTTTCTGAAATTCGTTGACGTGCATTGGTAGTTGTTTTCTTAGGTTTCTTTTTGAATAGAGGTGGATCTGTGCTTGTTTTCGTTGGATCTGATGGATGAGTTGACGAGGATGGTTCGTTTGACATGCTGGCTGGTGACTAGTTACTGGTTTTTGTCAAACTTCATTTCTCAAACTGATTGGTGTCCTTAGCTAGATGTCAGCTGAGCTATCACCTCCAATGACATCTCACCAGCACGACCAGGCTGCCATGATCCATCCCATGCGTGCCCCGAATCCGTGATATAGGTTTGCTTGAGAAAAGTGAAGGTGGTCCAAGTACGGCTCAGCATCACCTCATCACCGCCTCATGCTTGAACTAATAAATGCAACACACCAACAAAAGAACATCCGAAAATGAATGGCACGATGCACTCGACAATCCAGACATATTTCTGAAATACCACTTTTCGCTCTCTGTGGCCTTTCATGATGAGGGGATCCTTCAAGATAACTGACGATTCCTCAACTTCCTTTGATATCTGTTTCGAATGCTCAAATGTATTACTAATTTTTAGTCAACTTCACCTTCATCACATTGATGTTGATTGTTTTCAAGGGGACACATGCATAACAACTGTGCTTATCAGATCGGTAGCATTCTTCACAAACGCGCTAGTCAAGATTCAAGGTATTCGGCACTTTTTGGAAAACGAAACCTTTCTCATATCTTTAGTTTGAGTATCATTCAAGGCATTCGTAGTGTTGTCATGGCATACATGATACGATATCATTCAACATGGGGTAGTTGACCATGTGGGAGTCGTATATACAATTCACCCACAGTGGGGGTTGAGATTCTGGAGATATGAACCGTATGCACATGTATGCACCCCTACGAGTATGGCACTTTGGTATAAGCAGATCGAAATCCTATCCGAGTCGTGTGGGTTTAACCAACGCGCGCTCGAAAAGATCAATGTCTTTGTGACAAGTTAAACAAACGGTACAAGAACAATGAGACGAATTGATTGTATATCTCTTGAGTTTCAGAATAAAATCAATGGAAGAAGACAAAGTAGTCTACATGTCAAGAAAATTGTCTGGTGAACTGTCAACATGGTCATCGCTTCACTATAGCCGAGATTTCCTTTGTGGACCAGGTTATAAGATTCTTAATCGCAGGCTGCCAGTTTGGCAGTATCGATATACCACTCCAATTTAATCAAAAGTCACTCATTTTTCAAATACCCCCAAGAAAACCACGGGATGAATTCCTTCAAGCTTCGAAGGCAAAGTTGTCATTCATTTTTGCTCATCATCTTGATTTGTTGCTCTCTGTGTGCGAAACAAATCAATTCAGCTATAATTCCATTCAAGCAGTCAACCTCACTCGAACGTCGCCTGATTGATACTATCAAGAGTGCGGAGGACCTGTAAATCATCTCCTTGTATATTCGTACACAAATGGCTTGTGCTGACCATGCTATCCTTCTACCATGCTTCGTGTTGAATTGTGGAACGAGCAGTGGACCATTGAAGGTCCTCACGGATGAAAGGGTCGAAGAGCTCATCACTACAGGCCAAGGGCCAGGTAAAATTGAGTAGGGTCTACCTCATTAACCTTATCCCGATTCGTGCTCGGTCAATTTTCTCCTCCGCTGAACCAGTTCTTGTTTTTGATCTTTTACAGCACCTTTGATAGGCATATGAACGACATTGTCAAAAAACCCTCAACTCAAATTGACTTTCGGACTTGGATAATGTAGGTCTCAGGTGGAGTCAAGATAGTCTACTCATGCCCCCGAATCCAGAAGGTCTGATCTCTCCTGCAATCCTCTGGTAGCAAGCGTAATGGAGCTCAAGATGTAGAAATACGAGGCGATAGTAATTATGCCGAAAGAGACTTCATTGATCATCTTTTGGCTTGGCATAAAGACAAGTGCGTACTAAAAATTCAGACTGTTTGCATCGGTCAAGATTTAATCTGAAATCTCTTACTCAAGATGGATGAAAAAAGCGAACGAGAAGAAAAAATATCCTTCGGCCGAAAAGATTAAAAAAACACTTAACAAATATCCGTTCAGCTTGAGTGAGACAAGCAAGGTTGAACATATTCCCGAACCCTTCATTCCGTACGATTCATACCTCAAAAATATTCTAATGTAAGAATTGTTTGCAAAAAACATCAATATTTCTGAGCTTAAATTTGTCTATGAATTGTTTTGCTGATTTTTTTATCATTTTTCTTTAGGACTCCGGGTGAATTCATCGAACGTTATTTACCTCGACACGATGCTTACCGATCTCGATTTTGGGCTAGAATCCAGTAAGTCGATTTCTGTAAGCTTAAAATCTTTCAAACAGACCTTAATCAACTCTTGGAAATCATAGGCAAGAGTTTCCTGATTCGGAGTACAACTATGCTTCGGAATCCCTTGTACCGAAAGCATATTGGACTTCGGATATCTTTACCCGATATGAAAAGTTTGCTTTAGAGGAATTGTGAGTCAAAATCACGCAACGATCTCATTACGGTTCGAAATCAGCTTTTGAATCGATATATGTGATTTTTTTGAATGATTAGAAACCAGTGGACAGAGAAGATGTGAGTTTGAAGTGTTTTCCTCAAGTAGTGCTTACAATTCTGGAGCTAACACATTGTGGCATGGTTCTCGCTCTGTGATTAAGACCAAGATTTGATTTCATTGATCGATATGTGCCAGATATCAAAGGGCTTCGACTAGAATTTGAAGCTTATCTCAAGTGAGTCATTTTTTGTAGATAGTTTGTGACTTCACTATAGCCAACTTGGATTCATTTTCCGCGTAGCTCAATACCGAAATTCTTGAACCCTGAAACTCGGATGCGTGCTAAGGAATATATGCCTGCATACCTCGCGTGGGCAAAGAAAGTACACATGTAAGTTGTGTCCGCTCAATGTTGACCGTGTAAAACGTATTGATTCAAGCTCTACCCTCTGCAACACGCATTATTTTGATGCACATCTACTCTACTAGCTGGACGCCCTCGTCAGTATGGCTCATATCTATCCAATACATGACTAAATGGACGCTGATTTGATGTTTGGTGACACAGGCACACGGAAAGATTCTTTAGTTACGGGCAAGGTGAATACAGGCTCAAGGAACCGTTCATCAAGTATCTTTACAAGAAAGGTGCTACACGTGGTTTATCACCTCAAGATACTTATTTCCATGGTGATATTCATGCGGAATACTCAGCTTTTCTTTACGAAAGGAAACATGCCAATTTTGCTAAGAAGATGTTATATAAATTTCAAGAATGGAAATATAATCTTCATCTTGGTTGGACTGCTTTTAAAAATAGTTTTTCAAATTTGGATGGATGGGATAAATTCTTTTTAGGAATGGGTGCTGCTGAGTTAGGAGATATCTTTGTGAGACTTTTCGCCGGTTGATGGATATGATTTAAAAGATTTTAAATTAGTAATCAGTGATTCTTCAATCAGATCATCTCTTCTTGCGTATTGTATCAAGACATTGTCTTTCATTTAAACCCTCATTCTTTTTATACTCTCATCAAACGCATGTCTGTACCTTCTTTATACTTTTTATAATTGGATCACTGCAAGGTTTTGAAAGAAACCATAACCAGATATCATTCTTGTTTCTAGAAAAAAATCATGGCTCAAAAGGTGAAAAGTCTTGATTGGTTTGTTTGATTTATCAAGACCTAAATCTGACCATGTGATCGGGTCCCCAGGGACACCCAAAAATGCATCTTGTCCCTTGACAATCTGAGTGTCCTTTGCGCGCTTGCTCACCAACGAACCAACCACCGGGCGTATCCTTTGTGTGCGTAATTTCTGTATCGTCAGATTGATGGCTCTCAGTTGGCTATAACTTATTGGAATTACGATCTTTTTTAAATAATTTTTCCAATGTGAGACACGATCTCAGATTAAGAGATGGGGGTGATGGTAACAATGATAGCTATATACGAGTATGTAGTGGGCGACGTGGGGTTGGTTTTTTTATTCATTGCTTTAAGCGTCATTAGAGCCGTTAGGCTTTCAAAACTGCATCTCTTTCCAGCGGTATTTGTTCACCCGTGACATCTGATGGGTATGTATCGATCATTCTGGAGAAAGCATGGAATTTGGATATCAGTTGGTTCGATTTCTAGCGAAGATGATTGTAGTCATGTAAGTGACCAACGCGTGCTCGAGAAGTCCAAAGTCTTTGCGACAAGTGAGAAGAACAGTATGAGGATTGTCAAATCACTAGGTCATCACTGATTTCATTGCATGTCAAGTTTCAGAATGAAAGCAGAAGGAAGAAAAAGTAGTGTACCGGCAAAATGGTCGGCTCAACATGATCACGACCACACCTCAGCCGAGATTTCCTTCATGAATCCTGTTACATTTAACATTCTGAATCATAGATTCCACCCAGGCTGCATGTTTCAATCAAAAGTCATTCATTTCTAAAATAAACGTTCGATTGTCTCCAAAAACGACACGGGATGAATTCTTTCAAGCTTCGAACGGAAAGGTGTCATTGGGTTTTGCTCGTCATCTTGATTTATGGCTCTCTGTTCGCAAGACACCTCAATTCAGCGGTAATCCCATCCAAGCAGTCAAGCCGTCTCGTACGCCGCTTCATTGATGGTGTCAAGACTGCAGAAGAACTGTAAGTGATCTGTCTGTTCTACTTCCAATGGCTTGTCGGGCAGCTGACATGTGATGCTTCGATCATTTTTCGTGGTGAATTATGGGTTGAGCAGTGGACCGCTGGAGATTCTCACAGATGCAAAGTACCATGAGCTTATCGCTGGAGGCCTAAGGCCAGGTAAAATCGAGTACGGCCTACTTCATCAACATTTATCCTAACTGTGCTCTGAATCCATCCTCTACTGATTCAACTCTGGTCATCTTTTTCACTCAGGACCTTTGATACCCATATCACTAACATCGTTCAAGACCCTCTGCGTCAACTAGATTTTCGGCAATGGGTAACGTGCGTCCTACATGCAATTGACTCGGTATGCTCATGTTTCTGATTCATGGAGGACTGATTTATCCCCCTAGCAGTAATCGTCCCACACAGAATGGTGTGAAGATTGAAGACAACGGTTTATATGCCGAACGCAATTTCCTTGATCACCTCTATGCCTGGCATAAAGCAGAGTGGGTATAACAATCTAGCCTCTTTTCTTCTATCATATCGCAATCTGAGATTTCCTACTCGTGACTGTTTAGCAAAGGATATCTTTTGTCCGATCAGGTCGCCAAACTGCTTGAGCAATATCCGCTCAGCTCGGGCGCGAAAGTTGGTCACATTCCGGAAACTTCATACCTCAGAACCACTCTAATGTAAGTTTTTTATGAGAAACGTATGTTTGGATCTTGGATCAGCCTGGAAATTGTTTTTCTGAGACGTTTGAAATGCCTCCTAGGACTCCGGGCGACTTCATTCAACGTTATTTACCTCCAAACGATGAATACCGCAATCGATTTTGGGCTGGAATCCGGTGAGTCAATTCTTTTCAAATCAGGATATCTCGAACGGCGCTTATTCGATTCTTGAATAATCCAGACATGAGTTCTCGGGTTCGAGTACTTACTTGGCGTCGGACATCTTTCATCGATATGAAACGTTTGCTTTGAATGAAATGTCAGTCAAGTTCAACAGCGATCCTAATGTTATTCGAGATCAGTTGTTGACCGAATACGTGTGTCTATTCTTGAGCGCTTAGGGGGAAAATTCAAGACACTAAGTGAGTTTGAAGCGTTTTCTTCACATAGTCTTTACAACTCATCGTGATCCGGAGTTGACACCTTGTGGTATGGGTCCTGTTTTGTGATCAAGACTAAGATTCAACTTCCTCGATGATTACCTACCAGACATTCCCGGGGTTAAAGTAGAATTTGCAAAATATCTTGAGTATGGGAAAACGTTTCACATCGTTTACAAGTTGATTCCAGCTGACTGGGCTTCAAACTCCGCGCAGCCGCACGCAAGTACTGTGGCAACCTCGTAATTCGCTCCCTCTCAAAACATATATGACCGAATATCTCAAGTGGGCAAAGGAATACAATGTGTAAGTTGTGTCACCTACATGTTGACCGTAAAATATATTGATCTGGGCTTCATCTCCTGCAACATGAATCACTTTGATGCACACCCCCTTTGCCAGCTGGACGCCTTCGTCAGTGTGGCTCCTATCTATTCAACGCCTAGATAAATGAGCGCTAATTTGTAATTCTTTGAAACAGGGACACAGAGGAGTTCTTCAGACTGGGGAAAGGCGAATACAGGCTAAAAGATCCCTTCATCAAGTATCTTTACAAAAAAGCTAAAAAGCTTAATTACTCAAGAAGAGAAGCTTATTTCACTGGCGATATCCAATCGGAATTCAATAATTTTCTTCGCGAAAGAAACAATGTCAGTTTTGCTAAGAAGATCCTATATAAGTTTCAAGAATGGAAATATAATGTTGGTCTTGGTTGGACTGCTTTTAGAAAGCAGGTTTTCAATTTTAGATGGTTTTGATGAATCTTTTCATGAGATTCTGCCGTGGATATGGGAGGTCACATCGCTAAACTCTTGGTCGAATGCTAGGTATCTTGATCTAACAATTAGATACCTTATCCTTGTATATTGTCTCAAAATATAGTTTTTTCTTTCATTTAACCTCCCATTCTTTTCTTGCTCTCATAGGAAATATGTTTGTACCTTCTTTTTACTTTTCATGGTCAAAATGTTCGATGGTAATGGAATCCTCTTTTGTAATACGAGTCTTCCTTCTGAAAAAGATCATCCATGACAAGGTGAAAAAGCTTGAGTGGTCTTATAAAATGGGTTAAGATTCAAGACTGGACTATTTGAGTGCGGGCTTGTGATCCAGCTGTCAGATCAGTGACACTCAAAACAAACGTATCTCCTCCCTTCAAAATCAATGTTTTGACCGTCCTTGTGGGCGTATGTTTTGGCATTGTCAGATCTGCGGTTCGTTGTTATCACTTGTTGGAACGATCGACCTGTTTAATGTTTCAATCGTACTTATCTCCTTCCTCGATTGTCAGGATTTCAAACATGTATCTGCGAGAGCTTGTTGAACCCTCCGGTCAAACACTTTGATCTTCTCATATTATCATTTTTGACAGCAATTCGATCTCTTTGGGGGAAACCCTGTAAGATATTTCCTCATCTTGAGCAGTGTGCGCTACACAAGTTCTAATTTATACTTTACCCTTAGGCCGCCTGTTTGGCGTTACCAATAATCAGTCACTCATTTTTGGAAAAACTCACGATCATTCCCGAATAGGGCACGATATGAATACCTTCAAGCTTCAAAAGCAAAGCTGCCATGTGATTCTGCTCCTCATCTTGATTAGTTGGTCTCTATGTGAAGGACAAATCAATTCAGCGCGATCGGGTTCACTTGCACGTCGCATGATTGCTGATATCAAGAGTGCAGAAGAACTGTAAACCATCCCTTTGTATCTACTCGCAAATGGCTTGTTGGAGAGCTGACTATGTGCTCCTTCTACCATACCTCTTGATGGATTATGTGTCGGGAAGTGGACCACTGAAGACTTTCACGCATACAAAGTCAATCGAACACAAAAACCTAGGCATAAATACAGGTAAAATCGAGTGGGGCCTATTTCATCAACATTTATTCTGGTTCGTGCTATGTGAATCTGTCCTCCACTGATTTAATTCTTGTCCTGTTCACAGGACCCTTGACATCCACATGAACAGTAACATCAAGGATGATGAAGATCAAAAGAATTTTCGGGACTGGCTACAGTAAGTCATGCATGGAGTTGACAGGGTATGCTCATGTTTTTGACTGGTGAGGCTCTGACACTTCTTCTAACCCCCACACAGCACTCGGAATGTAGAGTACGGCGTGAAGTTAGAAGACAACGGTAAGTATGCCGAAATTGACTTTCTCGAGCAATTCTTGGCTTGGAAAACACAGTGCGTAAAAGCTACAACTTTCCTATCTACGGTAGCACGATGTGAAATGTACTTGTCTCCATGATTTCTTTAGGGGACAAGATCTTTGGCCCGAAGATATAAAAAAGTTACTTCTCAAATATCCGTTGAGAATTGGAGGAGAAGTCAAGTTGGATCTAAAAATCCCGCAAGATTCGTACCTCAGAACTACTCTAATGTAAGAGTGAGGAAGAGATATCAAAGTTTTGCTGAGCTTAGACTAGCCTGTAAGTTTTTTTGCTAAAACTTTTGAAATTTCTTCTAGGACTCCGGGTGAATTCATCGAACGTTTTTTACCTCGAGACGATCAATACCGCTCTCGATTTTGGGACAACCTCTAGTGAGTTAATTTTTATTGTAAAAACACAATTTCAGACAATCTCTTAAAAGCGCTCAATTAAATTTGGAAAAGTGAATTTAAGCATTCGGAGCGATACTGGGCGCGGGTTTTCTTCAAGAGATACCAAAAGTTTGCTTTGCGGGAAGTGTGAGTCAAAATCAACAATGATCATATCCTTATTCCGAATCAGCTTTCGAAATGTTTTATCTGATCATCTCTGAAAGATCAGAGATAATCAAGGGAAAATGTGAGTCTAAATCTTTCTCCTCATGCAGCCCTTACAATTCACCATAAGTGTGAAGCTCACACTGTGTGGCATGGGTCCTATTCTGTTAATAAGGTTCAGATACGATTTCATAAATCGATACTTACCAGACATCTTTGGGGTTCAATCAGAATTTAATTATCATCTTGAGTAAGGGAAAATGTTTTGAATTGGTTGTGAGTTCATTCTAGCTGACTGCCTTCGATCCTCTTCAATCTTTGCGTAGCCGAACGCCAGGACTTTCGAACGCTCAAGATCTCCTCCCCGCCAAGATATATATGACCCAATATCTCAAGTGGGCACGGGAGGACCATATGTAAGTGGTGTCTATCTCTTGGTCGCCATGTCAAATGTATTGAATTACATATCTGGGAACACAAATTAATTCCATGCCCGTGTACTCCACCAGCTGGAGGCCTGTGTCAGTAAAGATTCCATTTATTCGACACCTGGCGTGACCCACACTGACTAGATAATCTGATGAAACAGGGATACAGCATCGTTCTTTCGTTCCGAACTTGGTGACCCCCATTTGGAAAAACCTTTCATTGAATATCTTTATAAATTAGCTGCCAGATCAGGATTAAAAAGGAAACATGCATATTTCCAAGATGGAATTTATGGACAATATGCCATATTTTTACAACAAAGAAAGAAAGCAAATTTTGCAAAGAAGATTTTATATAAATTTCAAGAATGGATATATAAATTCAGATATTTTCTCTCTAATTTATTTGGATAGGGCATGTTCTTTTTATGCGCTACCACTGCGGATATTACACTTCACATTTCACACTGAACTTAAGAATATTGGATATATCTCAAAACTCTTCAAATCAATGCAGAATTTTTGAATATAGTGTTGAAGATGACCTGCCACTTCTTAAACTTATTGATGATTAGTGATTGTGATGTTTCAATTAGATATCTTCTTCTTGTATATTGCCTCAAAACATATCCCTGTCTTTCATTGAACCCCTCATTCTTTTGCTTCTCTCATAGAACACATGTTGTTACCTTCTTTTTTTCTTTCTGTAATACAATTGTTTCAAGAGCTTGAGATCATCTTTCCAAATATGATTGTTTCCTTTGGAAAGACCAGTGCTCGAAAAGTGGATTACGTGGAACAATCTCCCAAGATTGTTGCAATTAAAAACTGAAATCTCAACCACTGTTATTCCAGGCTCGTAGTATGTCTTTTGTTCCTTCAATTTTATGTGTCAGTTTTTTGTGGCTCACGCCTAAGCTATTATGTGGCAGAGGATGGAAAGGCGCGCTCATAAAACGTAAAAAGGATGTGCATACGTGTCTCACGTGGTGGGTCTTTGGATGTTGGTTGACAAAGTTAAATCCGTGGAAGGGCTGGTGGTATATGATCCTCCACTTTATCTTTTGACCGGTTCAGCAACATGTCCAGGGTTCAGAAGGAGCATGATAGGAACCGTGCCACAAAAAAAACTCATCAACCCACCCAATCTGGCCTTCTTGCAATGTCAAACCTACTTCAAGTTCATTCTAATGACATAGGTGTTTCTTCTGGTGATGCTTCTGGAGCTTGTAATCCGGAAGCAGTCAGGTTTTACTGTTATGGTCGAAGAAGCTTGTTTTTTACCTACCATACAAGATGACGCGCCCGGCGTAGTTTTGATCTGAGGTATGTGCGTGAGCGCGCCTTTCCTGCGGCCCAACCTGACCTCGCAGCTTGGAAAGTGTGGTCACTTCAGAATCGATTTGATGAGTCAGAGTACATGGCCGATTTTGAGAATCGCCTTTGACACCTTTGGAGCTCCTAGAAACGCGACCAGTCATCATCTCATCAAAGCGAGCTCGAGGAGGAAAACGGCTCTGCGACAAGTGACACGGAAATTACGGGTCCATCTTCGAATGAATCATGACATTCGAGTTTCAGAGTAGAATCAATGAAGGAAGATGAAAGCTAAGATCGTATTTAACCACCAAGCTGCATGTTTGGAGTTACCGATTTGTTCTAATCGGTAGTCACCTGTTGTTATAAAAAAACTTTGGTTGTCGTCGAAAAAACCTGGGATGGATTGCTTCAAGCTTCAAAAGCGAAGTTGCCATTCGGTTGCGCTGATCATCTCGATATGTTGGTATCTGTGTGCGAGACAGATCACTTCAGCCGCAATTCCATCCAAGCGGACAAGCTCGCTCGTGCGTCGCCTGGTTGACAGTATCAAGAATGCCAAAGAACTGTGAATCCTTTCTCTGTACCTAAAAAAAGCTTGTTGAGAAACTGAAGATGGAATCTTTGTTGTGTATTTGTCAAGCAGTGGAACGCTGAAGCTCTATACGGAGGAAAAGGGAAATGAACTCGTCAGTGATGGCCAAGGATTGGGTAAAATCAAGTAGGCAAATCTCGATCCATACTTTGTGAATCGACCTTGACTGACACAACTCATCAACTTGTTCTCGATATCAGTACACTCGATAACTACAAGACCGAGATGATAACAAAAAACAGACCTCAAGACTCATTTCGCGAATGGCTAGAGTACGTCCTTCAAGGGATTGCCAGGCTGTACTGGAGTCAAGCTTGTGACTCGCAAACCTCTGTCCCCTCCAACACCCTCGTAGCTTCCCTACTAGACAGCATGGTGTAAGAATACAGGGAGATGACCTTTACGACGAAAGACACTCCATCGATCCCCTCGTGGCTTGGCATGAGCACCAGTGCGTATAAAAAGCTTGATTTATTCCAAATCTTAACGTTTCCATTTACCATGATAATGTATAACTTGAAATTATCACCTATCACCTTAGGAAAGGACCTCTCCCGCCCGATAAGATTCAAAAACATCATCAGAGGTATCCGCTTAGCAAGGACGTCAGCCCAGAACCCCACATCCCCGCAAATTCTTATCTCAGAACTACTCCAATGTGAGGGTTTTATAAAAAATGCATTGCTGATCAGCTTGGACGAGCTTCGTCACTACTTGCTGAGTTCAAAAAATTTCAAGGACTCCGGGTGAATTCATCAATCGATATTTACCTGAAGACTTTTTTTACCGCTCCCGATTTTCGTATATTCTCCAGTGAGTTGATCTTTATAAGTTAGATTCTCATGAATAGACTTTGACCGATTTTTCAAATATGTAGAACTCGATTTATTGATTCGACTTCATACTGGGCAGAGGAATTCTTTACGAAATATGAAAAGTTTGCCATGGAGGAAGTGTAAAGCAAAATCAAACCTATCATTCCAGCGCGAGTTAAACTCTTAAAATGATTTCTGTGACTATCTTTGATTCATTAGAGACAAATTGAAGACTTCTTCCAAAGACATGTGAGCTGAGAGAGCTTTCTTCATTTTATCCACTCGCTAAAAGTCTTGACTTGAATCTGACATGGGCTCTGTTCTTTGATTAAGGTCAAGAGGTGAATTCACCAATTCATACCTACCACCCATTCATGGGGTTCGAAAAGAATTTTGGGAATATTTTGAGTAAGGAAAACCTTTGCTACATTGGTTGCAAGTTCATCCAGCTGACTGATTACAAATATCTACGCAGCCGAACGGAACAACTGTCGAACGGTGGTGAAATCATCCCTACCAATAAACTGATGTCCGCTTATTTACAGTGGGCAAAGCAATACCACATGTAAGCTGAGTCCATTGCTTCTTGACCGTGTTAGATGTAATGACTTACTTAGGGACTTCATCTTGTGCCACATGAATCCTTTGAATCCCGTGCACTCCATCAGCTGGAGGCCTTCGTCAGTAAAGCTCACATTTGTTCAACACTTGGCTAGACCAAAGCTGATTTGATATTTAAATGAAACAGGGACACAAATAGATTCTTTCATTTCAAATTTGGTGACCCTAAACTAAAGAACTCTTTCATCAAATATCTCTATAAGAAAGCTTCTAGACTAGGATTAACAAAGGAACAAGCATATTTCCGTGGTAAATTTCAATGGGAATATTCTAGTTTTTTAAAAGAACGAGAAAAGGCTAACTTTGCTAAGAAGATTTATTATAAATTTCAAGATTGGAAATATGATTCACATCAGGCTTGGATTGCGTTTAAGCATAAGGTTTTAAAAGTAGACAAATTGAAATCATTCTTTTTGGGAAGTACCATTGGCGAGCTTGGATTATTGATTTCAAAAATATTTCAGATGTGATCAATATGATTTTGAATCATTTCCAAAAGTTTCAATGCTTGATCTTTCTCAAAGATGAAGTGATGACGGATGATTATGACTAGGGATTGCGATTTCTCCTGATCATTGTTCTTGTGGCTTGCCTCAAACTTGCTATCCCTTTTCTAAGCTCATAGAACATATATTTATCACTTCTTGTATTATTTGTATGTTCATTTTTTTTCAAGGATTTTGACATCGATGATTCTTCATGACGAGATCATCGTTCAAAATGTGAGAAATCTTCATTTAGACTGAATTTCTCGAATACTAGTTTCAACATATCATCCTTCACCTTCACGTTTCTAATTGGTTGTGAAGATCAAGTGATTTTGGCGGGTGATGGTCCCTCGGATCAGCTCGGATCTCAATCTCGGGCACCCTTCAGCTCGCGACTTCAATCCAAAGTTCAAACACAAGCACGTTTCGAAGTGGTCGTCTCTGGTCGTCCCCATTGAACTCTCCTTGATCCCTCATTGTATCTCTTTACCTCTGGCTCTCTGAAATTTGCAGCATTGGCTTGGTGTCCGACTTTGGGCCTGAACGACTTCACCCCGACTTGACTCGAAATTGGAGCGTGGGACGTATTACTGCAGGGAGCATGAAGAAACATCTATTACCAGATCAAGACTAGACCAAGGATGTGTGCTGGGTATTTCTGTACTTCACTCGATCAAAAAGGCAAAAAATAGCAGTTCGATCATTATCTATGCTCCTTAGAATAGATCTTTATAACAAAAACTGATATATGTGGCAACTTTTCATCAGTGAGCTTTACTTTTAAGGAAATGTATCTATCTACTCAGACTTGAATTGACCTTTACAATCTCACTGCATCCTCTTCGCTTAGCAAAAATCGTTCATTTTCACCGAGTTTGGGGTTTAAAACTTTGGCGGTGTAATCATGAACAATGAGCTCGACCGTGACATACGTACATATTCGGATTCCATTGGTTTCTGAAAAAGGCAAAATAGAAACTCACACGAACTTGAGGTTTCCTTTTTCGATATCAATGTCTGGAGATACGCATTCGAATCTTACCTTGAAAACTCTTTCGATTTGATTCTTTTTGTGCTTGAAAAGACTTCATGGAACGAAAAAGTCAAATGGAGAATCTACCTTTTTCATCTCACCTTGTATCCATCAAATTATAATCCGAAAAAGATCGTAACTTTTGGATCATAAATACGATTGACCATAAAAGCTGATGGATAAGATAAAAATCCCTCGCTCTTCAAAATTATTTTACTTCATCTTATCCTAAATCCTGACAACACAAGTAAACCAAGCTTTTTCAAAATCCAACTCAACACAAAAATCAACTTCATCCATGGCAGCTCCTATTAAATTACCCGAAAGGATCACATTAGATTATACATCAAATTATATTGATGAACCTTTATTTTCAAAAGTTCCAAAAGGTATACTACAAGAAGTGATAGAAGAAATACTTTTTTCTAATGCAAGTGATGTTTTAGAACCTGAAAATCTTCAAAGTTGAGTCAATGTTTTCTTTTCTTTCTTCTTCTTCCTCTTGATTTCAATTAAAATTCCAATCCTAATAAACATTTCACTTTTTTTGATACCTTACAAATAAATGTACATATAGAAGAAAAATCTAAACCGACTCAAGAATTCAATTTTATTTTAAACTTAGCTCAAGAAAATGTAATCAAACGCACCAAACATATTTATCAACAAATCATTAACTTTGAAAACTTTGAAAAGAATTTAACCACTAATCCTAATTTCAATTTAATTTTAAAACAACAAGGAAATTTATTAAAACCAAACGTGATTAATGATGAAGATATAAATTTATTAATTTCAAAAAAACATTTAATCCAACAAATTTCAATTCAAACTTCAATGGAAGGTTTAATCGATTTTTTGAAATCCATTCATTTACCTAAACTTAAAATCTTAAATGTTAAATTACCTACTTTTGCAGTAGGAGTTAAAAGAATCGAAATCCCTTCTACTTTATTTAATCATTTACCAAATTTAGAATTCATTCGATTTAAATGTTGGGAATCTTTAACTTATCAATGGTCTTGGGGTATTAGACTTATCAAAGCTTATGATGATTGGAGCTTATGGATCGAATATGATGGTCCTACTCGTCCTCCTAGTGTTTGAATCTTTTCTAAGCTTGCATTTCTCAATAAATAGATAGTTAAGGAACAAAAATGTAAATTGATCATGTACTTTGATATTATATCCCACTTATGGCCTGCTTCATTCGATTGTGACTATTTGTATTGTCATTAATTTATAATCCATTTGTATCAATCATAACAAAGGCCCTTTTCATTAAAGGTTATAAAATCATGACATGATGCATTGTGTTTGGATGTCAATGTATCATATATACTCTTTGAAACAAGGGGGTAATCCACACCCTTCATGTGTAGACTACTTATTGAAATGGATCGAAACACTGATGATCCATCTGCCGCTGATACTCTATCTTTAAAGCAATCTTTGAGCTCTGTTGAAAACCATAAATACATCTCAAATCTATGATCCTTGAAATGTAGGGGTCCTTTGGATCCAATTTAACTTTTCTTGAGATTTTGGTATGAAGATTTCATATCATCAGGCTATCACCAATGTATCACATCCCAAACAAGTGATCACACTGGAGCAAAAATCACAAACAAATTGCCAAAATTAACTTGTAAGTCCCTCAATGAGCTCTACTGGCCAGCTCAAACAAGAGACTTACGAGTCAAGTCAAAAAAATGACGTGAGATTGGACAGTATTGTTTTGCCAATTGGCAAAAGTGGTTCCCCTTATGAACTTTTGTTTTGTGATATTAATATGCTTCCACATCAATTATGAAATCCATGTGCTATGATTTTCTCTACATTCTCCTACTCTCATTATCTCAATATGTTGGATGTCAAAGACATAATGATCCGTTTGCCTTTCAATTTCACCCCAAACCTCAAATCCTTGGGTCCAAAAGCAATCCAAAAAAATACATTCATTTTTGACTTTGAGCCTTGAATTACTTTTCTATATATATATATAGAACCATTCAAGTCCTCCAGAAACCAAGAATTCAAACCTCTACAATACATAGAGAAGATCAAAGGCGCATTATTTTCATAATTGTTGTGGACAGTAGGGGAAAGTTAGGATCCCCCAAAAGAAGTTTTTAAATGGGTTTTTTTGGCAAAAAGTATCGTCTGAGAGGTATGGTCATCTTGTGAAAATGAATGGATGATGGATGGGCAAGACTTCCATCCTTTTAACACCTCAGAGGCTCCGAGTCCTAGTAAGAAGTCTGAGAGAGATGTCACAGATCTTTCACATATCTCTTGGAAGCGCTGTATACACCATAGGGTAATCAATATCATCCTCGGTCCGGATGTTAAGAGACCGCTTGAGTTGGCAGCGTTTCTGACACCGGATGGCTCCGATCCAATCCGGTCGCTACATGAAACCATGTGAATGCCGTCTTCGCTATTGCTCGAACTTGTGCCGTAGCGATGACGGTATATGACTCTTCGACAAGTTTTACACCGCGATCGATGCGATTGAAAATTTCAATGGCCTTGATAAGCCTTGATTCTACACGAACCTCCTCGATGCGATTAAAAATTCAATAAATACTGTGGTCTTTTCGGTCTAAGTAGCCACAAGCCAAAAAATAATCATTGAGTTCACACCAATCATTTACTTACAAAATCTTTACTTGAATATCATCTCAAAATCTTCATTTGTCACCAATTTACTTACAAAGTCTCTACTCAAAGATTACCTCAAAATTTTCATTCATCCCAAATATAAATGCTATAAGTGTAATAAACTTAGAAAGATCCAAGAACCCAAATTCTAAACTGCTATTTCAAGATTCCACTGTTTATTTACTTAAACAATCTCCTACTTATTACTTAAAAATTATTCCAAAGTCTTCACTTGTCCCAGATCTAGATGCTATAAGTGTGATACTTACATCAATTCAAGAATCCACACTCTAAACTTTTATTTTGAGATATACATACTGTTATTTCAACATTTGATACTCCAGCTTCAGAAGAGCCAATCAAGACAAATACATCCTGAACCTAAGATTTTCTGTTTGTTCTTAGCAAAACCAAACAATCACAAAAAATGGTGCAGGATCTTCCCCAGTGTGAGTTCAGTGTGTCTATTCCGTAAATATATTGAACATCTTGTGACTTGATTGATCATTACACTGATGTACATTTTTTACAGAATGGTCAGATCATGGAACATTTGCTCACATCCCCTTACCCAGCCTTGTGGAGAGCTTGAGCACAGAGGAAAATGGTTAGACATATCCCATTAACAATGTATAGTGATGATACATCAGGTTCAATTTCAAAGAGGCTCAACAAGCATGTGTGCTACATATCAGCTTGGGACTACCTTCAAATCTAGCCAACTTGGAGTACAACATACACTGGCTGGCCACTTCAACCACTGCACATGCTCAATACATCCACAAATCTCATCATAATGATACATCTTCTGATATTGGATAGCTTCTTGTCACATGATGGTGTCTCTTCATGCGAGTCTGGCATTGTGCATGATGTGTTGGTGATGACATTTCAGCTGGCACCCCTGGGAAATTCCCCAATGCATGCTTAAGTAACCAATACTAACATTCCAGACACTACCTGGCACCCTAATAAATCAGTCAAAAACAGCACATATAAACCCTTTGTCCAGCCTCAAGGCCTTGGAATCCACTCCAAGATGACACTGTCTACAAGGGTGCAAGCTATTGCCTGGATTGTTAGTATTGGTTATCTCAGTATGCATTGGGGAGTCACCCAGGTGTGTCAGCTGAACTTCCATCACCAATACATCCTTCTGATGCCAGAAGAGTAAACAGAGACACCCTCACATGACAAGACACTATTAAATACTAGATGTTGTAAAGCTGATGTTATAGTCATTGTTATGTTGTACTCCAAGTTGGCCAGTTTTGAAGGTAGTCCCAAGTAAGTGAAGTAGTAGCACATGTGTTTGTTGAACCTCTTGGAAGTTGAACCTGATGTGTCGTCACTATACATTGTTAATGGGATATGTCTAAACATTTTCCTCTGTGCTTGAGCTCTCCACAGGTTGGGTAATGAGATGTGAGCCACTGTTCTTTGATCAATCAAGTCACAAGATTTGAAATATATTTACACAATAGAGTATCCCCATACAAGACCTTCAAAGGATATCCACTTGGCAGAATTATTTTCTCAAAGTGATTCCTAAAATCAGAGATTTTGAAAACACCAACTTGATTGTAACCCACTCTTCTGTCCTTCATCATCTCCATCTGTGAAACTCTTGGGTCATTGTAAGTGGGTAGATTAAGTGGCAGACATTTTGCTGCCAAATCATCTCCCAGATGATAAAAATGAGTGGGTACCACCACTTTTCCCAAGCTTAGCTGGACGGGATCATACAGATAAAAGTGGCCATAAGTGTGGTAGACCATGGGGACCTCAGATCTGATAAGCTGCCAAACTGTCCAGCCATTTATCACTCTGGCAGAAGAAATTCTTAGTTAATTTTATAATTTGATGGGTCATGTCATTTTATCTCAATTGATGAAAATGTTTGATGAAGAAGTTTAGTTAATTTTCATGATTTGATAGTTCATTTCATTTCATTTTATCTTTTTTCCTTTTGTTGTCAGTTTTGTCAATTTGAAATCTAACAATACTTTAGGGCCCGTTCGGTAGGATTTTCAATATACTGTTACCAAAAAACGGTATATTGATCTGCCCCTATATCAAGGGGCAGATTGAAATACCGTTTATCCGGTTATCCAATTTACTGAACACTCGACCAAAAAGGTCAACAAAAGATCAAAATGATTGCTGTTGACCTTTTGACCGCCGTTTGAGTGTTTGGTAACGCTCATTTGAAATTGAACATTGAATGAGACTTGAACACCATTTGATGGTTTTTGAGAACGATTGATTCATTCTCAAATCCATCCATCGTGGTCATCAACCACCCATTTTGATCAACACTTTGAAATTAATCAAGCCTGTTCAAAAACCATTCAACCTCGTTGTCAACCATCTGTTTTGTTCAAAATTTATACAGTCAAATCGGAAAAGCTTGACCAATTTTGCCCGCTAAACTCAAACAAATTGGCTGGGAATTTGTGGCAAGCTTTTGTGATTTGACTGTAATTCAATCAATTGTACATAAAAATGAAACTTGAAAATGAATCGATTGATTCATTTTAAAAATCATCCAATCTTGTCAACAGCCATCGAATGTTTTTAAAAATCAATTCGTATTTCAACTCTCATCGGATTGTTGTTTTACACATGTGTTATTGAACAATAACTTCCAATTGAAGTTGTTTTAGATCTTTCATTTTTGTTTGTTCAATGAAAGCAAACAAAGACAAAGACAGAAGTTGATAACAAAGACAAAAGATCAGAACAAAGACAGAAGTGGATGTTGAAGCAAAAGAAGAATTATAACGTGGTGATTGATAAGAAAAGAAGCGATGAAGAGTTGAGAGGATGAGTGGTGATTAAAAGGTTGAAGTCAAAGGACGGTTGAAAGGGTGAAGTCAAAGAAAAGATGATCGTGTATGGTGAAGGAGGGAGGGTGGTGACAAAAGGAGAGGGTGATCGAAAAGGAAGGGTGAAGGAGAGAGTTGAAGAGAGGGGTATGGAAAAGGGAGAGGCTGTGAGAGGGGCAAAAAGTCTTTTTCAGTCTGATATACGGCCAAAAGGCTGTATATTCAAATCGACCAGTATATCGTGTTATACAATTTAGATTTTTGTCGAAATAAATTTACCGAACACCGGCAGTTTTTTGAAAATTCAATATACATATATGCCGATATACTGTATATTGGTTTGGTGTAGTATATCACGATATACGTATATCGAATCGTACCGAACGGGCCCTTATCATTTCATTTGTATAATGTTGGGTTTGTTTGTAAGAGAATTTTTCATCAAATCAGATTGTAAACAGACAAAAGGAAATTTTTGCTCAAGAGGCTGTATTTGGAATTAAGAAAAATAGAGCCTCATGAGCAAGACTGTACCAGGGTAATATCATGAACCCACATAGCTTAAATAAACCCTAGGTGATATAGGCTTTCAGGCAAGATAAGCACCGTGTGTGTATGGAGTTGTCATGTCGATGTGAGCACACAAAGAAATTCAGAATGATCTACATCACTTTTTGTTTTGCTTGTATGTAGCTAGGCTCATCATTTCCTTTCACAACAAATAAAGACTGTGCCCTAGTCACTACTCCACTGGTTAGTTCTCTGTTCCCGAGCTCTCAAATTCTTCAGGGGGCTTGGCCAGAGTGTAGAGATGTTTTTCAAGCCACAACCCTGGGTCAGAAATGCAGGTGTTGTGTGCTGTGCTGCGCTTGTGTTGCGGTTTTTCTGACCACACCCCATTTGATTTCCAAGTTGCAGCCTGATTTTCTGCGTAACCAGATGTGGCAAAGTTGGAGTTTTTTTGGGCCACAACAACATTTGTTGTGTTACTGCCCAAAAAATCAAAATTTGATGTTTTTTTGGTGTTGCACCTTTTGCGTTGCGCGGTGGTCAAGGCGCTGCGCAACCCAGCCAAACCTTTTGCTGTTGTGGTAATTACTGCAACACGGCATCTGCCGCTGGGTTTTGTTGTGTGTTCCGGAGCAACACACCAAAAAACATGCTTTCTGTAGCGCGGTGTGTTGCTGGCACAGGGTTGCAAGCCGCCTGAAGTGTCAGAAGGCTTGGTTCAAGTGTAGAGGTTCCTCACTGAGGCTGCTATTGCTTCATAGGGCTTGGTAAGAAGTTTTTGACCCCTCTGGGGTGATCAACGGCTTGGTTTGAGTGCAAAGGTTCCTGACCAAGCCCTCTATGGCTTTGGAGGGCTTTTCAAATCCTCTCCTTGGAGGCTCCTTTGGGTGCAGACACCTATGACCAACCCTTCTAATGCTCCAGAGGGCTTGGTTGTGTAGTGATAACAAAGGGTGTTGGGTCACAAGACTTTAAAACACTAGCAAAAGTGTTTACAAGTTCCAAACCAACTGTTTGGTGTGCTCACATCAATGTGACACTACCATACAGAGACATGGTGAAGGAAAATAGTGTGATCCAAAAGGGGTCAAAAAGGATTCAGCAGGAAAGTTTGTGTCAAGTTTTGGGTAAGAGACAAGACCATCTTTTCTTGCATAGTAAGCAAATCAAAAGGTCCTTCTCTGGACCTCCTGAATTTCTTACTATTTGGGATCTTCATTCTCTATCAATCAGGATTATTGACTCACACCAAACAGCTAAGGTTTTTTATAAGTGATTCACAGCAAGCAAATACATTGTAAGTAAAGGATTTGCTTAATAAGTGAAAGATTCTAAGAGTTTGAACCTGAGTCTGACCGAATGATGAAGATTTAATAACGGTTTATTGAGTTTATAAGAAGTTTGAATCTACAATATATTTTGATTTCAATACTATACATGAACTTCTTCTGAAATTTCTACTTTTCAACTGAAGAACTAGATGATAAAGAATATAAACTTTGATACGTAGTCAAGCTTGATTTGGATCATGAGTTTCTTACTTCTTTTTCTCTTTGATACAATGATTTTTATAGAAAAAATAAACGAAAAGGAAATAAAAACAATTTCAATGGTTTGAAGGAAGATGGGGAGAAGTGAGCAATGGGAGTAGGAAAGCAAATGAGACGTGAGAAGAGATCAATAAAAGATATGTTTTTCTATCTGATCTGAGTACATACTGAATTTAGTAAAGTTCGACTAGATTTCATAAAGCCTGTTGATTCATCTTACAAGAACCAACTCATCATCAATCCTTCTCAAAATCCTCGAGTCGATTGACTGGAGTATTGTTAGCTGGAAGACGATTTTGATCGATGTTTTCCAAATTATCATGAAATGATCCTCGATTTCTTTGAAAGAAAAAACGATTTATAACGGTTTAGCAGAACTAAACAAAACTTTTGAAGATTCAAAGATTGAAATAGAAAAGATCGAAATCGATTGACAAACCTCTGGAGTTTGCGAGAGTTTTCTCCATTGGACTACAAATTCAAAAAAGTAGACGTAACCAAATTTAGGGAAGATTAGCTCTATCCAACCTTTCTGAAGTTGATTCCTCTCTTACCTCCACGGGCCTTTTTTTCTGACGGTTCTCAGCTTCCAAAAACTGCCTAAGCTGTGCTACCTCCTCTCGTGTAGCTGCAAGACTTCGAGCTGTCACATCCGCGTACTTTTTTCATTCAACTTCATGTCAGTGATTGAAAACTCTCTGCAAGATAATCAAGATAAGCTTACTTCCAAGGAAATACGATGATCTGTACGTGATCTTTCGAGACATTGAGTGGCGTTATCTAGCATCCTTCTGGTCGACTCGAGCTCGTTGGATAAGTTTCTGACCAATTTTTCATACATCTGATGGAGATCAAAGTTCAAGTTGAGAATGAGATCACTTTGAACAGAGCACTTTAAAATCACTGACCTCTCGATCAGCTAATGCATGAGCTTGTAAGTCATTAACAGCCAATTCTTGTAAATGACTTGCATCGGCTTCTTTCTTACGAAGACAACGTTGTTCGTGAAGTTTGACACCTCTAGAGGTAAACAAGACTTGACAGTACGTACAACGTGTATCTTTAGGAGCCCGACGTGGTTGTTTTTGATCTTCATGATGAAAAGGAGAAGGGAAACTGATTGAAGGTTCATGACTAGGAAGATGAGAAGAACTACTACTCTCGATCGAACTGTCAGTAATGTTAGAAGGATGGTTGAGTAAGCTTTCGGGAGTGTTAGCTAAGATTAAATGATGATCAGTCGTAGCAGTAGTAGCAGTAGAAGTATTGCCAGGTGAATAATTCAATTGATCGAATTGATTGGGTGAAAAGGTAATGGATGGTGGTGGTGGTGGTGGAAACTTGATGGAATTAGAAGGAGAGCATTGAAAATCTTGAATCGAGTTCGATCCCATGATATTCTGATTCATAGTCAAGTTTATTAAACTCAATTAATATTCAATCGTCAACACTTTATATCTGAATTCTAAATGATGTAAACCAAATCAAACACATTGAAACTTATATAAATATCAATCAAACACCAAGAGATCAAAAGATAGAGAAATAGCAAGATATATAGATATTGATGAACTCTGAACACGACTTCAAACGTAAGAAAGGTAGACCAAACCCTTCATAGTAAATGCAGGAATATTTGTCTTAAATCAACAGCAAGAACAAGAACAAGAACAAGCAGAATAAAATGACCAAGTAAATCTGAATGAGAAATGAGTTTGAGATAGAAAGAGAGAAATAAGTAGTAGAAAGAGTTGATTTAGATTTGAATGATTATCACTCACTGAATGCTCTGTACGATTTTTCAAGTTTCAAGTTAAAGAAAGGCTCTCAAAGTTGAATTTACTAAAAACTCAATTTCAATTCAACACGATTTGAGAATGAGATTGGTTCAAGTTTAAGAGATGAATGATTTGAGAGAAGCTGGTTGTGTCAGTGATTGGCTTTATAGCGAAAAGGCTCAACAACCAAACTTGAATCTCTAATCTGGTGATCAGGTGAATAAGCCTAATACAGAAATCGATTAACCTTTAAGAATCCGAATTTCTTTATAATCGAATGATGCCCTCTGATCTCACCTGCTTATCCTCTGTGAAGAGTGACTCTTGAAAAGCGCTGTCCATTTTAATCTGACTCTTCGTCATCAAACTTGGCTTATTTTCTCTTAGATTTCACAGCTTAAATTGGTTAAAACTCTTTGATTTCTTTTCACGTTCACAGCCAACCAATCAAATCTATTCCTGACTGTCTTTTCCTCTTTTCAGATTGATTGTTTACCATTTACTTACAAGTCATTCTAAGCAAAGCTTGCTCAATTTTGCCCGCAAAACTCGATCAAATCGGCGGGGAATTTGTCGCAAGCTTTTCTTAAATCACTGTACTTCATCAGCTCTCTCTCTCTCTCTTGGTCTCTATCCTTTCCCGCTATCTTTGATCTTCATTAACATTATCTCAATCAAATCTTTAATCAATTCTTATTTATCTCTTTCATCTCTTTACAACCCATCATCATCCTACAGGAATGCTTATCTAACAAAAATAATAATAACAAATCCAGGTTTTATTTTGATTTTTCATTTTCAAAGTCGTTGTCCAATTGTTTTCTCACTTCGAACCGAATCAGGTAAACAGAATACCCCCTTTGAATATCCAAAAGTTACCTTGTATTCTGAACACGTTTGAACCGCTTCAACTCATTCTTGTTCTTCTTTTCCATGTTTTCTTCTTCCGTAAACCTTTTCAGACCAGATCCTTTACATTCAAACTCCAATGACCGCTCACATTATCATTTCTTGAACGATACTCGCTAGTTCTAATATGGTCGCAGACTTGTTTTAATATCCTATCATGTTTTGTCAGACGAAAGGATGAAAGAGGGAGCTTTGTTTAATTTGAAGCACAGTGAATTCACTGGAAAAATAGTCTTGTAGGTTTTCTGTAAACCTTTTTGAATCAAAAGGTGAGGTTTTGAAATGAATTTGGGACTTTTGATCTACAGCATTTTGCGCGATGCAATCAAGGATGCTCATTGCTATCAAGCCAAGTGATATTTCTTCGCAGGAAATATGAACTTGTCGTGTGGATTTGGGAGAGTGTTGTCGATCCTTGAAAATTTAAACCTTTTTGACTTTAAGTAATACAGTATCATACATAAGAATTTAGAAAAAACTTAAAATTTAACATCAGACACATCCAAGCCGGGATAATTCAGATCAAATGGTTTCCCCATTTCGCATTGACCAAATCCGAAAATGTTTTCTATACCTCAATCCACTCAACGACTAACCACAAATCTATTAACAAATGAAACCATAGCACGTTCGATCATCAATTCCAAAAGGTTTATCAGTTCATCCATCAGTTTACATCAAGCAAGAGAAAGAATCCGACCAGTTCAACCTGATTTACCAATCTGTCGACCATGTTTAGGAAAAGAAAATCGATATTTACCAGTTTCATCTTTGATTGGTGTGAATCCTAGTTCAGTTTCTATTGAAGAAGTTCATAGGTATCCTATTCGGATTCCTAGAGCTGCTGTGGATCCTAAACTACTTAAATCAACAGCTTTGGTTAAAACAACTCATCAAGATACTCTAAGTAAGTCATTTTAATCGATTTGAATCTTACGAAAATTAGCAAAAATGGTTTTGTTGATTTGTTTTTTTCTGACGATTTATTAAATTTTCTTTTGCTTTGATTGATAGATCCAGAAGAGGTTTTGAAGATACGAGAAATGGGTGAATTAAAGGTGAAGGAAATTGTTGAAGATTGGGTACGGAATGAGTTGAATGTGATGGGTACGATTAGAGAAAAAACAATTGAAGTAAGTTTAGTTTAGTTCAGTTTAAAAGGTGAATCAGAAGAGACTAAAAGATTCAAAGATGATCAAACAAACTGATTTTGTTCAACTTAAACACTTTTGATGGATTTTTGATGATAGAAATTCATGCTTTTATTACTTAATCCATCCACTTTAGCACCTTTAGCTATGAAACTCAAATTAAGAACAGATGGTGAAACGAAATCGAAACAAGCTTCTTTACATGCACCTATCCGAATCGTACCAGCTGCAAGTCTAGCCGACATAGAACTCAGTCAATTATTTTATTATTTTATCGGTTCATTACATCTTTCATTACCTAATCCGTCCAGTAATTCGATCAGTTCACCACTCTTGAAGAACTATTTGATCGGTTTATTAAAAACAGGTTTACCACATACCTCTCTAAGTAAATTACTGATCAGATCTACTGAATTGAGTGGTCAATCAGTGATTGGTATTAAGAAAGGACATGCTCGTGCTGAGTTAAGAGTCGCATCACTTTCGATTTGGGGAGAGAGAAGGTGTAAGAAATTAAAGAAATTGGTGCCTGATCAGAAAAATCATAGGAATGCATTGAACCTTAGGAAAGCTGAATTGTTGAAACAGAGATGGAAAGATGAAGAAGAGAAAATGATTCATTGGAGAAGAAGAATGGTGAATTGATGGATCTAGATAAATTTTTAAAGATGATTTGTTTCTCGATTAAGACTGATGCTGATTTTGATTTTGATTTTGATTTTTCAGTTGGAAGTTACAGCAGCTCATAAAGCAGATACAGAAGCAGAAAGACTTTCTCGTGAAGATCATGCTAAGGAAGTTACCAAATGGAAATTAGAAAAGAAAAAGAATAAGGTGGTAGCAATTGAATCCACTCAGTCTGGGTTTTTGTCTAGGTTTATGGATTTTTGGCGGAAATCGAAATTAACTTGAAATGCAAAATTTGAAATTCGAAATTGAACTATAAATTCAACATTTATCAACTTGTTTGATAATTTGATTGAAGCTCTTAGTTAAGGGTATCACGATCGTCTGGTATTTTTCGTAGACGAGATTACCAAGGATTGATGTTCTGGTAGTTTGTGATAAGGAAATCATGAGTTTGAAAATTGAAAAATGATCAAAGAGTTTTAGATAATTTTGATTACTTCAAGGTAGACTGAGAATAAGTTTGTTGAATTTCAGATCAAGAGTTTGGATTCCTATCTTTTCATTTCATCATGAGCTTATTTGTTGTGGAGTAAAGGCTTTACTTGTCAATTTTGGTTTATGAACTTATCTTTTGTTTAGATAGGTTTCTGTTTTTGTTTATTTGACAGAAATGTATAGGTGTCTAAAGAGCATTGAGTTATTCATTTGATTTTTTTATGGTCAATAAATTGGGTTGATGATAGTTGAGTTGTTCTGAAAAATGGATCTTTCAATTCCAGATTTAACAAATGACATGACTTGGTGGGTATGTATCCTTTTATATCTCTATTAACATCATGGAGTTCTATATCTTTCCCATAAAATTGATTTCACTGATTAATCAGACTAAGTATTCAACATCATACAGAGTGTTAACTTTTACAACAAATCATGCTGTGAAGGCTTCACATCTCAATTACAGAAATCCTACATCAAGATATCATAATAGATTGAGGTTGCGATGAAACATGTGTGTTTGTTGATCCTTGAGAGCACTAAAATATGATCTCTGAGGGGGAGTGTTTTTCTAGTTGAGAAAGTTTATGATTCTTCAAATGTTTGATTCTGGAAGAAGATGATGTTTAAAATCTGGATCCAGTGATCTTGTGGAATTGGCATAAGCTAAGACACTGATGAGTGACACGGATATATTATGATCATAGTACTGTTTAGTAAGAGTTTGTAATTTTATTTAGAGGTCAAGAGTTGTTTTGTTTTGATAGGACTGGGATTTATCATCTTGTACATTTGATTTCATTCCCGCCGTTGATTGAAAAGAACTGGTCGGTTTTTGCTGGGGCTATGGAAATAGAATACGAAATGAGAAAAAGTGGTGAGTGCTTTGTCCAATGCTTTGAATATATGATCTTCTCCTTACCATTTACAACACCACATGAAAAGCTTCCACCAAGATTTTTGGTGGTACATGCTTCATCTATAATATACAAATAAGTCATAGTAATACAATGAGAATCTTTTCATATAAGTCTTTCAAGCTGAATGAATAGAGCTCACCGGAACATAACTGAAGAGGTTGAATAAAATGGGTAGAATGATCAGGATTCAGGGCCAGGAATTTAACAAATAAGGAGGTTCAACTTAATTCCCATCACGGTAGTTGAAGCCAAAAGTGATTCGACTCACATTATTGAGTCGGATACGGATATGAACATCCATCTGGTTGATAGCCAGGGTGACTTTGCTCCTTGCGCGGCAACGACCCTCATGATCTCTAACTGAAACATCTTCTGCATGAGTCATGTACATCGTCCATGTCGGATTGGTGGTCGTAAAAGGTGCTTGGAAGTTATTGTTATTGTCTTTCTTTCCGCAAGCACTCTCTTGTAACAATGAGAGTACTGCTTCACCAGTAGGGTGTGCACTTCCAGAAGTAGTTCGCCATTTAATGTCAAAGGTTGCAGCATAAAGTTTGCCTGATTGTACCTACATAACATCAACCTCGAAAAAAGTCAGTGTGATATCCATGTGCACCAAAAAAAATGAAAGAACTCTTTAACTGACCAGTGTAAGACATATGGTAGCGATGAAAATACATCCGAATAACACTTTGGAAAGAGTTGTTTGAGAATGTGACATCTTTCAATTTCAACGTAAGAAAATGTTCACAGAGTTAGACAATCAGATTTGAATCAGTGCAGAAAACCGATTGATGTAACAAGACTTTTGCGATGATGGGTGGTGAAATGGCGGCCAAGACAAGATTTTTTTCAAGTGGAATTGGTATTTACAAGTTGATCGAGTGAGGAGCAGTATTTTCCGAAGGGCTGCCGGTAAGAGAGGTCTCTTTTAGGTAGGCATATCAAGATGGCCAAAGTCAGTCAAGGGCGGTGCATAAACCCTTTAGGCGTGGAAGGGCCTCCAGAGGTGGCAACTGTAGCAGGGCTGGCGTTCGCCACGCCGTTTTTCCTGCGCCGAAAAACCCTTCAAGCTTAAAACCTTTATATGCGTGCTGCTTTCGCGTGAGGACTATATTTAGCTCGACAAAGCGGCCTTCACTTCCGTGCATAATTTCCAAACTTCTCCAAAGCCAGGCCGTCGGAGCTATCATGAGCAAATAAATCGTAGCTTTGGTGACCCGACCCATCCTCCATTAAATGCGATGCGCACGTGCGATGTCGCATCTTGTGACGCCCTCATCGCACTGGAGTTAAGATGAGCTGGAGACAACTCTCGCGAGTTTGTTTTGTTTATTGGAGTTCAAGATCTTTGCGATATGTATGGCGAATAAGAGTTGTCATACCTTTGGACACCTGGAAAAATCCAAGATGCCAGATAGCAAATATTTCAACCCTGATTTCAATACATCTTTATGGCCCAAAGGTCGGCAAATGATGACGACGACACACGTAGCCATAGTCTCTCAGGGCTCTTTTGACCTAGCAAGCTGGGTACACTAGGCACCCGAGCTTGCGAGGATCAGTGTCTGACTGGATGACTTTGTCTAATTACCACATGATGCCCATGGTACAGTGCACGGGCGTTGTTTTATCTGCCGAGGTGTATCTGCTGTTGAAATTATTTGCAAAATTTTAAATGTTTTCAAGTGCGGGCTCAAAATGTGAGGCTCACAATCAAGTGACGCTTTGAAGATATATACTTTGCATTGCTAGTAATGGTATGTGTACCTGAAATGCGATAATCTTATACCTCCTAGAAGCTGGTCTGCCTTTCCCGAGACAAAACATATGTACCAACTCCTAAAAACTGATCTACCTTTCCTGGGGCAAAGTCAATGGCCTTAAAGCTCCCCAGGCCCCGGGGTTCCTTGACATGTCCAAGATGACTACAGCGGAAATAAGTGATCAGGAGTCTATGATACACGCGGAGACGATGGAGTGAAAGCGTACATCTGGGGTGCCGGGCGGGCCTACCACTTCGTACCAATGTCTGGGGTCACTCTCGGATGCTGAATGGCATTCTCCAACCTGTGAAAATACACAACCCATTTATACGCGTGCGTAGAAAGGACAAAGATTGTCAGATCAGGAATATTTCGATCATATATCAAGTGGAATGACTTACCGAAACCATCTCGAGTCCCCTTTGACGAAGTTGTGGAATGACTTCCGGCATAACCTGAGAAGCCGATATATGGGGATGAACTTTCAGTTCCCTGCGTGGCTGTGGATAGACATGAAGTCACATGTATCATAATGATGCACTGACCTCATTTACAGTTGATTCATGGGATTCATGGTTTAAAATAATTTGTTTAGGTTTGTATTCCTCGTACGTGGTGATTATTTCGCGTGGTGGAGGTGGCTCCTCCAAAGAGTCTCCGGAATCGTGACTCCAGAGGACCATGGCCCGATATCCACGTTGCTTCAAAACTTGGACCTATACGAACAGTGTGTAAATAAGAGAATCATTGGGGTCATAACGAGGGTGCTTCAAACTTACAAGCTCCCTATTGTATTCGCCTGGGGACGTATAGATTCTAGAGTCAATACTGGTGTTATGAAAGATAAATTTCAAAAGGGGAATTGCGTACCATATGGCGGCCGAAAGTACAACGGTTTGACACCCAAAATCTTTATCATCGCCTACAAAGTCTCAGGCTTATGAGCTAATTGCGCTTGTACATTTTGCAATCAAGCATACGTACATCTTCAACTCGCCCAATTTGGTCGTGCATCTGCTCCCGATCTGCGGTCTTCATGTGGACGTGGCCCCAGCCGTGATTGCTGCATGAGCAGAATGGAAAAAATAGTAGAACGACGTGTGAGGATCTGTAGCAGCAGGTGATCAAAAGCAGTCCAGTGAGGCGCACCCTATAAGATGACCAGCTTCGTAGCGCGAGCGCAAGTCTTCCGCATGATCGTATATGCATCCGACGTTATTTCCATTCACAAAAAATGAAGCCTTGGCGCCACTCTGTGCCAAAATTTGGTCGATAGTTTTACTAAACTTGCTAGGACCATCATCGAAAGCTATTATCATAACGGAAAGGCCGTAAGAAACTGAATGGAAGACAGTGAATGAAAATTTTTGGCAACCCACTGAGTGCCATGCTGTTTTGTTTTTTGCAAGCACTAAAGATGGTCAGGTTTCGAGGAGGTTGAACTTGAGGTGAAGTGTTCAATTCCATGGGTATTTGCGGTTGGGCTCGAGGTGAAGTGTTCAATTCCACGGGTATTTGCGGTTGGGCTTGAGGTGAAGTGTTCAATTCCATGGGAAATTGCGGTTGAGCTTGAGGAGAAGCATACGAGAAAGCAAAGAGTGCCACTTGGCAAAACACAAGAAGACTAGCTTTCATCTCGCTTGAATTATTGACTTTGAAGGACTAACGTTGAGCACAACAGGGATTCGCTGTAGGAGTAAATTATTATGATGGCGTCAAGCCGAAGGTTGTGTCAAGATGATACAAAGGCAAAGAAATAAAGATGGAGGACGAAAGACGAAGACCGCAGCTTCGGTTTATATTCGTTTGACTCAACAAAGGACTCAAAGATAAGAACGGAACGAAGAGCGGAAACGGATGTTGCGGCTTGACGATGAGTTAGACTCAACAAACGTAGTCCAGTCTTTATGGTTTTTCGATGGTACCTTGCAATCTTTCCTGTCAAGAAAGCGTTGGCATGCTTAAAGGCGTGACTCTCAATTTTTATCACGCAAGTGCCACGGAGGTCAGCGTAGGCAAGTACGAGATGAAGTCAGCAAATTCAACCCAGCGATGGTTTAACTTGTCCTCCCAGTTGGTCGTAAGGTGACATCATATGCAAAGTTGATCCAGTTTAGCTGAATCCAGAACCTCAACTTGCAAGATTCGCACAAGCTGGGAATCGGTAAGGTGACCTCATTTGTCGACTTTTGTCTTCGAAGGTGCGGTTCATATAGAGAGTGTAAACTTCATTGCCTCTTTCTTTATACTCTTATTGGTGAGCGGCCAGGTTGTGGGCTGTTCTGATTCTTGAGCTCGAAAACAAATTTGGTTTGGCAGGGGGAGTGTAGTACAGAGTAGCCTTTAGCTACTGTAGTGCCTGATAGCCTGACAGTCCCAAAAGCACTTTAACTCACTTTAAGCAATGGAAAAAAAATTCCATCACTGCAAAGTTCTCGTGTAAGCTAATCATCGTCTGGGAGCAAGAGCTGTGCAGTGCACCCCATGTCTCTTCTTCCAGCAGGAGTCAACATCTACTTCCCTTCATCAAAAGGTCCAATTATATTCAACTTCTAAAGACCATTGGTCAAAGCCATCAAACACATCAAACATCACTCAGAATTGCTAGGACGAGCTCGCACGTTTACATATGGATACTTTCGCTCAGGGGTGTTACACAGTCACTGTATGCACTCGCGGGGGAGGTCCTTTGTGACTTTCCGGCGAGGCATTTTTCTACAAGCTGGACTCACAATGACAACATTCATGTTTGACGTTATACACCAGCACCAGATGCATTTCAATACAATATCATGTCCTATATAACCCCCCAAGGAGGCTGTGTGATGCAGAGCGGGTGGTAAAGCAGTCACTTCAATCAATTTTACACGAGGGAATTTTGTAAATTTTGATACTGATGTTTCTAGTTCAATTGAACGTTTTGATCAGACGGTGCCGCATTTGACAATCTTGATCTCTTGGCTCGTCTTTCCAGAGGTAGAGCCAAACTTTTCAATTTGTTGGACAATGTCCATGCCTTGGACGACCTTACCGAAGACGACGTGTTTACCATCGAGCTACAGGGAGTTATGTGGATCAGTGACTCGTACCCACACCAAGGTCAGAGGGATAGACGAGGCTCACCCAGTCAGTTTTAACGGTGGTGACGAAAAATTGGGATCCGTTGGTATTGGGTCCAGCATTGGCCATGGAGAGTAGACCAGGTTGGGTGTGTTTGAGCTTGAAGTTTTCATCAGCGAACCTGTCGAAAGTCAATCAGTCAGGTGTGCTCCGATCGGAGGTACACTCATTTGTACTAACTTTTCACCATAGATGGATTTACCACCAGTACCGTTGTGTCGGGTGAAATCACCTCCCTAACAAAGCCATGCGATACCTTGGAATCAGTAAAAAGGTCGATTTCTATCACAAAGGCATAGGTCATATACCTGAAGCATGAACCCAGGGATGACTCGGTGAAAAATCGAATTCAAGTATCCGTAGTCATTTTGGCCGGTACAAAGCTCGCGAAAGTTTCGGGCGGTCTTTGGGACATCGGAATCGTAGAGCTGATCGACAGATTGATGATCAGCACGCCACACGGCCGAGGGCGAGGGCACAGGCCTCAATTCAAAAGCCTGATAATGTATTGCTATCTTACCTCGAATTCAATACGGCCTAGTGGTTTTCCACCAGCAGTTACCTCCTACAATGATAGATGCATTAAACGTCAGTGAACCCATGTTATCAAAAGTAGCATCTATGCGCAATAAAGTCACCCACAAAGTAAACATTGGACATCTTGGTGAATAAAGTGAGTCAAACGGTCACTGATTCCAAGATTTGGGAAAGCAAGTAGCGGGACAGGAGGAAGAATGTATGCGATCGGAGGTAAAGTCAAACCATTGGCAGTGGAGGCGTAAATCAAGGTGAAGAGCGTTCAAGCAAATAAAGATACGCGGATAAAGAAGAGAAGGAAGTGGAAAGTTGAGAATGTCAGCATGGTCAAAGAAAGGAAGCAAGAGGTATGAAAGTGTGATTGAAGCCGGAGCGGAAGCGCTCACCGACAGAAGTAGAGGAGAGAGATATAATGGATTTGATAAGATTTTTATGAACTTCGATGTTGGTAAAGAAAGTCAAGGGAAAGAAGGAGACGAAAGAGGAGGAGCCTTTAAGTAATGATGGATTGTATTACACTAGTCACACTACATTACACTCGATTTACCACACTAAACACCTTCCATCCTTTTCCATTGGTGTTTTTTTCTCCGTGACTCGGAATTTGGGATATGTAAATTTACAGGTGTACATGTCCATTGTCCACTACATATAGAATGATCCGTTACACGTGACGTGATATCACGATGACGTACCTACCTTGAGCGTACTTGATCATCTCTCGTGCGATCGTCACAGTGGCAATTCACTCTTCCTTTTCAGTCCTTTCGCGAGTCCCCCTGTTTTTGAGAACGTGCTATGCATGTAATCTTGAAATGAGGAACCCTGAAATTTTCTAGCCACAAAAATTAAGGTGAAGAAATTGTAAGAAACATTTATAGAAATCTTGTAGGAGGACATCAGCCTGCTGAATGGAGCCACGTATGTACAAGTTTACTTGAATGGAGAGTATGAGGAGTATGATCAACAGCTTAATGTATCAGACTGATCAGGCTTCAATTGTCCCCTGATATTGGTATATGCATCCATATTCACATTTCAACAAACTGATAAACTTGAAAGGAAAATCATGGATATCGAATTAGCTAAGAAACTTACAACAAAATTATTAACTTCATGTATTAACTCCTGGCCGGAATTTCTTCAACTCTTTATCAAGTCTTTGACACATTCTTTCTACTAGTCTTTCCTGTGATCCTAAAAGCCCGTGCAACTTTAACATTCTAGGAATCAAATAATTCATAAACCTTTCATAACCAATCTTAAACGCTTGATCTTTATCAAGTAACAATGCTTGAAGCATTCCATTACTATATTCTTTAAGTGTGTCTTTCATTTTATACTTTCTATAGTCCCCTTCCCACAAAGTTGTCATGTCATTGAACCTCTTAATTTTCAAATCATAATGTCTTTTTGGAAGAAAGATAGGCTTTGTATATATCTTTGGAAGGGTTCTTCCCCATTCAGGTATCTCAATACCACGTTGGATCGTATTCCAAGAGATTTCTGTGATTCCAATTGCCACTTTGAGTGAAAGATAACCTGTGGGATTTGAAAAGTTGAAGAAAATCTGAACAGATCTTGATGAGATTATGGCATCACTACTGACTTTTGAACCCGTACTCCTTGGCCATCTTTTTCATATCTTCTGAGGGTGCTTCACCCATGTGCGGTATATAAAAAAGATATTTTCAATCAAAAATTGAGATTGAGATCCAAATTTCCTTTTGATGATCATGTTTGCATAAGCTTACCATTGAAATGAAGAAAGCAATTCCGAGTTTCTGCTTTCTTGTCTGTCCATCACAAGCAATTAAGTTCTTGTTATATCCAAGAAATCTTTTATCAGATCTGATTTGTCAACAAGGAGCTATCTCACTCTGAAATATTGGCACGGACAGTGTTTGTACCCTCAATTCGGACGACTTTTCAATTTTGGGACTCCCGCTTGCAATCAAAAAGCCCATCTTGGACTTATAAAGATGTGGATGGTCTTGTTCAATAAAAACAACTTACTTGTCTCTTTATCAACGGTGTCTTCATGATTCCTGTCAAGAAATAGGACTGGACCTGTTTCGATTTCCTTGACCGGATTTTTCGTTTCAAGTAGTTCAGATGGGAATACACTTGAGGTTTCTTGTGAACAGATACAAATTGAAGACTTGACTCGTCGAGGGCAATTCATACCACTTTTGATGGCAGTTTTTTGTCCAGAGTTCTAAAGGAAATGTTTGCTTTAGTAAACTTTAATTGTACAGAATACGCGAGATTTCATCAAAGTTCTTACTTGCGTCTTAAGACATGATGATAAATCAGGCGATGCTCCTGGAGTATCACGCCACGCTTTTCTGCATATTTGGTCCAAAATTGAGCTTGTGGAAAGTGAGGCGGTGATTTGACGTAGTATCTTTTCGTTTCCTGAAAAATGGGCACAGATACCCTTGAGAGGAATAGGATTTATAGAAGGTTTGTTTCCCCAGAACCAAGAGACAAGTTCGGTTCTGTATAAAATAAGGATGGTGTTGTCATATCCTGTTCGTTTGATACCAAATTAGATTCTAGTCCACCCGTGCCACGCGAGTTTGTTGGTATGATCATTGATGATTTCGAGGTTTCAACCTTCTTTGAGAACTCCATTGGATAAGCTAGAAGCTCTTGCTCTTGCACGGAGACCAACATCATCCACCATAGCTGGAATAACCTCAGCCGGACTCGATGTATCGTCTAGATCAAATTTGCAAGGGAGGTGAAGAGGGGTTGAAATTGAAAACATATGATCAATTCCAAGAGCTTCAAAAGTTCCTGGAGATCTTCATCCTAGTACTAGGCAGTCGAAGTTTGACTCGAACAACGTACCTGGAGACTTTAACGCAGCTGAAACTGAAGTGACAGTAGGCAGCTGCAAGAATTTGCGTAATCAACTTCGGGCACAATGATCCAAGAAACTACAAGTAAAACCTTTTATGAATTTTTTTTCTGATCCAACAAGTCGATGTTCAAGAAAATCCCGGTACAACACTCTCTGGAACTCAAAGCAGATAGAGAAGTATCACCACCACCACCACTGACACCATGACCCTTGCGATTCATGATCATGTACGTTTCTCCTATCTTGCATATCTTGTCATGCATAGCAGTTGTTATCTAACTTTCACAATAACCTTTCAAGAAATTGTCGCATCACAAATGCATCTACACAGCTAATGAGTAAAACAACCTGAATCAACTTTACATCAAACACTGTACATACCGGATTTTCGATCAATACCAATTCAAATTGATCAAAGTGTTCGTTTTTATTGACTCTTTTACTCAAGGCTTTTGAATTGAATCAGAAATTCTAACCAGTTTTATGGATATATCTTCACATAAGAACAAGGATCATCAAGGAAATTGTATTGATTTATGTCATATATGCTTGGTCATCGGAAATAAGGTGAAAATCATATGACATCAGCTGATGGTGGTCTTTTTTGGTATTGACGCAGCTCATGGATCTGAAGGCCGAAATTATTGACCAATTTCTTGAACACAGGCAGGATGAATGTGTACCCCAAAAAAATGTTGATTGTCACTATAGGGGTCAGGTGATCGACTCGGCGCGGTTGTCCCTCCGGAAGGTAATATTTCACTTCATGTTTGCTTCTCTTCTTGTATAATCACGCTAAAGAGCAGAAGTAGGGATAAGCTAATTGGATTTCATACAACCAACAACGTCAAAGGATTTCATGATGGTTCTTTGGCGCAAGAAGGGGTAGAAAGGGGAGAAATGATTGATTTACTGTACCCAATATTGATGCTGAGGAGGTTTCCACCAAATGTTTTTTGGATATCTCTATACCTTCAAACCTATTGAAGCTGGCTTCAGTCTCAGACAAGAACATAAGTCGCCATATGCTGGTATGGATATGCAGTCTTTCACCGCGTTGGGACGTGGAGAAAGTTTTCTTGTCTAAATACGCGCTAATGAAACTCAGCCTGGGATTGCCAGTACATATTGAGTTTGTTTGTCAAGTGTCTTATTTGATCAGATAGACAAACACTTTCCTCTTTTTGAAAAAGAAGTTTTGCTCTTGGCGCGCGGCCACGGCGGACCTGCCGGAAAATAGGTGGTTCCAGGATGTGGGGCGGTGCGCATCCCACACCGCCTCCTGTCACTGTGGCAGCAAGATACAGTTTCGATATAAGGATATCAGGATGTAATATGATTATAGCGATAGATAGTAGGGTTTGGAACATTCTTTTGATTCTTTTTGGATTGTGTATTTCAAGTGGTGTACCCCACCCAAACTGTTCAACGAAGTGAGTGGTAAAATTGACGACGTGGCAGGTTTGAATTGTGTAAGCTGAGTGTCACAGCTCTTTCCTATAAAACCATTCGACATTTCAACCATTTTGAAAAACTATTCCACGAAACCTCATCCTCATCCTCACCCTGACCCTCACCTCAACTTCTTTTTTCATCTAGCTTTCGTTTATCCCTCAATTTGGTTCATTCATTCCCTAGAGGCAAGACTCTCGATACTCTCCAACAGTTTATATCTCCAAAACCTATCCATCTCATGCGATCAACCTGTGTGGCGGCTTCATTGGCCGCCCTGTGTTGCTCGATCGCTCGAGCAGAAGAAGTTTCATCTACTGTGCTAGAGAAACCTAAATTCGCGGTATGCTTACTTACTCATTTGAGTGATCTATAGTTACTCATATCAACTCTCATCATTTGTAGCCTACTTCGATCAAGGCCCACTTTATTGAGCAGTTTACCAGTGATTGGTCATCTCGATGGAGTCCTTCAGAGGCTACAAAGGAGACAAGCACAGGAGGCGAAACTTTCAGTTATGGTACGCATCGCTTTATTTCTATCTGCTATCTCTCCTCATTTAGCTTTGTTTTAATTGGAATATTTCATTTGGTCTGAAACAGTGGGTAAATGGGAGGTGGAGGAAGCCACAGTCTATCCGGCTATCGAAGGCGACGAAGGACTTGTAGTGAAGAGCCCAGCAGCTCATCACGCCATCTCTGTTCCATTCACAAAATCATTGGATAATACCGACAAAACACTTGTAGTACAATATGAGGTTCGTTTATGTTTCACTCATCTACCATACGTTATGTCCTTGCTCAACAGGGCCTTGCATTGAATCGCTACACGACCATAGGTCAAACTTCAAAAAGGTCTTGAATGTGGAGGAGCCTACATTAAGTTGTTAAAAGAATCTCCCACTGGTATCCAAGCTCAAGGTCCGTTTTTCATTTTTCAAGCCTTTTGGCAATCACGATATATGCATGGCTGCGAAACTAAAACAATGTTGATAATTTTGGCCGACAGAATTCTCTGACAAGACCGAATATACGATCATGTTTGGACCCGATCGATGTGGATCAACCAACAAGGTTCATTTCATCTTCCGTCACAAGAACCCAAAGACTGGCGAGTATGAAGAGAAGCATTTGAAATCGCCCCCGATGATCAAGAACGTCAAGACCACTGCACTCTACACCCTTATTGTCAGACCTGATCAAACATTCAGCATCAAGATCAATGACGAGGAAGCTACCAAGGGAAGTCTTCTGGAAGACTTTACACCTGCTGTCAACCCTTCTAAGGAAATTGGTAAAGTTGCTTTTATCAAGGTCATCGATAATTATTTTCGTGGAATCTGACATGCCTATGATCTGTACTTAGATGATGCCAAAGATACGAAGCCCGCAGATTGGGTCGATGATGCCAAGATCGTTGACCCTGAAGCCAAGAAGCCAGAAGATTGGGACGAGGACGCACCACGCGAGATTCCTGACGATGAAGCTGAAAAACCATTTGGCTGGCTCGATGATGAACCTCTGACCGTTCCTGATCCCGATGCCCAAAAGCCTGAGGAATGGGACGATGAAGAGGATGGAGATTGGGTACCACCAAGCGTTCCTAACCCGAAATGTGAAGATGTACCTGGATGCGGTCAATGGGTCCGACCAATGAAGTCCAACCCTGCCTACAAAGGAAAATGTAAGGTCAATGATCTATCGTATCGCAAGCGGATTCTGACGTGTGATTCGAATTCAGGGACTGCACCTCTTATTGACAACCCAGCCTACAAGGGTGTCTGGGCTCCTCGAAAGATTCCTAACCCAGACTACTTTGAGGATAACACTCCATCGAAGTTCGAACCGATCGCTGGAATTGGAATCGAGTTGTGGACCATGCAAGAGAACATTCTATTTGATAACGTTCGTGAAAGTCGTACAGTGTTTGCGTTGATTCATTTTTCCTGATGTAGTCTTGTCCGTTTCTTAGATCTACATTGGTCACTCCGAAGAAGATGCCACCGCATTCGCCAAGGAAACATTCCACGTCAAATCAGCTATCGAGAAGAAACTTGAGGATGCTGAGAAGCCTGCAGATGATAAGGCTGACATCAACACTGATGATATCCCGGCCCTCATGGAGGACCCTATCCAATTTGCCAAAGGTCACACCAAGGCTTTCATCAGTCTTGCACTTATTGATCCCTCCCGAGCGATCAAAGAGATGCCAATTGCCGCTTTGGCTATTGGTGGGGCCCTTGCTAGTATTCTCGGAACTCTATTACTTCGTAAGCATCTTCTTTTGCACCTTCAATTCGAGGCTCTATATATCTGACTTTTTGGCAATTTTCAGTATTGACTGGTTCATCAACACAACAAGTCAAGAAAGTCAAGAAGACTTCAAGTAAGAAGACTGATGCAGCTAGCGCAGATGATAAGGGTGCAGCAGAAAAGGTAGCTGATGCTCCAATTGCAGGTGAAAAGAAAACAGATGGTGAAGTAAAGAAACGAAAGTAGTGAAAGCAAAGAAGCCCGTGTAATCCAATACCAAAAATGCTCTCTCTTTGTGCGTGTTTGTGCGTGTTGAAGGTTAAGAATCTAGAGATAGAAAAGTGAATTAGAAAGATTTCAAGGAGGGTGGACAAATGATGATGTTTTTCTCTCTATCAGAGTCGAGTTGGAGAAAGTAAATCATGGGTTAAAGAACAGTTGACGATGGGCTTATATTGTATATCTTCTCACTCAAAACATTTTTTCTTTCTTTTTTTTGCCTTGTTTGATGAGATTATATCAATGAATTTTTTTGACTGCAAATAACACGATCACAAATGAGAGAACCTGGATTGCATGCAAGATCTGGGGCCTGGGTATGCACATCTTCCTTACCACGTAATGCGTCTTTCAGTTACAGTTCACATGACCTCTAATCACTGGGCAGCCTCTGGCCAACCCTAGCCTATGCAACATAGCTATCCTTTGACCCTTCTTCCTCAATCACCTTTGCACTCATTTTGTCTGCATGTCCTTTTTGCCACCCATGCAGAGTTGTAGTGCTATCACCAGTACCAAAGGACTACTTGTAGACATGTTAGAATTTTTCCTTGCCCTTTCGTCCATTGGCTTTATTGGAGGGGCACGTATTTACAACCTAATCCTAGTGCCCCCTAACCTCAGAAGTCGCTTGAAACAATCCATTGAAAAAATCACAATGGTGACAAAAATTTATCCACCAGAATGTTGGCCTTGTTACAAGTCTCATCACAAGTCCTGGAGGGAGTGGTGGTGGTGTGTAGCCAGTGATTCAGGGAATGTGTTGAGTTGGGGTAATTATGTATATCTTGGCTCTTGAAATGCTAGGAAAGATCAAATCTTTGATACAAAACTAGATTGCTTGCTTCCACATAATCCATTTACCAATTCTATTCTTATTCCCAACACAAGGTACAAGTTCAAGTGTCAATTACACTACCCAACTCGTTGCGCAGGCCGTGCTTTTGCGCCTCGCACAGGGCTATTAGAATTTTTAGAGCGGAGATTCGTTGTGAGTTCCCTCATCGAAGTGAAGTATTGTCATCCTGATATGCGCGGTTTCAAAGCGCATGCATGCAACAATTCATCGTGACTGGGAAATCGTGTGCGGCTAGCCTCTGCGTACATTCAAGAACGCGACTAAAATACAATACTAAGAATATTCAATAAGAGAAACGAATGTGGCGAGCAGGAACATGTAGGTCGTCGAAGGAAACGAGAGACAACTGTGGTCACTTGAAGTACTGCTAGCAGTCTGTCCGGGGCTTCCGTGAGAGCTTGGCGCTGAGGTTGAATTGGTAGCTGAAGTAGTAGCTACCTCAGGAGAAAGTGAAACATTGGTGAAAGATACATTCGAGGCTGTTTGAAGTCATTGCGGTCAGTCTCAAATGTTAGATTATCAGATCAGCCGTGTCAGAAGTGCAAGTGACCCACAGGAGGATGAAGAAGTGCCTTTGCCAGTCTGTGTGATTCCTTCGTACGCGGAGAATTTCTGGCCGTCGTATGCTGACTTGAAAACTGGAAAACAGGGAAGCGGATGAATTGATAGTCTACAATCTATCTTTCGAATATTTCAAAGGTCAGGTCACTGACAGCTACCAGCCACCAATTCTCCATTCAAGTTAGACTTTGTCAAAAACTCTTGAAGATTGAAACTCGTGGAGGTTACATCAATAGTCGATATTGCTCCGGTTTCTTGGTATACCAGGATGACGTATTCGTGTGTCCCACTACCTAGAGATGGGCTTGGACTTTGATAAGATAACAAAGGCTTTGTATCAAGAGGGAAAGCACATACAAATCAATTTGTGTACCAAGAGCCGAACTGTGTTTTGATAGAGTGAAATCATTGAAGCTTACTGATCTTGCCGAACTCAACAGACCCGTTTTTGAGTCTTCTTGAAGTTCCTCTTGTAACCAAAAAAGCCTTGTGGAGCTGTTCTGAGTCTGAAAATCGAGACCCAAGACAAGAAATGTGTTCAAACCTGAAGAGGTTTGATTTAAGAGTTCAAGTCGTAAACTTGGTGGTCTGTTGACACGAGAAGGTGAAAGTTGTTGTGCTCCTCCTACGACGACGTTTCCATATTGCACGTAAAGGGATCCTAGTGGTTTAAAGTCGGGCAGAACCTGAACAAACAAAATCAAATTTTTACTTACATGCTTCCTTCTTTCTTCAAAGTCAATCCAGTCAATCCAATTTCGGGAAATTCAAGACGAACCTGGGGGAAAACTGAACTGCCTCCAAATGCTTTCTTCATACTACATGCATCATTCGCCACATCATTGTTATCCCATTCACATACATCAATCACTTTCCCGAGTTGAGTGCATCTGACCAGATGAAACGTCAACTTCAAAAAGTAAAGAATAAAGATGACCATCGTTTGTCAAATATTCGGATTTGCCACGATATAATTCGAGCGTGATGGAATCTGTTTCGAATGTGGAAGAATAAGGATTTGGACCGAAACCTCCTTCAATGAGGAAGCAGAGTTTGATTCAAGGAGAGATTTGTTTGATGAATTAAGGGAGTAAAGCAAGAAAAATGTGGAAGGGTGATGGTACCAGATTCTAAGGGATATTGGACTCCCGCCCAAGCTTTAAAAACACCTCAATACTTGTCGTATTCCCGCGTGGACGCAAAGGCTCTGAGGCTCAAGCTTTTATGGGATTCCGATTTTAATCTTCTCTTTTGGAAGAAAAGAAATCCTCAACAATCTTGATTTCAAAAACTTTGAGAAATGATTTCATCCAGCCTCAAGTCCTGAAATCCCGAAACATTCAACGTTTCGAATGAATAGAAGACTGCCAGAGAGAATAGAAGATTGCCAGAGAGAGCGAAATGCCTTTGATCGATCTAGCCACAGCCATGCACAATTCTATCAAAATCATCTTATTGATATTTGATAATAATTTCATGTCTCAATTGCTCAACCATCTCGCCTATCTCTCAAATTCAATGCGTAGAACCAATACTCATGATGAGGATGAATTACACGCAAATTTAACAACAACAAAAAGCTGTAAATACCAAACAAAAATCCCAACTCCCAAGAAAAACGAAGAATTCAATATTACTTGAAAAAAGGGATATATGAAGAGATGAAACAACCACCATGCTAAAAGGATATCACTGTAAAGATTAGTCAATCAATAAATTGTGGACCACCACGTTATAATCAAAGATCTAATTTGAAAACTGCGCCCATGAAAATCACAAAGAGGCACAAATCAGATCTTAAGTTTGAATGAAAAAATCAAGAGAGATATAAAAAAACCACTCACAGCTTCCAGCAATCGGACCTTTCAAATTATGTAATCCCACAAACTTTCCAAGATCAAAGAAAACTTTATCATGATTCGAAGCATTAACAGACCCAAACAAAGTACGATATTCTTTCGAGATATTCAATGCGTTATTAGGAAGTTCATAGACTAAAAAAACGTATTCACGTTCTGCAGGTTTAGAGTGTGGAGGAATATAACCACAAAGAATTTGATTTGGAGTGAGGTTCATTTGATGAGAGTTTGAATCGAATGAAATTCCCCAGAGAGCCCAACTAAGGTTCACGATTGAGGTGCCTTTTGAACTATCAACCATGAGGACTACATATTTCTTTCCAATCACGTTGTAATTGTTTGTAGCTATCTTTAATGATAAAGTTGGATGAACGTTAGTTCTGGAAGGTGTTAATTGTTGAGCTCCTCCTACTACGATATTTCTATATTGAACGTAAAGTGCACCTAAAGGATGGAAATTAGGGATAATCTACCATACGATAATAGCAGATTAGTTTCTTCAAACTCATTGTACTTAGTTCTCAATTGGACAATCTGAGATCTATATACGTACATGGGGGGCAACTAAGCTACCTGCAAAGGCCTTTTGCATTTGACACCCATCAGAAGCTGCATCACCATTGAGGTTGCAAAGATCAGTGATCGAACCGAGAGACCTGGGGCGGACACGTAAAGCTTCCTTGATTGGTGAACTTTGTACTGCTTTTAGAAAATAATATACAATTGTTTCAGTGAAGCTCAGAAGCTGCATGATGTCTGGTTTAAAAGATAAAAAATTCAGATCGAAACTTACATTTGGTTGCAGTAGAGACTGATCTAGGGTGCATCTGAACATCGTAAGTAGACTTGAAGACTGAAGAAAGAAAACAAGTTCAAGAAGTTATAGTAATATCAGTATTGAAATTACATTTCTTTTGTTTGATAAGAATAGTACTTACAGCTTCCAGCTATCAAATGACCATTCAACCCGAATCTTGTTACGAAATTCTTCAAATTGAAAGGTGATGAATTCCAATTACGAAATTGATCAACTTTGGTTTGTTGATAAACAAGAATGACATATTCATGTGTTCCAGTTCCTTTAGGTGGATTTGGACTTTGGTAAGGTAATAAAGCCTGATACCAAAGGGAAGTAGGTTAAGTGAGTCAATCTATCAGTTTCATGATAAGTCAATGAAAAAAACTAGATACTGACCCGCCTTGAAGATGCCAGAAGATGAGTCTTTGCATTTAAAGCGAGTCCATCTTGAAGCCAAATAAGTTTTGTATAACGGTTATTGGGTTGGAAATCGATACAAAAAGCCACGTATTTAGTTGAAGAGAGTTTTGCGTCTAAGAGAGCAAGTGATAAGATAGGTGATGTTTTGACTCTAGTGGGTGAAAGTTGTTGAGCGCCACCAACGACGACGTGACCATATTGAGCATAAAGTGCTCCTCGTGGTTTAAAGTCAGGCATTACCTATGATCAAAAGAGCAAGCAAGATAAGTCATCATGGAGAAGAAGGATACTTATTATTTGCGTTTTGCAAACAGGTGTTTGCAAAGTGAAAAACAAACCTGGGGGTAAACTGAGCTACCAGCGAACGCCTTCTGCATCCCACATGCATCATCAGCTACACCATTACCACGAATATCGCAAACATTTGCTGATGCCTTAATAGTAGTTAAGCACGCCAGGTACCCAATGACCATCAGGGATTGAACTGAAGTAAGCATATTCGGACGCGGCTTGAATCTATCAAGGAATTCAAATGTAAGATGTAACTGAAGGGCATTTGTTAGCAATTAGCAAAAAGGAAACCATCAATAGAAAAGAACCCACTTAGAAATAAAAATGACAGTAAAATGATATATGATATAGTAATTTGAATTGAATGCTTTTCAAAAACCAAAGATCGTACGAACACTTAAATACTGCAGAAAGCCAATACCAACGTTCTCGTCTTTCAAGTAAAGATGAAGCTCAAGAAATTTGTTACCAATTCATCACTTTTAATTCTCCCCATCGGTTTATTTCTTTCCAATCAAAACAATTAAAATCGGTTCAACTCAACCCAAGATTCTAAATTTAGGCTGTTTTGATGATAATTCATCTCTAGTTATATCCTTTTCTTCACTTACTTATTTTGCGTGCTCTGATTTTTTTTCACGCCTTGACTTTCATTCTGCTCAAACTCTCCCGCAAGTTGGAATTTTTATGGGAGCATCATCAATCAAAAGCGCAGGTGCAAACTAGATCACGATGACGAGTCAGCTTTCTTCGCTGGTTTTCCTATGATATTCATCAATCTCTATTAGAGGTCAAGTTCGAGTCTTTTGCGCAAGGGCAGCGCGGTCTTGAGCAGCTATCTGACCTCACGCACCGATATCAATCCTGCTGATATCGAGCCTGCGGGATACCGGTGGTCAACGTGATTAAGGATTAGAAGAAGTGTCCAAATTGCTACCAAGAGAGATCGAGCCTACCTTGATCATGAGCACAGCGCGCCTTCGTACTGACCCTCAAGTTCCGTGAAGTGTGCTGATCTTGATCAGAAACCAAAGACGAACATCCATGTGATTTACGCACTTCCTTCACATCAGCTTTTTGATCTGAAACATTACCTAAGCAAAACAATCTATATAGTGAAATAAATTGCCTTCAATAAATTATTGTATATGTATCTAGATCGAAATAAGAACAAATTATTAAGATCCTTGTCTGATAGATATGTTAACAAACATGATGTTTTAAATTATTTGTTCTACGGTGTACCAAACACATAAAGAAAAAGATGATGATGATAATGAACACAAAAGAATTGGTGGAGACAACCGATCATTATATGTGAATCACTTCCTCATCTTCAGAAAATCAAAGAAATGTAAATTAAAAAAAAGTCCACTTTAAAAACCTAATAAAAACCCCTCATCAATCCACTTTCCCTCAAACCAAAATTCCTCCAACAACTCAATAAATGAATTTCTTTTTGAAGAAATTCTAAATAATTGTAATCTTTTTTCTCCCTTTTTGTAACTTCTTGTTTCTTGAGAAAGATAGAACAAAGGTAAACAGTTTCAAAGTAAAGAACGTTTAATTAATTTGTAACATATCCTAAACGATCAAAAGTAATTCAGAAACAAAGGAATCAATGGTCCATTTACAACCCAATTCAAGGAGATCAAAGAAAGAATACCTTTAGGATTTTGACTTTGCCAATTCCAAAGATCACGACACATGGTATCCAAATCACGCTAAACGCCCCCCCAAAAACATATCAAAAGGTCAGATTTCCAAAACCTAACCAAGAGTCATACCAAAGAAAGATTCAGGGAAAAATACTAACAGAAGCATCGAATCCAAGTTCTTTTTTAGCAAGTGAAGGATCAGCCGTAAGATCAGGTACATCACCAAGTCTTCTACCAATGATCTCATACTTATAATCAAATCCAGTAGCTTTTCTCATAGCTTCAATCACTTGAACAAAATAAAATAGAAACAGATTAAACTGTAATTCCTAAAAAACAAGATAGATTCATGAAGGAATGAAATTTACTAACTTTCAAAAACACTTTGACCACGACCTTTACCCAAGTTGTAAGCTTTATATTTCCCACCACTTGTTCCGAAACCTGATTTGAAACCTGGACAAGGTGTTTCCCAAGTAGTTTCTTTTGATAATCCATCTAAGGCATTAATGTGACCACCAGCAAGATCCATGACTAGAACGCAAACAATCAATTCAATCAGATCCAAGGATTTCAAAAAACTTTATAAATGATATAGAAACGAGATAAAAAAGGGAATCATACCATGAATATAATCACGTATACAAGCTCCATCTCTAGTAGGATAATCATTTCCATTGATTTTCAAATCATGAGGAATCTTACCAACGGCCATTTGAGCCAACAAAGGTAACAGATTCCCCGGTTTCCCAACCGGATCTTCACCAATCATACCAGAAGGATGTGCTCCAGCAGGATTAAAGTAACGTAAGGAGATCGATTTCCATTTGGTAGGTTGTGAATCACATAAATCTTTGATGATCAATTCGCTCATCATCTTTGTTCGTCCGTAAACTGATTCAGGTGTTAAGGGAGATGATTCGGGAATCGGGATCTCTGTTGGGGCTCCGTATACTGTGGCTGATGATGAGTAAACTAAATTATAACATCCGTTTCGGTTCATGACCTGAAATCGATCGGGAAAACAAAAAGATGATTCAGTGATATAGAAAAAAGATCAAAACGAAACGGTTTGGAGAAACAATCAACTTACATCTAATAAATTAATAGTAGCCGTTATATTATTTTCATAATATTGAATAGGTTTCTCACCACTTTCACCAACAGCTTTATGAGCCGCAATATGAATGACACCCCAAATCTCTTCAGATTTAAATATGTTTTCAATATCTGATTTATTGGTGATATCTCCTTTATAAACTTTTACATTCGTATCTAATTTATCTTGATCTGATGAATTAGTTGGTAATTCATTTAAAGCGATTTTAGAAACTCTTTTAATGGCTTCTGGAAATGAATTGTGAAAGCTTTTTTGTTGTTGTTTTTGTTTTGGTAATGAAAGAAAGGAATTGAATTAGACGTTCGAATTAGAAATCGTACAATTTGGAAAATCAATCAGTTTGATTAGGAAGTTTCTTATGTTCTAGAAAGATTTCTTAGTATGATAAGTTAAACTTACTTATCGATAGTGACAACTTTATATTTTCTAGTTAATAAACAACATAAGACCACATGTGATCCAATATAACCAGCTCCACCAGTCTGAAACGTTTTGATCGGGAAAAAGGACAGAACATCAGTTTTACCAATTCGATCGAGACTAAAGAAAAGCTTCTTAAAACTGATATCGATCATCCTGAAGTGATTTGACTTACAACTGTCAAGTTTTGTCATTCAACATGTCACAAGAAATAGATCAGTCAGTTCATGATAGTGATCGATAGATTGTATTGAGTTTCTCTCAAGTTTGATTAGATAAACTCACCAAGGATAGTTTTCTTTTCTGGCATGATGATGCTGATGATGATGACGAAGAAGGTAGTGGTGATATGACTGTGAATGTGAATATGAAAATGTGAAAATGTGAAAGATGAAGGAAAGTGATCTGAGTTGAGAGTCGATCAAGAAAACTTTTACTATGTCCTGTTCCTTTTGTTAAAATCAGTTATGAGTTTTGATAATTTCTTCTGCAGTTATCCTCAACTGTAAAGTGATAGTAAACTCACCTTCCTTAAATCTTACCCTATCTCTCTCGACTCCACCTCCACCCATTTTTTCATCTTTTCTTCAACTTTCTCCCTCGCACACGTCATCATAAACTGACCCCGCATTCTCCATCACTTCGGGTCACATCACTCAACGGTGACATCACCAGACATCACCTCTCTCACGTTTCAAACCTGGCTCAGCCGCTCAGCGTTGCTTCCAGTCAAGCTCATGTGACCTATGATGACAATCAAAATGATGATTCCACTGCAAAAACAAACCAAACTCCAATTGATACCCTCAGTCCTTCACATGTGCGTGATCAATTGCCATTGGTAAGGATCTTACATACACACATAGGTAACCGTAGGCCATCAGTAATTGGCTTGAAGACCAGTTCAAGGTTGCGGCCAAACTGAAGTCCCTTGATCACTCCTTACAAGGCCTTGAGTAAGGAATTTATCACATAAACAAGAATTCTTGCCAAAAAAAATAGCTGTATCCAGCTCAAAATCACTATATTTCATTCCTTGTTTTGTGGCTCAATGAACAACTGTTGATGAAAAAGAAAAAGTGAATGCAAAGGTCCTATTACATGTGCAAGCCCTTCACACTCTCCTGTACCTCTTTAAGGACTTTCACTTTTAGGTGATCTATGATTAGAGATTTTCGTTAGTGTTTGAGACATGTAGGCTTTGAGTGGGTTCAATGCTCAGGAAACAGTGGAAAAGTCTAATCATAGATCAACCAGAATTAAGATTTTCTGGAAAGCCTTGGAGGTGCTTGGATTTGAAGCATATCTAATGAAGAATTGCTATTGTCCATTTGCTTTGCATTGAGCTGGGTTTAATCAGTAAAAAATGGAGGAATGTATGGATATTTCAAGCAATACAGATTACTTCCCTTGACAAATTTCCTGTTTATGTGACAAGGACCTCACTCAAGGCCTTGAAAGGAGTGAAGGACTTGAAGTATGTGTAACCTTTTTTGTGTATCAACCACATTGTAGTTGGAAAGAGCCTGTGGATGGTAGTGATGCAAAACATCAGATTTTGACCAAAATATAGGACCAACCAGGTTGGTGACCTAAAAGTTTGGAATTGAGTTATTGTTTTGTTTGGCAAATACATTAATAAAATAAAAAGCTTGGGATTTTGATTTTATGACCAAATCTCAAAACATCTGTGAAATGAAAGCTTGGAAAAGGGTAGCAAGAGATCTCATATCATCCCTGTCATCATCTCTTTCTCTTTCTGTGAATTGCACTTCAATTCAATCATATGTGACTGTACTTGAGATAGGGAACCTGTGAGAATCAGGGTTGTCACCTTAAAAGGGAATATGCATACTGATTGAACAAAATGAAAAAACCCAATAGACAGAATATTGTAAAAGAATATGTGTAAGTGAGATAGGAGAACAGGGATATTGACATGGAGAACAATTCAACCTTCTAGATAGATAGCTACATCATATGATGTCAGGTCATCTTAACACAGGTAAAATGAGCTAAGTAAAGAAAATCTATGTGTATAATGACATCTTGATTATACACTGTGCTTTATTAATACCAATTGCTGCAAGGCTCTTGATTGTATGTACTTCATTATGATCAGATCTTTTATACAAAAGAGATGTCAAAGGTAGTTTTATATGATCTTGGTAAGTAACTTGTGTACATACATGTGATTTATTGATGACATCCTTCCAGATTGCTGACATTCCTTTATATACATCCCCAGCTTACACTGATTCAGAACCTCTAAACCTTCTGATCAGTCATATAATCCTGGACTGAAGTCTTTAATAACTCATTAAACATCAGGGACTGACCATGAGGCTCTCCTCATGATGCCTACCTTGTTGGCCAGATTGATTGTCAATCATATTTTCCAGATGTGAATCAGTTCAGGTCAATCCAATACATTCCTTGTTTATAATAAGGCTATTCAAAGTTAAACAAAAGTCAACACAACCAGTGCATATGTGCATGAGTTCAAAAGATGAAAAATACCATTCAAGTTTTTGAATGAAAGTCATTCTTTAATCTCGACTTGGGTACCTTCACGTCTGAAGTTCAGTATTCCCCAAAAGCCTGGATTAAAGTGATTGAAAAACATGTGTTTGAAAATTTGTATACTTCAAGTTTGACCGTATCATCAAAGTGTGTGAGACTTAGTGTGAGACTTTGATCAGACCAAATTCAGACTATGATCTCATATGGTAGAATGTAAAAAAATTTACAGGCAGATAAATTTAAGCTGCAGAAGTTTCATCAGTGGAAAGGTAATGTAACTTTAAGTCACATGACAATTGATAATCCCCAGTTCTTACAAACTTCTCAATATATATAATCCTTTTCAATTAAATTTGAAAGGATTTACATGTTCTCTTGACCAACAATATGTTTGCATGTGGTCAGAAGTTTTTTGCATGGTGCTGACGCTAACCTGTAACGGTCATACTCGTAAAACACGTAAACGATGTATCAGCCCGGCTAGCTCAGTTGGTAGAGCATTCGACTCTTACAAGGGTTCTTCATTGCATCGAATTGTCGTGGGTTCGAGCCCCACGTTGGGCGCTTCCTTTTGCACATGCTCAAACCCACGACAACTCGTTTTTGGCCCAGGCATAATTGATTTTTGCCACAAATAAATAAATACAATTTTGGTCATTGAGATCATTTGAATAAAGCTGATCCTGTTAGATTTTTTTGCTTGCAAATTCTTATTTCTTGCAGAATATGTAGGAATCAAGGGTGGTGAGCTATGTGCAATTGTGAATGTTATAGTGTATATATCAAAGAGACATGATTTTGAACAACCTTTTTCCAGAGAGAAATTTCTGGACTGTTCTTGTACTGATAATTGCAACCTGAGACTTCAGCTTGGATCGAATTTTTCAGAAAGACCCCTGAATATAGTGAGTTCAACTTGAGGGGTTTGATTACCATGGCCTCAGAGTGAGGGTAAGAAGATGGAGAGGTAGCAAAAATACAACAAAACAAGCCACATTGTGATCAATCCTGTTTGCAGGCCAAATTTTATTGTGTTTCTGTGAAAAAGGTGGTATACATTACAATCCTATGTCACATCATCCTGATCACCCATCAAGTACCACTTCCCTCACTATGTAGTACCACACAGAAGACCTGTGACATGAGCCATATATAAGGTTGTTTGTATTATGCTTGTACTAAATGTTGCACTCAGTTAGAGGTTAACTCATGGATGGCCTGTGCATCCTCTACAATTCAAATACAAATACAAGAGGACCTTTCACATACCTTGCATACCATCCCCACCAAGGCTCCGCACTCAAATCAAGGCACAAAAAGGGAGTGTACAGGGAATATTGTTGACTCGTATTTCAATTCCATGTGTATGAAAATCTAAACAAAAAGTTTCATATGCTCTAAGAGCTGACTAAGAAACTTCAGATGGTTATAAAAGGAAGATAAAAGACTCCAATCTTTAATTCTACATGGATTTAAAAAGGAAACAAAACAACAAGGGTACACAAACATTAAAAACCCATATGAAAAACCTGTTCCAACCCATTATTCAAATGGGTTTGGATAGGTTTTTCATATGGGTTTTTGATGTTTGTGTACCCTTAATTTGACTATTCAATTATATATGGGAATCCAATAAGTTAATTTGCCTTTTTTATTTTGGGATCCAGCTCTTGAGACAAACTTGAACCAAAGTTTTGGGGGGTGAAGGAAGCACAGTGGTTGCTCATAATCCTCAAAGCGCTAGAGAACAAGCTTTCTGACGGAGCACTGGTGGATGGCACAGAAATCAGCTGCATCATATGTGATAGGATGGGCCAGTGACATCAAGAAATTATCCAGTAGGCAAGGACCTCACAGCGCTTGTATTCTTGAGCCACAGAGAGATGATTTGTGCCTTCATGTTCCACTGGGACCGTCTTACAGTGCTTGATAAAATGTTGAGGAAGATTGGGGTTCCAGGTTGGTTTGTTCAACCATTTTGATATTGGGGTTGGGAGGAACAAATTTGCCAGCTCAAGTAATGAAATACTCAGCAAGGCCTTTGGGTCCACAACCTAACAATTCCAAAATCAAACCTTGGACCACCATGATTTTCAGCCAAGGGTCAAGTATTCCAGCACAAATGTAGACAGCCTTTTCCTGGACTGCCTCTTGATATTGCATGAACTTCCTCAACATTGGCATGACTGATGCTTTTGGGTCCTTACAAGTGGAGTCATTCCAGGCCTATGAAAAATATACATTGGATCAGTGAACAGTTTGAAAAGTCAAAGATTGAAATGAAGACTTGACTTTTCAAGTTGTTCTACCAATCATTGATAATCAGGCATAACTCAAGAGAATGTGGGGTACTTGTACCCTTTGATCTCCCTGATAGTTGTAGCAAGAGGAGCTAATAACTTGACAATAGTACCTACTGTCTCCATTTCATTATTGCTGAGTAAGAATGCTTCAAGTGATGTATTCATGTGTCTGATATTTGAAAGACGCCTGGTGATAGCGTCTTGGCTGGCTCAATAGTTGGCCAAAATCCCATTGGTGATGCACAATCTTTTAGAAAGGATGGACAAAGCACTTGGATTGAGCATGGTGAGGAGCTCTTGAAACTCCTTGGTGTCCACAAAATAAATTGGAAGTTCTCAATTAACTATAAGATGAAGTAGAGTGACCTAGGCTGACTCTGTTGAGGGGCCGAACCTGATGAAGAATCATGAAACGAAAGAACAATAAAATAGTCCATTGAGATTTTATAGCACAATATACAGAAAATTGCTCACTTTGCCAACCTTTCCATTGATGAAGTAGATCAAAAGAGTATCTTGCTTGGTGGTCACAGGCTGGGTCTTTTGTCACTATCATCAAGTTGGGTTTCAATGTCTCAGGGCATGTACTGTCTAGCTTGCTAATAGTGTTGAGAAGAGTTGGCTGGCCGGGGTTGGGGTTGGGTCACAGCCTTGGCTGTAACCCAACCCTGTAGCTTTGTGGCTAGCCCTGGATTGACCCATAAGCCTTCAAAATCAATCAGGACCTACCAAGGCACACCCTTAACCTTATAAACCTAGGGTGTGGCTTGATTTGGGTCCAAAAGACAAACAAAAGAGAGTTCTTGTTCTATACTCATTTCTGGACCTGCCCTTGAGACAGACATAACCCTCACAATTGAGGCAACTTGAGGAAGGAGCACAGCAGTATTCAGATGTATCTTGAGAAAAATCCACGGGCACCCCAGCAACCCAGTCAGTTGATGTGCCCATAGGGCCTTTGAGGCTTGCATCATTAGGTTTCCAATGGTTGGGGTACATACTGCCAACCTCCAAAAACTCTGTGGGCAGTGCAGGGCTGGGAGGGACCAGTTCATAGCCCTGATTCCCACTGACCTGCTCCTGAAATATTGTAGTGTCTATCTCAAGGGATCCAAGGAAGCCAAAAAACTGAAGAAATTTACACTTCAAGGTTCAAAGAAATCATCCCACAAGATGATCTTTCAAGATAATTAAAGTTAAAAGTTGAATGTCAGTATTAGAAATTGAGGATCTACAGCTATGAAGCCAACAACACAAGCACCAAAGTTTAAAAGTTCAAAGTAGTTCATCACACCACCAACTTCCCATGTGATCTACACCAAAAACCTGGAATACATGATTACAGAGTCAGACAGCCCAACTTTGGCTGGTACAACACTGGAATGCTGTGCTGCACTGCATTGCAACCCGTTGTGCTATGTTACAGTTAAGAAATAGGTTTCTCTAAATTCTGACAGTGCATCACAGCCATGAATTTTGCTTCCGGAATCCAAGGGAGGAGAGCACCAGGTATTTGGCAGCATGGACCTGTAAAGACAAAGGTCAGTAAGACACAAACAATCAGCAGCATCCAACCGTGACTGACCTTCCAGCAGAACAGGATCTCTTTTGGATCCCCAATCTTCTTGGGATCAGCATAGTCAACACTCTTGAGGTACCTATCCAGCTTGTTGACTACTTGGGACAAGACACCAGCCCCAAATTTAAACACAACTGCACCCAATGGTGCAATTTGATCAATTTACCGTACCATGTCAGGCTTGGATGTAGGAGTGTTGATCAATTGAGCTTGCAAAATCTCACAACCATGAAAAAATTCAAAAAAAGTGGATTCTCAGAAAGAGCCAAAACCAACATTAATTTGTGGTTTTGTAGCTTATAAAAGCATTGCTTAAGCTACCAAACATATGTTTTGAAGCATGTTTTATTTGACTACTGACTGTGTGGTCAAATCCACAGTCAAACAAGGCCTAAATATTTTCTTACATCTTGACAATCATGAGCAAGATAGCTTCATCCACCACCTTAGTGCTCCATTCCAAGTGAGCAGTGATGTCATAGTACTATGGATTCACTTGGAATATTACCTTCTATCTACTCTGTAAGGTGTAAAAAGATCTCGGGACAAGATTTTCAGCTTGTTGTTGCTCAGAGTTGACTTCCTCAATAGCATCCCAGTTGCTTGGCAAGAAAATAGCCGCTACATTGAGCTTTTTCAAGATCACCTTTAATTTTGAAAAAATCAGAAGCTTTAAAAAATCCAGTCAATTTTTAAAATACCTCAACTTTTTTTCTCTTCAAAGTCAACAATTATGCATAGGGCTGTAAGAAAGGACTCAAAAATTGAATTCTATGAATCAACTGTTTTTGAACTTTCAAATATTACACAAACACAAATTTGATTCTCAATGATATCTTACACTCAAAACTAAAAAAAATACTTCAAATTAAACCTATTTCCAAAACCAAGAATCATCCAAAACAATCACAAACCAAAACATCTTCAAAAACCCAAATCAATTCAATCCAATTCCCAACCTTTGACTTTTCTTTAAGGAGGACTAGGTACAGTTCCAATCACTTCACCATTCGATTTCGGAAGATCCATCAAAAGCTCACCACCGATACCTAAGTATCCAAACCAAAGTATCAAACAAAAGATCCCATGTAAAACGACTACTAAAGCCAACAAGATCTGAGCCGATTTGTTTTCCGAAGATTTAATGATCGGATAAAGGTTTCTTAATAAAAAGAAACAAGAGACTCCGAAAGCTATGAGAGACATGAAACCTCTTAAGAGAGGGATCGGTGGAATCGAAAGTAACGAAACCGGTATGAAGATCGTTAATCCGTAACCATATAAATTGATGATTTCAGGTATCGTTCGGCTCTCAATGGTTGCCCAATACCTCATGGCTGCCCATATACATGTTGGTAATCCTAAGGCATAGACATAGACTAGTCCAACGGCTAAGGTGAGTTTCGTGAAATCATAGTCATAGGTTTTCGAGTTTAGATAAGCGGTTAAGGCTCCTGAAAGTGATGATGCAAAGAAGAGAATAAAACTTGTTTGTTTGTTTTGGAGAACAGTTCAAGAAATGTAAACGAAAATGGATTAGTCTTTGAGTTCTTTAGATTTAGATTTAGATTAGAGATTGAAAGAAAAGAAAACTTACATAAGTGTAGTTGGAAGCCAAAATGGACCTTTTGAAAAGAAAACCAAAAGAAAGAATTAAGTAAGGATTCTTGACAAATAGATTTGCAGAATGGATTTTTCTAAATTTACCATAAAGATCAGGTTGACCAGCCAAGATCACTTCAACATAATCTTCTTTAGGATACATAGTTTTCCAACACCTTTCCAAAACCGTTTTAGTTTCCTAATCAACATCAGATCACGTCCAATCAACGAAAAAAAATAAGATTCTTGTTTTGTTTTTAAAACTTGTAGGGATCAACTTACTACATCAAAGTAGATTGTATAAGCATCAAGACTTAACCAAGAATTAGAATTAGATAATCTAGGTTGTGATTCGAGTCGATCTGGATCATAAACTGTTGATCCTATATTTCCTTTGGGTTGTGATGGGTTTGTAGAAGGATTTGGATGATGTGTATCTGGTGTAACACTTGTTGAGAAATCTAGTTGAATTTTCATCATTCATTTAGTTAGTTTTGATTTGATTTGTGTGATTTGTGATGGTTTAGTTATCGTACCTTGGAATGATAAATCGTCAGATTGAACTGTTTTGTTTTGAGCTTCTTCTGCATCAAAAACGGTGACTGAACTGATCCAAATCAAGATCTAGATTAGTTTTTTTCAGGTTCGTTTTGATGCTGATTTGTTAACTTACCTATATTGATTTGACATTGTTCTCTTTTTTCTAAAGTTGATGGTTGTTTCTGATGTTTTGAATGTGGTGGAACGGTTTCTACTTTTGGAAGTGATCGATGATTCGATTGAAATTTAAAACCACAAAATACATTATTTAAAACACTGTTTTTGAGAAAGCAAAACCATTCATCAAAGCTCAGAGACCAAATGATAAAACGTCATAAATCATCAAGGGATTGAAGTTCCATCAGCTTCAAAAATTCTCAAGCCGTGCTGGCCATCTTGTTTTACAAAACAGGAGAGTTTCTTATGGTACTTGACTGTCAAGAATTTCCCCGGTTTTTGAAGAAAAGACTGAAAATCTTGACCTGAGCCCGCTTGCTATGGGCCTGTTCTGCACTTGTGGTTGCCACAACTGCATCACATTTTGCATCATACTTGTTCAGATCTACAAAAATGGTTTATTGGATCACTTGACACATCAAATCGGTCAACAAGTGCATTTATTCAGAACCTCAACTTCAAAACTTCAAGACTTCAAGACTTCCACTTTTAAGCTTCAACTTCCTGGTTTCTGAACCCAAAACTGGCCGCGTATATGCAAGTCATGATATTTTCAAGCATAGGTCTTTGCTCATCTGAAATCGAGGTTCAAACTCAAGGTGCAAAATAGTCGTTGTAAAGTTGTTGACTGCGAGCAACACGGTCTCGATCTATGCGTATACGGGTATGAGGACGTGAAGGAGGTAGAGGGAGCCTGTTGAAGAGGCAGCCAAACACCAATTCAGTCACAATCCTCTTGTTCCTAATCGTTGTTTGAAGACTTCAAAAGGGTGTTGACTTGTGTTTTCCAGGAACTTGGAGCAGGCATCAAGACGTGATGGAAACTGTCTTGGATGGAGGTCAACAGAAACAAGATGTTTCAGTTCAAACTCATACTACTGTGGATCTGGTTGATTGACTTGATTGTTGGTAAAGTCTCATTAATGGATTTCATGTGTTTACCAACTTGGATATCACAGAGGCGCATCATCCAATTTCGCGATCAGGAACCCAAATCTAATTACTACGATCAAACACCCTCAACATAGTGGATGGTCTTACGATTCTATCATTCTAATTCGACATTGTAAATCGATTGTTTCAAAGTGATCGATCTTTTCAAATCACATTTCCTAGTTTACCAAGATCGGTTTACAAAGTTTTCTTTCGAGATCTTCTGATTTGTAAATTCATCTTAAAACTTAAGAAATGAATCACGACAGTGGCACTAATACGAACGTAAGTTTCTTTCTTATCAATCAAAACCTTACAAATCACTCAGTTTGATGATTCCTTTGTATTGATAATTCTAATTTCTTACCAGACTTCAAATCCGAACGGACCACTTCCATTCTCATCAATCATCTTTGGAGCTGCAACTTTCGTAAGTCAAAACCATCAATGATACGAACAAACCACTCTGAACTCAGAAAACAAAAACTAATCAATTCTTGTGATTTACCGGGTTGGTGTTGTTTGTTTACAAAAAGAGTGCAAGTTATAATGATTCAAGTAAATTAAAAAGTGAAATTCCAGAAAAGACTTTACTAAAAGCTCTTAGATCAGGTATTAACGCAATCGATACAAGTCCTTATTATTTGTAAGTTCACTTTGAATTTCCTCATCTTTCTTCTCCCACTCCAGAAAAAGAACTGATTTATTTTGTTTGGTTGGTTGGGTTTAGTGGTAGTGAAGCTATTCTAGGTAAAATTTTATCAAAACCCGAAATCCAATCTGAGTTTCCTAGACAGTAAGTTTTTCTCGCAATATCTTTTAAAAAATTCAATGTTCTTCTAAAATCTTGATGAATTCATGTTTTTTGATTTTTTCTTCTTCATAAAAATCAGTACTTATCATCTTTTGACGAAATGTGGAAGATATGGTCCAAAAATTCAAGATTTTGATTATAGTCCTGATCGAATCCGTAAATCAATTCAAGAAAGCTTCAAATTAATGGTAAGTTTTCAATCGATTTTAAAAATTGATGAACCCTAGATGATAAATAATATATAATAAATGAATCCAATCAAACTTGATTTTTCTTTTTTGGAGGATTTCTTGTAGCACACAACATATTTAGATGTAGTTTATTTACATGATATTGAATTTATTGCAGAAAAACTTGATGAAATCGATTTGAATCAAGTTCATGATCAAGTTATAAGAAATCCAATCAAACCTTTAGGATCTGGTGATCAACTCATTCTTAAAGCAATTCAAACTTTATTCCAATTAAAACAAGAAGGTAAAATCAAAAAAGTAGGCATCAGTGGTAAGTCTGCTTCACCCTTCCAAAAAATTCACTCATATAACCGATTTCTAACTCGATTCCTTCTTTATTATTCTTATTGAAAAAAATCTAATAGGTTATCCTCTTCCAACCCTCTTAAGAATCTCTAAATTAATTCACCAAGAATTAAAGACCCCATTAGACATCATCATGTCATACTCAAATTATACACTTCAAAACCAAAGCTTAAGACCATATGTTGATTTATTTCATCAACAAGGAATCCAACAAATCATTAATGCTTCACCATTTTCCATGGGACTTTTAACTACTCTTGGTCCTCAACTTTGGCATCCAGCTTGTGATGAATTAAAACAAATTTGTCAAGAGATTGGAAAGATTTGTCAAGAAAAATATCAAAGCAGATTGGAACGTGTTGCATTAAAGTTTGGAATTCAAACTGTTTTGAATCATCAACAAGAAGAAGAAGGTAAGATTGATGCGTTGGTAGTGGGATTTTCGGGTGTTGAGGAAGTTGAAGAATTCGTGGAGATTCAGGATGAACTTTTGAAGCAAGATCGTGTTCAAGTTGAACGTACGAAATTCATTGAGATTGGAATTCAAGAGTTCTTTAAACAATCTGGTTATCTTAATTGGTGTTGGCCTACTACTTATTTAAGATAATCATTTATGATTTTTTGAAAAAGTTTTGTTCAACAGAAGAGAAGGTCATAGATAAGCATTTAGTTGATTGTACATATGTATGTAGGAATTAGATCAATTCACTTTAGTTTGTGTCAAAGGATTTCTATATAGATTTCATACTTTTGTTTTGTATCACTATCATATGCATATCAATTTTTGATTTTCTTTAATGTAGGAAAAAGAACTACCATGACTTTTTTGATTGATTGAGTTTGAATGATACTTGATTGAAACAAGTTCAAAAATGTTAAAACATTTGGAATTTTAAACAAATCGCTTGTTTCTTTTCAAAGTTTGGATGCATTATAATTTGTTCAATTGTTGGGTTATTTTGTTCATTTTTGGGTTGTTTTCAGTTTTTATTTCAATCTATGTATATTTTATGACCATACATCTGAAAGACATCAAACATCAGACTCCAAAGCATGATATCTTAAGAGCCCTGATAAGGGGGGGTTAGGTAGAGATACATCCATTCCAAATCATTTGAAAAAGGACAATTGACTGTTGGATTTCAATTCTGATCCCCATACCCCTTTGCTGTGAGAAGAATCAATCAATTTTCTAAACCATTCGTCTTTAATTACAATCTCTATCTCATCTCACATCTTTCAACTCTTTTTTCTTTTTTTTCTCAATTTCATTAACAACTTCATTTTTACATTCAAAAAAAAACACTGGCATAAAAATAAAAAAAAAACTCTTTCTTATATATATATATATGAACAACAAATTTAAACCATCAAATCATTTACAAATCATTAACCACAATCACTCACACTCACACTCACATCCTTCAATCAATGTTAAAAAAACTTTTATCATCAAGATTCATCACTTGCTTTAGATTGATTCATAAACTTGACTTCTTCTTTCTTGATCAAGACATCAAAGAGGAACAAAAAAGTATCATGAAAGAGTTAATAAGGATTCCTAGGAGGTTGGTTTGGATAGGGAGCTTGATTCATAGGAGGTAGATAGTGTTCATGTGGTCGTCCACCCTGTGGCGGTGGTGGTGGTGGTACTCCTTGCCATCCTGGTTGAGGAGCGTATGGAGCTCCATGAGGCGGTGGATAATGTGAAGGACTCGTAGAAGGGTAAGCTGGATGTTGAGATGATGGTGGGGCTGGTGATGGACGCTGTGACGTGTGTTGTGGATGAATGGGGCTTTGATTGGGCGGCCAAGGGTAGGATTGGGAATGTTGAGGTGGTGGAGGTTGATAAGGTTGCGGCGGTGGGGGTGAAGGATAGTATTGAGGTTGATCATTGAGGCGATGTGAGGGTGGCAGATGTGGTGGATAGGCATTCGTAAGGTTGCCAGTAGATTGATAGGAGATGGGTGGGGGCGGAGGTGGTAGTGCTTGATTGGGAGCAGAAGGGGCAGGGTAATTGCTCATAGGTTGGCGATAAGACGCGGGGTTGTTGTATGGGTATTGTGGTTCGGAAGATGGGGTTGGATGAGTCTGGCCGAGGGAACCTAGTCCTGCGTAGGGATCGGAGGGTGGAGGAGGAGGATATTGTGGGACAGGAAGTGGGGTGCTAGCTTGCCTAGCCTGTTGAGGATAACCCGATGGTACCGGTCCGGTGTTTTGAGAAGTCTGCCATCCTGGGGGTGGAGGTGGAAGAGGCGGTGGGTAGGCTTTAGAATTGTTTAGATGCATCCCAGACACCCGTTGTTCCAATCCATGTAAGTCTGTCGAAGTGCTAGGAGTTGAAGGCTTTGAGTACCGTTCTTTCGCAGCTTCAGCTTTAGCTGCCATCTGAAGTCGTTCTGCGTTACGGTTGTTCGTGTATGTAGAAACTTGTCTTTGCATCTCGGAGACCGCCTCTGAGATTTCACGATAAAATTGACTACCTTTCGAAAGACCACTTCGAATCTCTTCATGATTTTCATAAGCTCTTTGAAGTCGAGCAAGAAGTTGAGTACGATGTTTTGATGCATTAGTCCAATTATCTTGAATTGCTTTGCCACGTTTCCCTTCAACAAGTGCTTTATATTGTGCTACAACTTCTTGAATCGTGCTAGTTTGAATATGTAAAGTAGCACTGATCCGACCAGAATGAGCTCGGAACTTTTCAAGTTCGGCAGAAAATAATGCTGGTTCGACGTTTTGAACTTTTCGGTTGAGGATCAAGAGTTGTGAAATGTCGTCGGCTTGGATGCGTTCCTTTAAATCGTTTAATACTCCTTGTCGTTCCTTCTTGATTGCTTGGAGACGATTGAGATTGTCTTGGATAGAGGTCACAAGATTCTTGACTTGAATCAGCTCAGCTTCATCATCTGGAGTATCGACCAAGTCGAGTAGACTGGGAGCCTTAGTCGAGTCATGTTGAGAAGAACCTTGGGCAAATAAAGCGCGGATGGACTCCCCCGATCGATCAGCGAGCATCTGAATGTCGGCTTTGGACATCGCCCACAAGCCTTCAACTTGGCCATCAGATTGCTTGGCCATCTCAAGCGTTTGTCGGTGAGATTTGATATCTTGTCTCCAAGTCTTCGTGAAATTCAGAGCGGGTGGTTGATCCCAAAGATGATCGTACCGTACTCGCATCTGTTCACAATCTCGCGCTTCTGTATCTAGAGTGCGCTCAATGTCCTCAAGGTCTCGATGGGTTTTATTCCGTAGGGCGATCATGTCGCTACACATCTGATCAATCGTTTTACCCGAGTTAGCTTGCTGTATACTATCAGCCCATGCAAGGACTTGCTCTGGCGGCTCCGAAAGTTCTTTCAATCGAGCCGAATCACCGTTATTTTGAACCAGGTCGTTAAATTTATCTAAACTTGCCGGAAGTCCCAAAAACTCGAGTGTGGTGGTGAGTTCGGTATCTGCCAGGTCACACTTTTCACCATCCGTACGGACTAGTTTTGCTTTCTCTTCACTATATAAACTCGAGCTTTGATGTACACTGAGAGGGACGAGTCGAATAAAGATATCTTGTCCAACCACCTTTTGGACCTCTGGTGCGCCATAAACCTCTTGAATCGGTATGGGTTCACCAACACTACTTTTTTCGATCAGAGTAAGAGCAGCTTCAGAGGGTTGCGCTTCGTGATAGATCAGGTCATTGTCTCGTTGCTCAGAAGTTCTGGCTTCTGTGCAAAGCGTCAAGTGAGTTTTGGTGATCTCCAATAGAGAGACGGCAGCATCGGATGGTAAGGTGACTGATCCAGAGTTTGTGAAGGCGGCTGAGAATGAGTTTGCGAAACGATTGGCTTCTTTAGCAGCCGTCTCGGCGATTTGTAATCGGGTGAGAGCCTCGCCATGTTTGGATGCTGCAGAGTCGGCCAAAGATCGTTGATATTGTGCCAGTGATGAAAAATACTTGTGCTTGCACTATATACGTTCGAAAGGATCATGTTAGGAGCCTTGGAGTCTATTTTGAGGTGAAGATAAATATGACTGGCCTGAACCAACCACATCCAGCTTCGCTCAAAGATGCCTTTGGTGACCAAATCCTTTACATCTTCGAGAATACTACCATAGAGAAATGCCGCCTGAGTGCTAACCCTTGCCCTCAGTCCGAATGGCTTTTTCTCCTTTTCTTCCGTCATACGCTCTACAAAAACTTCCGTGGCTTGAGCAATCATTAATTGAACCAGCACTTTGACAACCTCACGACTGAGATCCGTGGAAGGGGCATGGAGGAAGTTGTCATTGATGTATGTAAACATTCCAGCTGCACATCTGAAGTTGTGAAATGCACGTCGGATACCCTCAGTAGAAGTACGGTTCTGTTGTGCAGCGAGTGAAGATAGTGTAGCAGCGATGTTGAAGATCACAGATGCCTTTTCATATGCCAAAGATAGTTGTGAGATTTCTTTACCCGTGAATGCATCTTTCCTGAAGAGAGTCAGACCTGATGATAAGTTTGAAGTTGATTGATACAGAAAGTTATGATTACCCACCAAGGAAAAGGCACTCTCACTTCCGGAAATCGTAATTCGAGTAACTCTAGTTGACCAAAGTATTTGTAAAGTAAATCCCTCCCTACTCAACCCAAGATCAGATACATGCGACAACCCAAAATGAAGAGTATTTAGTATGTGAATGAAAGGATGCGAGACAAGACTTCGAACCTGTGACGTCACTTCCAGCACTACCCCTCAAAGCATCTTGTCGACATCGATCCAATGATAAGATTTCTTCTTTATAAGTATCAGGAGATTCTTGATAAGTTTGAGTGATAGTTTGTCGAATGGATTG